CCCACACCCCACCCACACCCATCTAAGCTTATTTAAACAGGAACAGAAACCCCCGAAAGCATCTCGATCCCATGGAAAATATCCGCAGGCCTCTGTTTGTTACGCTTGTTGAACAGGTGCCGATTACAAGTGCCAATTTCGTAGCTGCGAGTTAATTGAAAACTTTTTAATTGTTTAGGCAGCGGCAACATCTCGAAACAGACTTGGCTTAGTTCTCGTGCCGGCCCTGATTTACGACCAGGCCTCTGTTGCTGACAGTTTCAATTAGAAAGCGCCGTGGCCAAGGACATCGTGGCTCGGGGATTCCCGATTGGCGCCGCTTTTCCTTTGTGCCATGCGATTCCGAACCATCGACCCGGCCACATTCACATCCTTTGCTGAAGGCGCGTCTGCACTTTCGATTGTTTGTTCTTGGCTCTGAAAACTGTAATTTAATGTGCCCACAACCGCTGCCACACATGTCTTGAGCGATAGCTCTTGGGTACACACAGAAAAAAAAATATTTTTACATGTTTTTATAAATTTATTTCATTGAAAAACAGCCATCTTTTTTTAAGAACCTTAAAAAACAATTCGTATCTGAGTACAAAAACATTGAATTATGTTATATGTTATTACGGTTAATGTAATCTTCATGCTAAGCTAAAAGTAGGTTTTAAAATATGATTTTTCACTATGAAAACTATTTTTACCATAATCATTATTATTTAAATTATATTTTTCTTAGCTTTGAACCACTCTATAAACAGTTATCCTATCAGTTCGTTTTAATTTAGAAAAGTAATGTCTTATATTTATTATTTATCGGAAAGTTTCTTGTTACGAATCCTTTACTGGTAGCGATTTATATATTTCCGAATCTTATCTCATAACTCTGGTCTTAAGGTATGCATATAGATACTACGTATTAGTAATTTTTTCCAATTATTAATTTTTTCAAGGGGTTTCAGCAAAGAACCAATTTCTGCCCTCCAACTGTTTTTCCCAGAGTGTGTGGCTGCTCAATCATCCCCACTTGGCTCTTCACACTTGGGTGACGTTGTGGCTTTCAGTTGTGTCATTGATTGGTTTGTCCAGCATTTCGTTGTTTGTTTGTTTGCACTGCCTTCGATCGAGTCCTTCGTCAGGAAATGCGGTTTTTGTGTTTTGTGTTTTGCGCCTCTGCCACTTGCCAACAATGGTTGGACACAAAGTCAAACCCACAGTAACACCCACACTCTGACGGCCACTCAATGGCCAACCATCTCTGTCCAATTGTTGCATACGAATTCAATCAATCAATTATGCAACCGCCTGGTCATTGTTATTGCATAATCCTAGTGTTCTGGCCAGTGGCGCTGGCCAGGAATGCAGCTAGCAAAGTTGATTGTGGTCCCCGGGGCTCTGATTTTTGATTGGAAGGTTTCTCGACTTTGTAGAGATTTTTGGTTTTCATTTCGCTTGTGGGGAATCTTTTCAAAACGAAAACAAAATTGGATAGAAATGTTCATAAAATGTATATTCATATTAAGCTATTAATATCATCATTTTTGATGCTTTGAATTTCTAAGATTACTACTACATTTATCTGATATTTTGTTCAGCTCTTCTAAAACCAATACTATTTGTTTATGGTAAAACCTGACCTTGAATATTTTTCTTCTCGCAATAGTATCCTTATACATTTTAAATGGATATTTTTTAAAAGTGTACAATTTGCCTTTATTTTGCTGGGAGCATGTAACATGAGAATGCATTCTCGATATGAACATGTCAGTGACGCTCATGCTCCATTTGTCAACTTACACAGGCAGCATTTGGCCTGTACTCACAGAAAAATCTCATTTGGCTTTGTTTCGCCTGAATTTCGCTTATATTCCATCTGTTTTTCATATTCCACCACCCCATCAACATCCCCCATTTTCCCTGTGAAATGTAACAAAAGATGAGTTGCACTTGAGCATGCTAAAATGCGTTATTAAGTGCATAAATATGCAATCCTCAACCTTTTGCACTCGGCACCACCCTCGTGGCACCACTTTGCAACCCACCCACCTGTCTAACAATGGTGGCTTCAGGTGGGTCCCCAAGTGGTCGGGGGGATGCCGGTTATAGGGGCATGTGAGAAGAGCTTTTGAAATTTAATAAAATGCAAATTCAAATGCAGAAACCAGTGAGCCAGACATGTGCCACATGCCACGCCCCATGTCCCCATTGTGAGGCCGTATCCCAATGTGATTCAACCCCCCCTCCAGCGGCTCTTCCACACGCTAATGAGTTGAGTTTTGTCTCCAACACACAAAAACAGAGAGAATGTATTATGTGCATTTGGAGCCGAAAGGATGCAGTGGAGCGACTGCCCCCACCAAATTGTGGTAATGGCGAGTAAAGGGACATACAGTGCACTCCAAAACAATATGTCAGTGTGGGGGTGAAGTTAAAGCTATAAAAACCTTTTATATAATTAGAAAAAATGTATTCCTTCAAAGAAATTTAAATTAACATTTTTAGCTAACAAAAAAGCGTTTGTTTGAAGTTTTTCTAAGGACTTAAACACAATTTAAATTTTGCTTGCTTTCAAAAATATCATTAGACATCCATAACAGTGGTTGATTATTTTATTTATTATCAATTCACAAAATGTTCATTTAAAATTTAAAATTCATTTTAACATAAATCACCTTAATTGTACACATAAAACTTGATTAAAAAGCAGTTAACCCGATGTTTTATCACATTTACTCAAATATCCTTGCATTATTTATTTGTGAGTACCCAGCTCTGAAACGTGCTATATTTTTAATTATTTTAAATGCGTCCACATATGCAAGTAGACTTGGGCATCTCCGGCGGCAGTGGCAAAAAAATAACATACAAGAAAAAAATCGATACCGCTTTTTGGGCTGTGGCATTAAAAAAGGATCAAAAGGTAAAGCACGTGCGCACGGCCATGAGGCGAATACAGCTATATCGCCATAGTACGACTATATCCTGTGTATACACTTGTAAGCCAAAGGAACCAAAACCATTTGCCGCACACCCATAAAAGTTGCCAGTTGCCAGTCCCGTTCCCATTGCCATTGGCATTGTCTGGTCGTCCTGGTCGGTGGATTTCCTTGGCTTTGACTGGCAGTGCGGGGTGGTGTGATGAGACCTTAAGCAACCTTCCTCGGAAACCCTCCATTATCCTCATGCCATCTGCCCCAACCCCCATAACCAACCACCCAAGCCTTTCACACCTACATGTGCTTGGCACAAGTGGCAAAATGTTGTTACGTGAGCATTAAACCATATTTTAAGTTATTAAGTTATTGACAAAAGCTCACGTCACCCCTTATGGCGTCGGGTTGGTTTGCTCTGGGATGTGGCATTGGGATTGCGATTGGATTGGGTTGGGCGCGCTTGGCTTGCCTTGAATTGAGTTGAGTCCATGTGGCCTGGTGCTCGGCGATCCGAGGGGCAGAGTGGCTTGAAGGCGGACGACACTTGTGCGCTGCTTATCCATATTGTTTACAATGCCACGCCTAGTTGCACAAGCACACTTACAAGCACTGTGCAGAAAATCCTAAGATAATAAAGATTAACCAAAAACTGCTTGATCGTTACATATATAATTACAAAGGATACTAAAAGCTATTATTTCGAATTGTAACTTTTAACTAGTAAGATGCTTTAAAATGTTCTTTTTTTCTAAAGAAGTGTAGATCTATATGTCCCACAAAAACAAAAAACAAAAAACAAAATTCATTCTAACATCTAAGGCATAACTCTCCATCAAATTTTAAAATAAAATCAAATAGATTGTCATTTAAAATACATTATTATCTGTGTATTATTTTAATATATAGATTAAGGATGACAAAGTTCTTATCTATTTGATTTTCTCAGTGTATAAAATATGTATAAGCTTGTACACTCGTATAATGCCAACATTATATGTCTGAGCATAAAAACTTTTGTAAGCGTTTGCACGCATAAAAAGAAATTTTCAATTCCGCACAAGCTGGCTCCACGCGCCGGCTTTTCCTTAAACTGTTAAAGTTTCCGCCTGTGGGAACCGCGGCAAGTGTTGCAAATATTGTTTAATTTCGGTTGTAAATTAAACATAAATATTGTTGGGTAAGCTGTGCCCCGGGGTGCAACGTTGCGGTAAATATCCAATCTGCGAAGCTCTCCAACTTCGGTGCAGTCATTCACTCACATGTCCTTTGTGCTGGACAGTCCTTCCTTTCCCACTGTCCCCCTGTGGAAGCCATTATCCTGCTACGGTTTCATCTTGGTCTCTCTGTGTGGCTGTGACATTTTTACTGCTCCTCCTGCAGACTCCCAGGTAGCATTACGTATTTTGTACTTTGTATGTGTTTCTTGTCATCTGCAAACGACATGGAACAAAGAACGAAATAGCATTGCAGCCGCAGGACTGCCACATGTATTTTCTGCTAGCCGGAAATTGAAATAAAAGTTATTAGATTTCTTTGACAACCGCTGGGCGAACAAGTCTTATGATTGTGGGTGCCTCTAGGAAGCTTTTCAAAACGCTCAAAGGATTATTTGGTATATGGCACTCTTGATTTTTCGCCTCTCGAACTCTCAAAGTTATATTTGCCTTTTTCCATTTTTGCTATTTTCTTTCGGTTGCGTTGAAACAAAACACAAGGCCCATAAATTGCCAAGGCAAAGGACACATTTGGGTCTGTCTTAATGTCCAAGCAAATAAACACATTGGCCAACGGGGTGTGGGTGGTTGTTGGGTTTGGAAAACTGCCGCTGTCGTCAGTATGATTTCCACTTTTTCCGTTTTTCCGCCTTTGCCTTTGTCAGCCGGGCCAAATCAACCACCACCAACGCAGATAATTTGCCAAGGGAGTTGGTTTATGGGCTAAGGGGTGGCGCATGTGAGAGTGTTTGTGGGTGCGGTTGATTGAGGGGTTATGGTTGGGGGTTGGGGTTGGGGGTCAGGGGCCAAGCCAACGCCATGACCTACTTTTGGCCGCAACTTTTTCAATTTGCGGAAGAGTGTGTGTGTGTGTGCCTTGGCTTAGGCCAAAAGTTTATTTCGTAAAATACAATACACAGAATGTTGGACTAAAGACTACTCATAAAGCTTTCCATGGATTAACTAATGTCTCCCCTTGACAGACTATTCTAGTTGTGTAGGATCAGTAGGAGCAGGCCCAGCAAAGCCCCCAATCCTCGGTCCATCTGCCGCAGGGCCGAACTCTTCTCATCCTCGATCCGCTCGAACATCATTTCCTCCGGCCGGATGCTCCGCTGCTCCTCGTGCTCGCCGCTACTGTTGAAGTCTTCTGGGGGCGGGGTCGTCCTCTGACCGGTCATCAGGAGCAGCTGCATCTTCTGCAGCGGCGTCAGGTACGGAGTGCGGGTGTCCAGGGCCGGAGTGCGGGCTTCCAGGTCCTGACTCCGTTGCCAATGGGGCGGCGGCAGGAAGGGCACATAACTGGGGGGCGTCACGCGTCCCCAAAAACCGTAGATGTACATCTGGACAAAAAGGCTTTTGGAGTTAAAATCCGTAATAGACGCTTTAAGAGTACCGCTCGAATAGTGACTGTACTCCGCCACAGGGGCTATATATTTCCCTTCAGAGGCGTTGTTGTTGGCATAGTGCTGGCGGGATAAAATTGTAGTAATCAATAAGTATTTAGCCAAATTACAATATGTAACTTTAAACTATAAAATCAACAAAAAGTGTTCATCTCTGTACAATGCTTGCTAAATTGAATTTGTGTTAATTGTTATCTTTAAAGACTTTTTTTTAATTTTATCCAATAACTATAAACAAGAAAAAAAATGAATTTGATTGGAAGATGTTGGCTAAAAAAAATACTTACATCCAAAATGTCAAACTTTACGTATGTTATAGAGTTGTTGTCGATGTAGTAGAATACCACCGTGTTGTTGGTAGGGGTTTCCGAGTCATCGGGCGATGACTGATAGCATTCATATAGAAGTTGATCTCCTAAAAACTGGCATATTAGTTTGAATCAAATCAAATAATAATTCTGTACTCACCCTCCTGCCTGTTTCCAATTTCAATAACCTTATCCGGCTTTTCAAAATGATCTGAGGCTGAAGGACCCTCCGTAAACATTTCGTCATCATCGTCGGACAGAGCCTCAATTTCCTCGTCCACCTCCAGGGCATCTCGCCGGTTGTTGTCAAATACCGTGTCGTATTGATACGGTTCCGAAATGTATTCCTCGTAGGGCACCATCTGACCCTCGTATTGCTGATCTCTATTGAGGACCACAGAGGGATCAAAGTTCAAAGTATCATTAAGGCCATACACCATGATGGTCACATCGAATTCGACGGTTGGTAAAACGCTGGCTTTTTCTTGGGCGTCGTCATCACTTTGATTGCCACCCGCCAATTGGACCAAGCCCTCGACCAGGCGATTCACATAGCTGAATTTCACCTCCGCCAAAATATTCTGAAATGCAAAGGAAAACCAAATAAGATGAATCCCCTCCAATTTGGACTGACTCAATCAGGCGTGACCATCACGAGAACATCAATCAGCGATGGCCACATTCCCCGAGATGTTTACTCGGGCTGACAATCAGCTAATGAATAAATACAAATGTACTTCGCCAAAGTTTTATTTTTTCTGGGGAAAATCCCGCGTCATTTTTGCCTTCAAAAATGCTAAAATTGAAATTGCATTTAGCAAGATTTTTCCTCGTGATATTTGTTTTCGGTTAATTTTCCTCCACTTCCTTCGCCCATTAAGCTTGTCGGCTTTGCCAAATTGCCACATTTCTCGAACGCTATTTTATTTTTATTGGCTTCAAAAAATTCGATTTTCTTATACAATATTTGCATTCATTTTACTTTCAATTATCGACCCAGATGTCGATATATAGTTTAATAATAAACACTCAACATTTTACGTGCCTCACTTGTGCAAGTCCATAACCCAATCACATTTTAGGGCAAAAAAAATAAACAAAAAATATGAAAATATGTAGGCGACTAGATTTAGTAAACATGGGCCTGACTGCCTCAAACGCACTGGATATAAAAATACATCTTTGGGCCAATCTTTTTGTCGGCTGCAGAGATGAAAAAAAATGTCAGTTTCTGTTTCTATTTTCGGTACTGGCATGTGCAAAATAAAACACAACGAGGGGTCAGCGACAAATGCCCAGCCACATAATATCCGTACATATCGCTCACTTGTTCATAACCCAAAATACACAATTTCGGACTTAATGAACCAAAAATATTTGTTTTCTATTAGTTGTATTTTGTTGATTCATCTCTGTATATATGAACATACCAATATTTGAAAATTGTATGCTATAGGAGATTGATAAAAAGACTTCTTTTTTTTCGATATAGGCCCTTCATCAATTTATTTATTCATTTCCAAGAATTATAAAATTATTAATTTTCAAACAAAAAGGCAATTTTTAGTTTTCTTATTAAGATTTATAAATTTCTAAATCCGATACAAAATGTTTTATATTCATGATATTTGTGAAGCATTTTTCAAAATGAATAAAATGTTTTTGTTTTTGTATTTATACAGACACATGATTAGACACATGAATATAATATTGTTTGGCTTAAATTTGCCTTAAATGTTTTTTAAAATTAATTCTTTTAGGTTTAAACTTGAGTTTTTGGCAGAATAAAAATAAATTGGTTGACAGAAAAAAAATACATTTGTTAAGAACAATATTCTAGCCCGCACTCACTTCCTCCGATAGAAATTCAATACAGGTGATCGGCTCCTGGATCTCATAGGTGAATGTCACACTGGGCAGTTCATCGCCACCGGATGGACGAGAGTGGAGCACATCCTTGACCAAGAGTCTCTCTCCTTCGGACCTTTCACCCACTCCAAAGAAGCGTTTTGCCTCAAAACAGACTCCACTTCTTGCCAAAACTAGGCAGGCAGTTAGGCCCAACCAAAACAATTTTGCACACATTTCACCGCTTGTTTTTGATTCTGTTTCGAAATTGCACTTAGTAAATGTGGAACATTTTCAGAAATATCCGCATGGAATCGAAATATCGCAAAACGTGCCGCGCAAGAGAACTTTGGCAACTGAGACCAAGTGCTGATGGATCGTCGCCTTTTCGTAATTTCAATTTCGTTCGCCGAGAGAAATGTTTGAGGAACGAGTAGCTGATAATTAAAATGCTCTCGAAACTCTTTGCCAATCGAGCAGTTCTCTTATTTCCAAGCTGCTTCTATTTGTTTCTGCACTTGACCCTAATGGATTCGATAGCTTTCCAGGCGATACTCTTTGAACTCTTTGTCAACGACACCGAAAATAAGACCATTAGCCTTTGGGATGGCGTTTAAAATTGGCTGCAAAACGGCGCAAAAATAGCCCAAAGAAGTGTATATATAGATTGAGTATATGGGTACTGTTTTGCATAAGAGTTCTTTGACTTTTTAAGGGAGATCCAACAATTCATTCAAAGCATTTTGGAACTTGCAAGTAGCGTAAAATACTTTCGTGTTGTATTTATTTATTGGCATTGGCTTGTTTATCAAAAGAAGTTTAAACAACGTTCCTTTGGCTTATCAATTCATTACATTTTTTTTGGAATTTTTGGAAAACGTGTTGAACTTTCTTTCTGCTTATTACTTACTCAATCAAAGCATTAATGCTTATTGGATAAGGGTTTGGTTGAAGAGCATTAAAAAGCGTTAAAATGGCTGCTTGAGGAAACATTCGCTTAATAACAAAAGTTCTTCCATATTTTGCTTTACCAGATCAAACTAATTTAAACTTCAACATTAAGTTGCTTTGATTTTATTTAAACGTTTTATAAAAAGTTTAGTAAAACGACTCTTATTAAAAATATTAGTTAGAGTGCTATTTAACATCATTATAAAGCATTTTTATATTCTTTTGGCCACTTGTGAAGCGTTAAGCCCAATAATTCATTTATTAAATGTTTATTAGCATTAGTTGTCCGCTTAGCCGCAGTTTTGGCCATTAGCGATGTGTTCATGAGGATAATGAAGCGGATGCGAATGCGACGCGGGCTGCCATTGACATGCATAATGAATTGCAATTATGGTTAATGTACACAAGTGGGGGAAAATGTAGAGGGTCAGTCAGTCAGGTGCTTGCTTTAAAAATGGCGTTTTTTTAATTAAATGCGTATGTTGCTGTGTGTTTGCGAAATGGAGCAGCACGAAAACGCAATTCAGTTTCGTGTGCCAAATGGCTGCAACATAATTTATGGAGGAGATGTTGCTGCGGCCACAACTGCAGCATAATCGCAGCCAGGCATCTGGTTTTGGGACATGTTCTCTGGGCGAGAAAACACCATAAAGTTTTGCGCAACGAATTTAAATAGTGCTCGGAAAACTGGGAGATTGTCAGGTAATTTTCTAAGCGAATGCAGCAGGCAGGATGTCAACGTCGCCAAACAGTTAACAAGTTACAAGTAGCCACTTGAACATTTTGAGGTAGGAGCAAAAGACATGACCAAAGTGCGAGGCTGTCAACGCCGTTGCCTTGATGTCGCAGCTTTGACATTGATGTTGCTAGTTGCTGGTTGTTGATGGCTGGCTGCTGATGTTGCTGCTGCTGATGGTGGTTGTGTACAAAATTAAATTACAGCGTTTAACGGAAAATTGCGATAGCCAAAGTGAAAACGGAAATTTAAACCATTTAGAATGCTTAAAACAAACTTTGCCTAATTCAATTGCTTTCGACTTTTGCACAACGTTTTCCAAACGAATTCCCTTTCGCCGTTCTACTGATGGCATTGTAGAAATTTATTGTTTCGTGATATACTTATTAAATTGAAGTGCTTTCAAACATGCACATCTGAATGCGAAATTCCCATTGCTGTCGAGTGGCTCGAGTGCATCTATTTTGGCCAAGAGCACGGGCCAGATCCGGTTCAAGTGGCCCAGTGAAAGGTTAATAACACTCCACAATGAAACGCCGAATGCCTGCTCATAATTGTTGCCAGTGAAGCGTTTTCTCGATTGTGCCATAATGAGGATGTGAGCCATTGGATGGCCTGAACGACGTTTGTGCCCTGGGTAGTGGTAGTGTGTGCGTCCAATTATATAATTGAATCAGCAAGGACATCAGCATATGCACACCAATCAATCAGGCCAATAAAGCAATTAACTTGACTGACGCCTGGCAAGGTCCACAACGGTCCTCTGTTCGAAACGGAAATTACGAATTTTGTTGTAATTTCTGTTTTTGCCTCTGCGGCGGCATTTTAATTTATGCCCCACGCAAATTGGATTTGGGTGCCAAAAATGCCCATTTGGCTTAGCGGGGATTAGCCAAAATGCTGAAAGCTCCCAAATTTTGGTTTTAAATTGAAATATTTTTCACTGCTCCTGCCGCTTATCGCCAAGTCAAAGCGCGCGCCGAAATGTAGGCTAAGCTTTTGTGAGCAGCCCCGCCCGGAAAAACAATCAATTGGGATTGGATGGGTGGTGTGGTAGTCGGCACCCTGCAATCAAATCAAATTGTAAAACAGAAGGGGAACTCAAGCGGCAGGAGGAGATGTTGCCTCCTGGAACTGCGGTTGAGTGCCGCTGCAGCATCTGCTGCTGCAGTTGATAAACTGGCAAAGAGTTTTCCAAAGAAAAGCCCACCGAGAGAAAGGCGCCGCAGCAGGCAAACAAGCCAGGTTAAAAGTTGCAGAATGAATGCTCGACTGACTGATGACGACTGAGGAAAGCTTTTGAAATGTTAATTGGATGGCATAATTGGTTTCAATTCTTCCTCAAATGGGAGTGAGAATGCAGCGCTAGTTTTCATTTACCTTTACGTAAGCGAGAATTTGTTTGAATTACGTGTTGATTGTTTGTTTTGATTGAAGAAGTTGTTAAATTTGCTTTAAAAATGTTGAAGTTTCTTTTAACCTATCTAAAGTTTAACATCTGAAAAGTAGGTCACATATCTTAAAATAGGAAATAAAATCTGTTTAATTAAGATCGTTAATCAGCTCACTAATTTTTGGTGTAATCTTCGAATTTATTGTTTATTTTAAAATGCAAGAAAATAATAATGATTTACTTCGTTGAATATTCAGATTTTTGGTTACAAATATTAGTTAACTGACAATAGAATTTTAAATTGATTTTCGGTATATTATAAATAGTATTCTATTGAATATATTTAAAATAGGATACGATACCACTAAAGGGTTTCTGCCTTTAATTAGCAAATAGCGCAAGAATATCATGTTGAATAAAGCTCCTAATAAAGCTGAAATGAGAAAGATGATATAAATCCAGTTAAATATCTTATGAAGGCCTATCTCAATGGTAGGCATACCCCATCTGCTTGCTAGTTGCTAGGAACCCAAACGAATTGAGTGAAAATGCTTTGCCCCGGGCTGTGAAAGAGCAGCTGGCAGGTTGAGCGGCTCAAAGAATAAGAGATGCAGTCACCAAGTGGGGCATATTTACCAAGCCAACCGGCCGGCTGTCGATGTCGATGGTGGAAATGTGTGAATAGGCCAGGGCCGGGCCTTTAGCCTGCGGTAATCCATTTTACAAGCCAGCAACGGGCACTTGACTCGCAATTGGCCACTGCTTAGGCGACCTGCCAACCAGCTGTGGACATCCATTTCAACTGACTTTCTTTTTTGCCTTTTTCAGGACGAAGGCTGGAAGTTGAACCGCACCAACTATTACCAGGAGGGATGGCTGGCCACGGGCAATGTGCGCGGCATTGTGGGCGTGACATTTACCACCTCACATTGCCGCAAGAACATGGACTATCCGCTGAGGACTAACTACAACCTGCGCGGACATAGATCAGATGTAAGTTGCACAGATATATTACCTTAAATGAAAGTAAATATCTAAAAATATTTTTTTGGCAGGTCATTCTGGTCAAATGGAACGAACCCTACCAGAAGCTTGCCTCCTGCGACAGCTCGGGCATCATCTTTGTTTGGATCAAGTACGAGGGCCGCTGGTCCATCGAGCTGATCAACGATAGGAATACGCCTGTAACCCACTTCTCCTGGTCGCACGATGGTCGCATGGCCTTGATCTGCTACCAGGATGGTTTCGTTCTGGTGGGCTCCGTGGCTGGGCAGCGGTATTGGTCCTCTATGCTCAACCTCGAGTCGACCATCACCTGCGGCATTTGGACGCCCGACGACCAGCAGGTGTACTTCGGCACCACCCAGGGTCAGGTGATTGTGATGGATGTTCACGGAGCGATGGTGTCGCAGGTGCAGCTCTCCAACGATGTCCCTATCACCTCGATGGCGTGGTCCTGCGAGAAATTCAAGATGGAGGAGGGCGAGGAAGCGGAGCCCGGTGTAACCAATGCGGGTGAGTGATCCAAATGGAAAGGGACACTAAACTAGTTTCGACTAACCAAATAACTCCTTATTCCTTCAGCCAAACGCTCCTTTGTCCTGGCAGTTAGCTTCCAGAATGGATACATCTACTTGCTAAAGTCGTTCGACGACGTCTCACCCGCACATATCAACACATGCCTTAATGGCGCCCTCGGCATGGTCATGGAGTGGAGCAACTCCCGCGAGCTGCTGGCCGTGGCTGGAACCCTGCGCACCGGGTTGGATGGAATAAAGCCAGAGGACATGGGAACGCCTAGTAGCTACACGAATCTGGTCAAGTTCTACACGGAGACGGGCACGTGCCTGTATCAGGCACATATTCCCTGCACCAGTGCCACCGTTTCGGCCATCACCTGGGGTCACAACGACAAGCGGCTGTTCATCGCCACGGGGACGCAGGTTCACATCGCCTGGGTCTCCAGACGGGTGGCCTCCTTGCAGCTCCTGTGCCGGCTGGAGATCCAGGCGAGCGTCGGATCCGAGTCACTGCTGCCCCTGCTGCCGTTGCCTTCTAGGATTAAGTCCCTCATTGGCAATCTGTTTGCTCAAACGATAAGAGTAAGTCAGAAAACCATGTTTACGACTTTATTCTGTGTTCTATAATTAGACATATATTTGGTAGCAAATATTATTTTAAAACGTTTATATAAAATAATTTTTGTTAAATTATCAACCATAGAAACCAATCAGTAAATATAATCATCTTAAGATAATGATGTGCTCTTGATAAATAAAGGTTTCCGACTAAATACAAGAATTATTATGTTTTGCAGTGCTGTGTACCTGACCTAAAGTCGCTCCGTGATTTTGTTTCGCGACCACCGCTTTGCTCCACCCGGCTGCACTGCACCATGATCCGGCACGACGACGACTCCAACCTGAGCTCCGGCACTTGCTACACCCTCTATCTGGAGTACCTGGGCGGCCTGGTGCCGCTGCTCAAGGGCAAACGCACCTCTAAAATTCGTCCCGAGTTCGTTATTTTCGATCCCCAGGTTAATGGTGAGTATCATAAACAAGTTAATGGGCGATTCGATTAAATAGTTTAACATCTTTTAGATGCCCCCTTGTACTTTCAATACTCCGCCGAGGCCAAGAGCTCCTCGGGCTCCAGCCAGTCCACCACAACGGGCAACAGTGGACGCACTGACTCCTCGGACAGTGAGTTCGAGGAGAGATCTCGCTTTGGCTCTCCGAGGACTCCGCGCAAGAAGCGAGTGCGTCCAAAGAGGCGCCACCAGGCTGGTGATCGCTTGAGTGGTTCCGGAGGTGGAGGAACCAACGATCCCGATAGCCTGGATGAACTGGCATATGTGGACACACTGCCCGAGGTAGGTGTCATTCTCTCCCGAAGAAGATCCACGCCATCACTGATTCTTTTCGTTTTCTCAAGCAGGAAGTCAAGCTGGTGGAGGTGACATCCAACATTTGGGGAACCAAGTTCAAGATCCATGGACTTGCCAAAACCGTCCCAGCCAATTTAGGCCAAGTAACTTATAAGACGTCCCTACTGCATTTGCAGCCGCGTCAAATGACGCTGGTCATCACCGAGCTGCGCGACGATTTTCCACCTGGTCCCGATCCCAGTTTTAATCCGAACATATTCTCCGAGGACGAGGACGATCATCACCAGCACCAGGTCAATCATCACGATGCAGTGCCGCAGGTGAATGTGATCACCGCTCAGGATGGGGTTTCCCTGAAGCCTCCGATAATACCGCAGCGTCGCCTCACCGATGGAGCGTCTGCCCCTTTGATAGCGCCCATGTCACCACGTCCAAATCGAATCCTGGCGCGGCACAAGAACTCTTTGACTGTGAATGGAGGAGAACGCGGATCTGGTTCTTCGGCGGGCTTAAGTCCACTGGCTCGAGCGGAGAGCTACGATGATGATTCATCCAATGAATCCCAGGAGGCTGGAGCTGCAGCCTGCCAGTCCACTACTGTCCTTCTGCACCAGGCTCCTTCGAATGGTTCAGGAGTGGGACCCAGCAGCAGTAAAACTATTACTCGCCCCAAGACCATCAGTAGCTTCAAGAACAGCTACAGTCGCTCCAGCTCAAATTCCAGTTGCCAGTCCCGTCACGCCATCTCGCCGCTGTATTGTGATGGAGCAGTGCCCACGCTGCAGAGTCCCAAGAATGCAGTGGCTCCCTCGGACATCATCTTCGAGCGTCCAGCAGTGCCTGCTGCCGGCCAGACCACCCTGATGTCGTATTCGAGCAATGCAGACTATGCCAACAATGTGGTCCAGGTGAAGAATGCCCTCATGTCGGAGCCAGTGCGCTCAGCCAACAGCCATGTGAACCCTGTGCCGCTGAATCTTAACCTAAATCTGGAGCGAATGGATGCGCGGGTCAAGTGCATGGCACCCACCACCTCCTCCACCGCCAAGCGCCGTGAAATGCTGTATATCGATGAGGAGACGCAATCGCCAACGCCCACGCCGAGCAGCAGCAACATGAAGCGCACCCCAACGGTTGTTTCGATAGCTCCTGCATTACCCGACTCTATCACACGCAGTTGTAGTGTGGGCTATCTGGATTCGGTGGCCATCACGCCATCCGATGAGGCACTATCCGCACTGCGCAAAGATGCCCCGAACAAGCGACTAATTCTCGTGGATAAGCGAAAGAACCGCAGAAAACGGCAGCAGCAGGAGGATGCCCGGCGGCACAAGTTGCAACAGACTGGAAAATCCAAGAGCTTAGATTCCTGCGACCTGCTTTCCTTGCAGACAAAACTGTCTAGCAAGGAGCACGAGCAGGTGGTGCGCAAGCTGCAGGAGATCTCCGACAGCAGCGCCTGCAGCAGTGCGGCCAACACACTGTGCTTCAAGTGCCGCAACAACATGAATCCCAGCAGTGCCTGCAAGCGGTGCCAGCCCTCGGCGGGGTCCGTCCTGGATGAGATTACGTCCGTTGTTGTGGCGACAGCAGTGGAGCCTGCTAAGGAACCTCCTGTGGTCAGCGTACAGGCCAAGCCGGTACCCAAGAAACGCTTTGATGTCATTACCAGCTTCACTGACTCCCCACTCTTTACGAGGAAACACCGATTTGGAATCGGACGCAGCAAGGAAACGGCAGGCACCGAGAACTCCACACCATTGTTGGGGAGAAAACAGGACAATGGATTCAGCTTTGTCAAGCAGCTTTCCGAGGTTCGCTGGAGGCGCAAGGAACAACCGTCTCAGTCGCAGGTTAATGGTTCTAGTAATGCCAGCACTTTAGAGCGACAACAGCAGCCGGAGATCACGGGAGCAGCTTGTGGAACTGTGGAAGCCACGCCAGTGGAGGCCAAGGCTTCGGTTTCTTTGCATACTCAGGTGGGAGGAGTAATAATTGCATATTTATAAATAGAAATGAATCATTACAATTATATCTTTAATCCTCCAGGCCCTTACCACCTTAGAGAACATAATTAGCCGACTTCGTGATCTCGACGAGGGTCGTCTGACACCCCCATCTACACCACAGCGACTGCCACGTAGTTCTCCAGCGTCACCGGCTGCCAGCAAAAAGAACAAGCGTCAGCAGAGCAACTCGCCCATTCGTCACATATTAAATTCACCTCTTTTAAACCGGCGTCAGCGCAAGAAGCAGAGTATTATCGAGAGCTCCGATGATGAAGGCAACCAGACTAATGGTTCTGGCGAGGAGAGCAACAACGCGGGCAATAGCAAACAGTATCGCGACCTGGAGACATTCCAAAAGGCCCAACTGCGTCAGAAGGTGAGTCTGAGTTTTAGGGTTTTTATTAAAACTAAAACTTTATCTAAAGCCGGCAATAAGGGGAAAATTTGAAAAAAAAAATACAAATTTCTAATGTGCAAAATCAATTCTGACTCGACAGATTTTGAAACAATAAAAAAAAAGGTTTTAGTTTTTTTAATGTTTTATTATTTTTATGGAAAAATCTTTATCCACAGCTTAAGCGTGGCAAAATCGAACCGAACGGAAGTGCAAGCTGTGCCAATCCGGCGCCTGTGCGTCGTGAGTTTGTGATGCACAACAAGGCGCCTATGTGGAATGAGATGAGCCAGGTGTATCAGCTGGACTTTGGGGGACGTGTTACTCAAGAGTCGGCCAAGAATTTCCAAATTGAGTTTCGTGGCAAGCAGGTGAGTGCAGCATAAAAATGAATCTTAAAGTGCAGACAAATAATATCTTAACCCCACAAACAGGTTATGCAATTTGGGCGTATTGATGGCAACGCCTACACATTGGATTTCCAGTATCCTTTCTCCGCCCTCCAGGCCTTTGCCGTGGCCCTGGCCAATGTGACCCAGCGCCTTAAGTAATCGAGAATCGAGGGATCAGATATCGTATTGCATCGCATCTTTGACGTGCATGGCTCTTCAGAAATATCGCCAGCTAATTGCAGCAATTGCTTTTTTGGCCTACGCTATATATATTTTTTATACCAAATACGGGGGGACGGACGATTAGCTAAAATTGCTTTATCATTTGTATATATTGTATATGTATTGTGGTCTTTAGGTTTCCGAATACCGTACTTTAGTGATTATGTATGTGAACACGTACCACCACTTGATTGAAGGTTTTGCCATGTGCAGCACAATGAAATACGAGTGCGAGCACATGGGTGTGCAAACTCACAGTCCGATCCATTTTTGTGCAATATTTGTATGACAAATTTTTTGGATTAAGTGTAGCCGAGTGTAAATGCTAGACGTAGACGATGATGTACCATGTATTTTAAATCAAACTACTATAACACGATTAACGATCAGTCGGTTTTTAACACTAGTTTGTACAAGAGCAGCCTTTTTTGCATAGAGCTTCGTTTCTCGCTTTACTCGATTTAAGTGCAATAACTCTTTTCGTTAACTCCTAGACTCTAAGACATATTGGCGAAACCAGCAAACCGCTTGGCCCAGCACTCGAAAAATTCATTGTAAGTAAATGGACAAGTCCGATTACTTGATGCTAGCATATTTTTTATATGTGTAAACTAATTGTGAATGTTGAATCGATCGACAGCAAATAATACAGAACTTTGTGCTTTTCCTCTCAACTTTCGGTAGTTAGGCTTAATTTCAAGGAAAATTCGTTATTGTAATTGTTGTGAATATTGAAATAAGCACGAGTCGTAAACGATTTAGGCGGTCAACTACATAAATCATTAAGTAAATGTATTTTACGTGAATAAAGGCTTTCGTTTTATAAATAACAATCAAGTATTGCAACTAAACTAAGTCAAAGGGTCCAATGTTATGTCTTTTTATTTTGCTTTTCAATCTCGATCTCTGCTTTCTCCCAATCTGGAATGCTTTTTTCCTTGATGTGCCACGAATCTGTTTTAGGGCCCTTTACCTCAGCTAATGGGTATTAAAATAATTAATACAAATATTAATTCAGGGGTCAGTATTAGACTCTACTCACAGTTCTTGAAACGCATTACTCCCTCCCGCATATCTTTTATCATTTCTGAAGTTACATTAATGATCTCATTGTAACTGGCCACATGGAAACCTGGTTTGTTGTAGGCATTGGCATTCTCCAGCAGCGCATTCCTGTCGTGCATCAAGGAAGCCATGGGAAACTTTGCAATCGAGAAGGCCAGATTGACTGCTTGTCCCAAAGCGGTGCCCGTAGCCACAACGCGGTTCACCAAGCCTATCCGCCGGGCTTCCCCGGCGTCGATGCGTCTTCCTGTTTCAATAATGTCCAGGGCGTTGGAATAACCAACTGCAGCGGCCAGACGCACAGTTCCTCCATCGCTTAGAGGTACTCCCAAGCGGCGATTGAAGAACCCCATCACGGCAGTGTCCTCCATCACCCGCAGATCACACATAAGAGCCAGTTCCACTCCTCCGGCAACACAAAATCCGCTGATGCCGCAGACGATTGGTTTCCGAAGGTGTCGCCTTGTTGGTCCAATAGAGCCCTCATGACGCAACAGGAAGTGGAGGCTGCCGCGCTGGGCCTCTGCCTCCAGTTCCTCCAAGTCATAGCCAGCCGAGAAGGAGCCACCTATGCCGTAGAGTACACCCACCGGGGAACTATCATCCGCCTCGAATTGACTGATGGCTTCGGATAATTGTGCCGCAGTATTTGCATCTATGGAGTTGCGCTGCTGCTCGCGATTTAGGCCTATCAGAGTTATGTGGGAGTCCTTCTCCACCAGCACTGTGCGGGCGGGCGTTGCACTTTGAGATTCATTTCTTATAGCGGACAAGAATAGTGATCTGCAACCCGAATTGGCTTGGTTTACACTCTGTAATAGCTTACAAACAAATCTGCTCATTACGCCGCCCAAAACAACAACAACATTGTGCAGCGGGTGGCAGGGGCGTAGCCCGGAGCATTTATAATAAGGGTACGCAGTTATCTATAGCAGTAGAATTAACCTTAAAATACAATTTATCCCAAAGCTAAATCTTATATTTATGTACAATTTCTATTAAAAATAAACTATCTTTTATAATTTTTATCATAATAAATCTACACCCATGCACTTAAGTGTTGTGTAACGTCACAATCGAGTTCTTTCGCGCGGTCTTTTCAAGCACTGCTTGTCAACCGTGAGAGAGCGAGAGAGACGCCGAGCTGTCAAAAAGGTGGGTGTGTGTTTGTGTGGAAACAAAAAGATAAAAAACTGCTCGAGAACGCAGCGTTTGTTCCCAAACATAAATTTATAAGTAAAAATCGCAAGGAAGCAGTGCAAATCAATTATTTGGCTGTGCCGCCTGAGCCGGCGCTCCGAAACAAAGCGCGATTAACGAAACGCACAGTGATATAAGCAAAGTACAAAACAGTCGCAGCCTGCCAGACAAAGGAAAAGGATAGAAGAGGTGAAAACGGTAAAACAATATATCCCCATCCGATATTGCCATAACAAAAGATTTTCCGAGGCCCCCGACCCCCTGGCCCATGCCACGCCCCTCGTTGCATGTGGCGCAACTTTAATTGAATCGGTTATGAGAACTTAATTGTGTCTATTTTCGGTCGGTTTTTGTGCGTCTGCCGGTGGCTTCCGCGTCACCACAACATTCGCCCGGCCCCGCCCACTGCGCCACTGGAGGGGCGGTCGCCATTTGGTCCGCTGTTCCCATTTATTTTTTGTTTTTTGTGCCGCAGTCTGTGTCGCCCATCATGAGCTATTTTTGAAAATTTTATTTGCGAAAACAAAGTGCCACCGCAACCGAAATGAGATTCTCGTTTTATTATGCTTTATGGGCCTGCCTGCGGTTGTTTTCTTTTTTGCGGCCGGGACACACCTTTTGAGAGCCCTGCCTTTGATCATCTCAAAGATATTCCACAGACCCTCGTAATTAACCTATATACAGTGAAACTTCCCTACCTCGAATATTCTAGAGCTTGTACCAAACTAACTGCTCACATTATTTGGCTACTAGATTTTATACCATTTCCTCCATTAGTTCAACTTGCATTAGTACGTTTTATTTTGAACTCTCTTTGTCCAGTTTTTTCTATTCCCAATAATGCTTTCAATCGCTGTATTTGAGCACCTAAAATGTGCATTATAGTACTTAATTATTAACAACGAACTTTAATTCTTTTTTAAATACCATTCAACTTAACTTTATGGTATCAACATTCCATTTATATTTGGTACTATTACTTGAGAATATGCCTGTCACTGACTTTACGCGGAAGACCATTGTTTTTATGGTGGATCAATTTGAGGAAGTTTGACTGTATACAAATGTGCGGTCAGTTGTGTCTGCCGAGTTTATTGCCTCGAGTAGAACTTAATTAATTGAATTAAGCTAGCGAAGACATTCATCTTCCATCTTATTTTTGCCCACAGCACACTCAGTATATAGCTTGCGGCACACTCAGCACTCACGATGTCAACCGGAAGGCCCATAAAATGTGTTGTCGTTGGCGACGGCACTGTCGGAAAGACCTGCATGCTAATCTCCTACACGACAGACTGCTTTCCCGGCGAATATGTGCCCACAGTGTGAGTATCTGTCTCCTTTCTTTCAAAACTTTGATCAATATCTAACTTTTATTATGTTATCTTCACAGCTTCGACAACTACTCGGCGCCCATGCAAGTGGACACAATACAGGTCTCGCTGGGACTCTGGGATACGGCGGGTCAAGAGGACTATGACCGCCTGAGACCGCTCTCCTACCCGCAGACAGACGTTTTCCTGATATGCTACAGCGTGGCGAGTCCCTCGTCCTTCGAGAACGTTACCTCGAAATGGTATCCGGAGATAAAGCACCACTGCCCCGACGCGCCCATCATTTTAGTTGGTAAGTTGCCAGCGACGTGAAGACACCGAAGGGGGTGTACATTTATTTTTGGTCTTATTGCAGGAACCAAAATCGATTTGCGCGAAGATCGAGAGACACTTAGCGGTCTGGCAGAGCAGGGACTGACGCCGCTAAAGCGGGAGCAGGGTCAGAAGCTGGCAAACAAAATACGCGCTGTGAAATACATGGAGTGCTCCGCCTTGACGCAGCGCGGCCTCAAGCCGGTAAGTCATCGCAGCTGGCACACCCACCTCTCACTAATTCCCCCACTCCGATTACATTTAGGTGTTCGAGGAAGCAGTGCGCGCGGTGCTCAGACCAGAGCCGCTAAAGCGACGCCAGCGAAAGTGTTTAGTTATGTAAATAAGGTAGCATGTTATTGGCTTTGACAGAGTAAAGAGATTCCTCGGAAGCGACACGTACACCGGCGCGGCGGCCGGCACACATAGACACCCAAGCAGCGCCCTCATCGACAAATCAATTACATATATTTATTTATAAAAGTTTCAAATTTCTCGTAATGCATCAAGCCCTAAACGGTCCCGATAGAAAACTCTGAAGCAACACTAGATACTGCCACTTGAATTCGTGTGAAATCTATCGTTGTTTTCAGAGTTTTTTCTTTCGAATCGTTGCGGTCTTTCAGCACACCATGAATCCCTCCCGTAAAAATTGATACCACATTGTTAACAAACTCGGAACCACAGAGAAATCATAAATCGAATGCAGCTACACATGTAGAAATCTAGTCAATTGAATCGAATGTATTGTACTAATAGTATCAAGCAAAAAATGAAAATTATAAGAACCACAGCCAACTCGCAGCTAAAAATTGGTTTCGCATATCACGAGCATCGATGCTTTTCCTAATTTCCCATTAAATGTATTATAGTTATGTAGCCATGAGCTAAAGCTTACCAAATCTGAAACCAGGCCAATTAACTTGACGACGAGCTCTTAGAGAAAGCCACTTTTACAATATTCAAGCATGCGCATTTTTTTTATTCTAACTCGACCCTCGAATCATAATCATAATCAATCGAAGCTCATTTGACAATTTCTTTTGAAATGAAATAACTGTTGTTTATTATTTTATAATGACTTATTTATTACCCTAACTTTAAAAACGAATTGTATAAACAACTTTTACGGCGTAGGTATAGCAAAAGGATTATGTAAATGGAAGGGTAACCAACTGCATTTAAATGTGACGCGACTCGAATAATCGAAGAAACAAGAATCAAAAACAAATACAAAACCTAAAGAACCCAAGAAAATCACACAATTTTTCAAAAACACGATGAGAACGAAGATAAAGTTGAGACGTAACGAAATCCCAGGACAATTTTTGTACTAAATATACATATATAAATAATTCTAACGCAAGTCTTATGTAAATGAAATGTAAACGAAGGCCGTTTGGCTCCAGAGATGTAGCAGCCGTAAAACTGATTTAATACTTACGAAAATATATACTGTAATTATTAAAAGAAACAAACCAGCTGTATTTTGTGCTTAACTTTGCCTCTCAGTTAGTCGTTTATTTTGTTGTAAATGCCACGTTTCGTTTTTCGGTTCTAAACAATCAACGGTTTGATAAAATGTATTCTGCGTATGTATTTTTTTAGAAGTGCGTGCCTAGATATCAACTTGTGCACAAATCTCTTAGTGCTTCGATTGGGTGACGTCTCGTGCAACTTGTGGAGCAGCTCCTTGGACTGCGGAAGGCAAGGAGGAGGTCATCTCAACTCAATACAGGCGGAATGGCTTTGTGTGGACGGCTTGACCGGGCTTCTTCTTGGGACCCGCACTCTTGGGACGCTTGGGCTCCGAGTTCAGCGAGGGCATGGACACGGAAAGGACCAGGCACTCCGCTGGCAGGGACATGGACGAGGTGAGTGTGGTGGCCCGCTGGATGCGCGGCGCCTTCCAATACTGCGGGGATGCGAAAAAGAGTTCTTAGCAATAAACGATTTAAATTTCCAATTAGGAGAGATGCAAAATAGTTGTCATAGCTCGATTGAGATGGAGACTTACAATTTGCTTGATCAAATTTATTTGTTTCGATTACCAATGCATCCAATGATGTAGAGGAGGATGTGTGCTCGTGCGTGGCTTTGTTGGAACGCTTGCGGCGTGGGCGTGGCTTGCCAAAATGAGATACTTAAGTATCTCCAAAATTTGGTTTTGTCTATCTCAATACCGATACGATAAGTGGCTGTTGAAATTCAAAAACTAAGTGCAACAACGCCAAGATTTGGTAAATGAAAAAACGTTTTTTTGTTTGTTTATTATGCTTAAATTTTGCCATTGTTCTTACATTTTGTAACAGGGTGTAAATAAATCGTGAGAATGATGCGTTTGACTAATAAGATACAAAGTAATAGTAAAAATATGCTTAATACGTGGATTTATCTGTTCGGTTCGATTCGGTTCTGTTTGGTTTCGTTTCGTTTTGTTTTGTTTGTCTAAAAAGTATCTAAACTGTTTACAAATCAATGGGTCGCATTATCTTAGTCGTTTAACATTTAGACGTCAATTGTAACATTTTCAACTAAGCACACAGTTTATTCGTACGATTCTTGTATAATTTGCTTAAATATTTAGATACTTTTATGTATATATATATTTATTTGTATGTATATATGTATGAAGTTCTGGTAATACATTGAGATATATAATTTATGTCTTGTATCTGATGATAAAGAGTGCATTGCTCAACTAGTCAAATATACTTTCGATCTGTATACCAAATACCGCTTCTATGTGGGGTGGTTGTGTAGATGTACGAGTATCTGCATCTCATTGCGTGCTTGCACCTCTATCGAATTGCTCTGATCATTTTTACTGGCTTGTGAGGGTGTGTGGGAATTATCGCTTAACTTTCGTTTTGCTTTGTGTTGATTTTGCTTAGATAGTACATTTCAAATTAGCTGGTTCAATGTTCATTTTTCACTTTCGAGCCTAGATTGCAAAGAAAGATTCAGCTCGACATGCATTTCGGGCATTTAGCTTTGTTGATTTAAATTTTCATCAGCACCAGAAGCCGTCATGGATGGTAGTGGACTCTGCGTTCAAGATAAAAATATAAACGTGAATGCGTATCGATTGCACAAATCATAAAAAAATCTAATAAAAAGGTAAACCATAAGCCTTGTTAGAGTTAGAGTCATGAGTTGGTTGGAATGCAGTGGAGTAAACGAGGGAGTCGCAAGCAAATGCCCATGAAACCGCTTCGGGGCTCTATATAGTTCGGTTTTTGGTATGGATGCAGGTGGTCTGGCAAATCAGCTTGGATCGTTACCAACGGTTCGGTTAGTCTATCACAGCACTGTTAAATATTTAGGTATCTATAACTATCTATATACGAAACGGACATATCTTAGAAGAACTCGCAACGCACATTAACTTACGGGGTTTGCTTGATCGAATCGAATCAAATTGGATCGGATTGAATCGAAATTTTCTATATAGGTTAAAACCGCATCGCATTCGGATTTCGAGTATATGATGTAGTAGTTATATAGTATTAGGCGATTAATAACTCTAATGGACGTAACGAGTATACGAATTTCGAATTTAATGCACTTAGTTTCGTATGACTAGCCTAATAAAAATTGTATATATATTCCTAAAATAAACGAAAGAGAGACATTAAGCACAGAAATGAAGAACATTTAATAAGTCATAATTAATTGTAATTTAAAATTGATGTGAGTATGGGGTCAATGTTTGAGTGGTTTTTGTTTTAGTGTGAGAGAGCAAAGCACTGTTGTTAGATGATTTAAATGCTGGGCAGCCTTTTGCTAAACCGTCCTCAGGGTCGGAATCTGGGGTTCGGGGTTTCTTTGAGCAATCGCGGATCAGTATATTGTTCAAAATTTGTACTATCCTAAGTAGTGTAAGGTTGTTGACCGTTTGCCATAAATAATACTTTGTTAAAGGATATTCGCTACATACTAAAGGAGTTAACAAACATTGGGCCCTCTGGGGGGCAGTACTGTCCTTGCCCATGAGCAGAAACCTAGGGTTAAGATGTGATTTTAATCCAATTTCATCCTTTTTTTTTGCGGAATTGCTCAGGGGCAGGACAGCTTACATCATCTATACACCTTCCAAGGGCTAACCATTGAAGAATGCATAAACATATATATCGGTTACAATTTAAAATAGAAACTCTTGCAAACTCATTCGAGATTTCCGGTTTGAGCTTTTCTTCTAGTTGAGTTCGGTTTGTGTTTAGTTTAGTTTGGTTTAGTTTAGTTTCTTTCTGTTAAGTCCTGCATCAGTTAAATCGTTTGGCTTTAGGTACAGTACAGTAGTTGATGGATGTCTTAGTTAAAGCTAGGGAGTTCATTTAAAAAGCGACTCAAATATATTGTTACACACACAGTCTGAGTTACAGAGACCGAATTCTAGATGGATCGTGGCAATCAAGCGCCCTTGAGCCGCAAACTACAATTAGCCGGCGGGGGTGGCAGAGAGCGAGCGAGGGGGGAACAGAGAAAGAAAGAGAAGAGAATAGTTTAGAGAATTGCGTGTAAAATCTTCAAACACTTCGGGAACACATGGATGGAAAGCGCTTTTGCCAATGAATCTCAGTTTGAGTTTGAAAGAAATTCATTTTTAAATGTAAAGTAAAGGTAATTAAACCAAGGAGACAACATAAATAAACAACTAAATCGAAGGAAACTAATACTCCAATGTGCAACAGTAGTCTCTAGCGGTATTAAATCACTTAAAAGTCATTTAAGTTGCTTAAAAACTCTAGAAACAAATGTGGCACACCCGAAAATAAAACATATTAAATGCCCGCCAATACTTTTCAAGACCTATGAGTGCCAAAATACTTTGTCCAAATGTTAGTTCTTATTAAATACAATTCCCCATTATCGGATTGATCTTTGGGTGGGAGTTCTCTGAAAGCGGTTTAGGGTGGTGGGTGGGTGGGTGTCTGTGGGTGGTTGGGTGTTGTGTGGGCCTTTTTGGGGGTGTGGTGCTTTGTTAGTTGCTGATTGTAAACCATAAAGTGTTAACCACAAATGCAACGCAATCAATTACAATTACGGATTACATAAAAATGAATTTCTCGGCGTAAACACAAAATGGGATATCAATAATATATAAATGTATATAAAATACTTGTATTGATTACTTTTAGTTGCTTTCGTAAGAAAATCATAGCTCTAATAATAAATAAGGGTTAAGGTTAAACTCTAGCTTTCATACGTATTACGTAACTACATTGAGCTTATGTACACGTAGTTTACCTGTGTTGGTGGTGTTGTCAGTGCAACAGAGTGTTCAACATTTTTCAAATAATCCTTATCATCGAAAATCTTCTTCTCACCGCCACCGGGCTTGTGCTTTACATTATCCAAAGAGCCAACTTTGCTTTGTGCCTTAATTTCTAGTTTTTGCGTTTGGATCTGAAAAGTAGCACCGGCACCGGCAACGTACAGAAATCAATTAGCAAGATCATATTTCAGATTCATTTTGGCAATGCAATGGGTAATTTCGATTAGGTTTTCGACTTTGCGGGTTGGTTATTATGGACACACGACAACAGCCAATGGAGGACACAACTGAAATTTGGAATTTTCACACACAGAAACAGCAGAGCACAGAACGTAACAAATGGATTACATTAAAGGTAAATCAATAAAGAATACGCTACAGAGTGTGGTGTATTGGGGATCTCAAAAATAGTGATGCTTAAGTGTTCCAAAAATACCAAAAAAAATAGGAAAAACATGAAGCATCTAGGGTTTCATACAAAAGCACACTTAATACACAGAGAAATAAGAGTTATCACGACTACTTACATCCTTGGGGTTGTTATCCTTCGAATTCGTTGTTTTAATGGTTTAGTTAAAAACAAAATACATTTTCCAAAATATTGTTTAAACATGTTTCGGTTCGTTAAAATAAGGATGGAAAAACAATAAGTTATTCTCAATTATTCAGAGTGGTTTTCGGTATGGTTAGGAACTAAACAGAATGCTCTCCTCGATATTGGATATTTACAATGCTGACCCCAAATCTAAGCTAGGTGAGTGGTTTTCGTTTTAGCACCTTGTTTCGGGAATATGTACATCTGGCGGGTGTTACCTACCCCGACTAAATCACTACTCCTCCTCATTATACAAATTCTGATCCAGGCGCTTGTCATTGGCGCAATGGCTGACTATTTTCGAGCCCTCGCCATAGATGATGTTCATCTTCCTATCGTAGTTCTGGAAAGTGGTTCAAGGTTTTGGTATTTGGGTGTTCTGGGTGTTAGTTGGTTTTAGTTTTGTTTTCTATAAACCTTCGCGAGGAGGTCAAACGTGACAGCATGCTGTTTAAAACTAAGAGAACATTGCAGTTCATGCACTGAGAGAAACAGATAGATAGGATAGATGCGGCCCATGCCCATGCCAGTTGGTAACTTAAGTGGAGCATCCAAAAACCAACAAAAGCCAACTGCAATCGGAAATCATACTTAACCGCTACAAAAATCAATATGTATATGAACTCGTTCTCGTCTCTGGGTCAAACTCAAACATGAAATCGGTTGGGGTGAGAGGTCACGAAAGTGGAGGGACTAAATACCTTGATATCACCGCCACCTGGCTGATGTTTCACGTTGGCCGTGGAGCCCACCTTCGGCTTGGCCTTGTCCTTGAAGTCCATCTTCAGGGTCTCGATCTTCTTGTCCCCGCCTCCTGGCTTGTGGGCGGCATTCTCCAACGAACCGATTTTCGACTTCGCATTCCACTGCAACTTTGTTGTAACTATCTACGGATTTGCAGTGTTTTTTTGGTTTTGTTTGGTTTTTTTGTTTTGGTGGTAATTGGTGGTGCGAGTGTGTGCGGATTCGATGGTCGTAAGTTGTAAATAGATACAAGGTAGGTAAACGATTATAAGCCAAAGTCAAAATCGATCGGATGGGATGATAGCTCCGCGTCAATGTCAGAGTCACACCCAACTCTGGCACATCCAGTGCGGATACGGATGGGTTTGGAATACGCTACATAAGGCAACCGAATTATGCTGCTAAGTGTCGCTGCGGATTGGTAATTGCATTTCCTACAACAACAGATACGAGATACAAGATACAAGATACCGTGCTGCCGATTGCCCATCTATAATGGGCATATAAATCTCAAATCGCAAATCGACCGTGAAATTGCATTTTAGTTTTGCCAATACGTTACTTTACTTTACGCGACTATACTTTACGTTTCTTTGGTTAGAGAGCTTTTCTCTGTATTCTTAAAAGCCGTTTGTAGATGAGAGAAATTTACAAAGATTTATGAGAGAGTCATGTCCTGGGATAGCCCAGAAAATATGCTTTAAATGGATACACCGGTCCCACCCATGGATTAAGCCGCTAACTTCAAGGTGGACAATCCCGAACATACCTTCTTCTCGCCGCCCTTTGGCATGTACTTGTCGTTCTTGGCCTCGATGCGCGGTGCCGCCTTGATGTCGATCTTCTTGGACTCGATTTTCACATGGCCACCACCCGGCTTATAGGTGGCATTGTCCAGGGATCCGATTTTGGAGCGCACAGCCTTCAGATTGGGCGAAGGCGCATGGCCGACTTGTACCTTGTTCATTGGAACTGATGGCGCAAAAGAAAAACATGTGTTATATGTCTTGAAATTAGAAAGATACATATCTGGAAAAACATCCTAAATTAATTTCCTATTGTAAACAATATAATATAATATACAATATTATAATATCTATGTCTTTGGAACATTGCTTCGATTTTGATTAAATTTTTGACTCATGAAAATGATTTTGTTTTGAAGTTAACTTTTTATAAATTATATTTTGAAGAGTTCCATAAAAATTAGTGAGTATTTTAATATTAAGTACAGCTTTACAATTCCGAGTATTATTTTAAACAATTAAGAACTAAATAAAGATGTTCATTGAATTATTTTTAAACCTAATTAATTATTTGTAATTACTTGAAAGACGTTTGAGTGTTTTGAAAAACATGAAATTATTTAATTCCTACTTTTCTCACGCTTTCTATATATCAGTAATTTATAGGGTATCAAAGTTGTAACTTTTTTTTATTGTTTTTAAATATAGATAGAATTTATAGTTTATATTCAAAGTTATCTTACCTTTCTTGGCTGGCTCGGGTTCTGGGGTCTTGAGGAGCAAGCGATTCTTGGAGGCGCTGCGCGACTTGGGGGCTGACTTGTTCGAGGGCGTGGCACTCGGTGGACGCGACGTGCCCGACTTGTCCGGCTTCGATGAGGTCGATGTGGGCGTCTTCACCGGTGAACTGGGCGAAATGGGTCCGTTGCGATCCTGCCAAGAAGAGCAATCACAGAAGGTGCTTTAAAAAACTGATGAATCTGCAGATGAACTCGATGCGAATTACTAGCAAGTAGGTCGAATCGGCCATTATGACGAGATGCATCCTGGTTGTGGCTGTGGTGACGCGGTTTATTAACTATTAACTATTAACTATTTACGACCCGCTCTCAACACTCCCGGGCTTTCCGGAGCTGTCAACGTAATGCCAATGGCATTTATGGCTGGCTGGCCGTACGCCTGCCGATGTCGATGTCGATGTCTCGGTACGAAGGACTTATAGTTTATGCATTGTTTTATCGATTGTCGCCGCTTCGTGTCGTTTTTGCATATGGATGGGTATTTATAGAGACAACAACTCCGGCTCAGTCAGAGATATATGTGTGCTATGATTTACCCCCGAAATTCCCGCCCCGATTCCCCCAAAACCATTTCGTGTTTGGCACTTATCTGTGCACAGATATCACCAGGCATATAAATCGCTTTTTGTGTGTATTTCTTTTGTGGGTTTTGGCAATATTTGCCTCTTTCTTTCGGGGAGTTTTTTTACTCGCACCTGTGAAGCTCACGTACTGCATATATATACATATATATATATATAGGAAAAGTGTGTTATCCCTCTGTTTGTTCGACTTTTGTCGCACTTTCTGCGGGTTTTTCCGACGCGCCAACTGCCGTCTGCCAACACAAAACTTAGTCTGAACTTTGGCGTCTGCACACGAACACACGGGCCAACTTGGGAACTGAACGACGGAACTGTCGCAGACTATGCTCTATATGCTATATGGTCTCTAATGGAGCGTGCAGCTTGTAGCTCGCAGCTCGCAGCTCGTAGATCGCAGCTCACCCGCTGGCTGCCACGGCCTTTTACAGATATTTATGATTTGAGAACCCAACGCAGCGGCAGGCAGACAGAGACGGTCAACGGAATTAAATTAATTTGTTGCCAGTTCCAGTTAATTTCCTCTCAATTAACGGAGACGCAGCGGTAGTAACAATTTATGGCTAACTAGTTAACTAGTTCAAAGCCGAACTAAACTCACCTTCTCCTGAGTGGACTCATCAACGCCGCTGTCATTGTCACCCTCTGAAATAAATTGATGGGAAACAAATTAGTTACAGATCAAATTTGGTATTGAAATGACTACTTCATTTTTCGAAAATATTTACAAATTTGCATATTCAACATGAAGATAGTCTTAAGGTCTTGGAATTTCATTAATAAAATTTACTAATACATATTTTAGTACTTTCTGTAAAAATGAGAATATAATTACATTTTGGGTGATATTGAATGAATTGGTAAGGAACAAATCTGATTTCTGAATTCCGAAGATGTTTTGAAATGCTTTCGTTACAAAATCGATAAAAAACCTATGCATAATTTTGTTAGGTAGAAGTTCACCAAATATAAATATTTTATATAAATAATCATTTTAAGTAATACTTCAATAGTCTATTAGGTCTAAATGTTATTGTAAAATCTAGGATATTCTTTAAAATAATATACATAGCAATCAAGCTTATTTAAATCTTCAAAATATAGGATGAATTAGGAAGAATCAACTGGGTTTTGAGTAAACTTAAAATGTATATTTCATTAGATAACAAACCCTCAAATGGCTTTACTAATGGTAGCTATTTCAAACTGAGTCTTACTAAATCCGGGTCCCTTTCGGGCATCTCCCGCCGGCGGGCTCGACTCGAAAGGTGGCTCAACATCCTCCAGGAGAGGCTCGCCCATGGGATCTGGCCTCTGGTTGAAGGCCTTGACCGGGGTGACCGCTGGACCCATGACCACGTCATCGTCGTCATCGTTGTTGTGTGCCGAAAGTGGGCGTAGTTGCTGCGGTGGTTGTGGCTGTTGCATGTGTGGCTGCTGCTGCAGTTGTTGTGGTGGTTGTTGCTGTTGCGGTTGCATGGCCGGCTGGTTGAAGGGCGGTCGGAAGGGGGCCTGAAGCGGTTGACCCGGCGGCGGGCGGGCAAAAGTGGGTGGCGGCGGTCGCGTCATATTCTGCGGTGGCCGAGCACCTGGTGGCATTCCTGGTGCCCCAGCTGGATTCCAGGGAAATCCACCCGGTGGCCTTGGTGGCCCCTGTCCCGGAGGACTCAGGGGTCCTCCAGAGTTGGGCAGACGAGCCTGCTGCATGTTCAGTTGCGGTGGCATTCCTGGTCGCATCGGCGGACCCATCAGCAGATTGCTCTTGCTGTCTGTGGTGCGCAGTGGTGGTGGCCTGGCCCCCATATTCGGTGGCATGGGTGGACGTGGTCCCATCCCGACCATCGGCCTGGCTCCTGCGAACGGAGGACGCGGCTGTGGTGGTCCCACGGCAGGACGCATCTGCGGTGGCAAGACAAAGTTCTGTGGTGGTGGTGGTCGCACATACTCGGGATTGGGTTTACTCTGGAGCAGGGGATTATGTGAGATGGTGGGTCTGGAATTGCTGCGTGAGAAAGTGCGATCTTTGGGTGGTGGTGGTGGTGCATTATAGCCGGTGGTGCTGTACTCAGTACGCTGCTGCCTCTCGTACAAAGAGCTATTGCTGGAGTAATCTGCAGCTGGCTGGGATCTCAATTGCTGTTGCTGGTTGCGATTTATAGACGACTGCTCATCTCTGGCTGCCTCGTAGGAAGGTCCTGTATTGGCCAGATACTCTGGACTCTGCTGAGTTCTTAACTGCTGCCTAGAACGATCAGAATCTGAACCATAGGAAGCACTATCTAAAGTGGAATAATCAGTGTTTGGCTGAGTTCTTGGCTGTTGTCTGTTGCGTTCCACAGATGAATCAGCGGCGTCATAGGATCTTAACTGCTGTTTTGGGCGATCTACGGATTCCGATTCTAAACCATAATTAGAGCGATCTGCAGGAGGATACTCTGACTTGAACTAACCATGGTGCTGCTGTTGCTGCACGGGGTAATCCTGTGGAGAAACCACCTCCTGGGAAAGCTCCTGGCTCGATCGCTCCTTTGCAGTGCCGTACATCCTGGAGCTAGAACTTCTCGCCTGCGGTGTCGGTGCAGAAATGTGCAAGTGTCGGGTAACCCAATACGTGGCAGGGCTCGAGAGCCAGCTTTTGGTGGCCAATGCCACATATACATATTCCACCAGCTCCTGCTGCCCCGCCAAACTGGCCCATATCATTTGCATATGTATGGCCATATATCGCTGTTTGTGGGGGTGCCAAGTGCTCGTGTATCAGTATCCTCGGTACAGACGTATCAATATAGTTCCCATTGAGTGGGTGCTTTCAAATTTGATGGCTCTTTCTGCATTTGTTTACATTTTATTGTTTTGGTTTTGGTATTCTCGGTTTTTTTGGCTTTCGGGCGGCGGCGGTGGCGTTGGCGGTCTTTGGTTACCATTAGGGAATTTTGTCATGAAATTCGGTTGCCAGTTGTAACATGATCCAAATTGTTTTTGTGGCTTATTGATTCAACAAAAGTTTCGGCAGTTCTAAGGCCCAAAATCGACGGGCCACAAGAAATCGCTGTTTGATTTGTTTCGCAAAGGGTTTCGCTCGCTTTGATATTTCCTACTGACAATGATGTATATGCAAGGTCGACGGCATAATACACCCATTAACATGGCCGATTTATTCAAATTATGCTCGTAAATCATTTGTGCATGGGCAATTTTGTGCTTTGAGTGCAGCTCCAGAATAAATGTGTAGGTACTTGAACCACAACTCACCGCATCGGTATCACTCATATCAGAGTGGCTTACTGCTCGAATGTGGACTGTGGACTGGTTTTGGTTCTGGTTCTCGGCACTGCCTGGCAATTAACTTTATGCAGTCCCGTCAGAAGAAAAAAAAAACCAAAAGAGCCGAAAACTTTTGCATTTAGTTTTGGTGTGTTACATTTGACGGGGCGAATCGATAAAATTGCACTGGAAGGACTCTTTAAACTGCTGCTGGAGGAGCTGTAACCTCAGCACGTGCCACACCCGATTGGCAACTAAAGACCCAACTGCAACTTGTGTCGAGTCAGAGTCGGAATCGCCAACTTCCTGGCAGAGAAAAAAAATAGCGAAAAGAAATAAAAGGAGGCCTGGCAGAAGCAGCAACTGCAAATTAGGGCCACAATGATTTGTGATTTACCGCGGCTGACATAAACCGAAATTCCACACAATGTTCATGTCAACCGCAACAACGACAACTGTCATTTGTGGCCAAATGGTCTTGGCCAAATTGATTATCATTGGTAGTGGTTGGTCGGATGGTTGGCAGTTGGAAGTCAACAGTTGCACGGGCACAGGTGCAATACATAAACCACAAAAGTTTCCTAAGCGCTCCTGCTGCCGCTTTTCAATTAGATTCACCCTCTATGCCAACCGGGCTGAAACCAGAAATATTTTGTTAACAAAAGTTGGTCCTTCGGCAATTGAATTTCCCGTTTGCCTGCCACTGCAGTAGCGATTTTTATCACACATACAGACCACTATCAATTGTTGCAGTTGGCCATAAAACAAGCGCCATGCAATTGTATCGATTTTCCTAGCCAGAGGGCAATAACTTGGCCACTTGTACAGTCTGAGAAGGCTAATGCACTTTGCACTTTGCGTTTGCGTTTGCATTTGCCTCGAGGATGTGTGGGGGGATTTTACCTATGAAACCAGCCACGCACTCTGGACAATGTGTGCCTTAAATGTTATTTTATTTTTATATTTCCTATTATTTGTTATAGTTTATTATTTGGCTTATTTATTTAACTATAGTTCACTTCGCGACGTCAGCTCTGGACTGCGTTGTGTTTGGCGCGAGTGTTAAAACTCGACTGCTTTTATTTGCTTTGAAAAATTTCGAATTACAATACTTAGAATTTGTTTTGATACGCCAACTTGGACTGGCGGAGCGTAGCTGCTCGTAAACTTCTCGGGGCGCATAAACAGAATGTGTCCTTGCGCAGTTCAAAGAGCAGGATATTTTCGTTGGAGCAGCACGTCGCCTGGCTTATTCTATTGACATACAAATTTATTAGTGGGGCGCCGGGGAAAAATGCAAATTCAACACGCCAGCAATGAGAAAATAAGGGGGGGCCCCGATTTTATATGCAGATTTCATTTGACTTGATTAATTTAATGGGCACTGGGGGAGGCATTTGGACGCGCATTTGTGCAATTCCTCGGCGGTAATCCTTTTGCTAACGGCAATGGGGCACACACATACGAGTCTGGGGAACTTGCACCGCTTGCCACGCACTGCAAATATTTATTATGGCCTTCCCATTATCCAGGTGTTGTTGTCATAGGTTCCCCTAATTGTTGTCTATTTACAAGCAGCCAGCACGCAAGATTCCAGCGTAAACATAAAAGTGAGCCAGCGACGGATCCCAACTGACATGAGGGTGGCTAAGGATAAATCCTCAGACAGTGTAGTCTTTGGCTAATGTCTGCCTAGTTCTTTACCCTAATTCGATTGTCAAGGTTATGGGGGGTTACTTTTGCTCTGGCTGCCTAGGTTAGGTTGATTTTTCAGGGGCTTATACATACAGTTCCCATGGATTTTTATAAATACTTAACATACCAATTGGTAAAGCCATTTTGAGTTTATTACACACGAAATTGTATTGCATTAATATGCAGACAAACCTGGAAAAAGAGAAAATATTTGATTTTAATTACTGAGAACATGTAGAAAAAAAATTTTAATTAATTTTAAATTCTAAAAAATTACAAGGAATACAAAAAGTGTTTAGATGAGTAGTTTTTTAATGTGATTAAAAATTATAATTTTTCCCATTGTTAATTTTAAACGTAACGAATTTGTATTTTATTTCAAACGAATTCGCCCCAAAATATTACCAATTCGCCGCTTGGTTGCTGTATAAACTAAGCTTATACAAAAACCCCGATTAAGTAAATGCTACAACCGTTGATTGGCAGCACTGTTTGCAATTGTCGCCCTGCAGTTTATTTTGAAATTACAATTTGATTATTATTAAATTACTTAATAAATCAAATTCGAATGTTTGTTTTCTGATCATCATTCAAAGCTAAAATCTGGAACACTTAAAAATCAGATAAAAAGCTTGGTAAGCACATTTAAATTGTATAAGAAGCGGTGTTTCAATAAACAACCCCAAATTGGATTTACTGAACATTTTAATTAGTAAGAAATTACTAAAATGTTATGCAAAATTGAGTGCATTTAAACGGAAACTCACGCAAAGCAAGGTCGAATGCTTTTGTTGTTACTTTTCAATTGAGGGTTGCTTTGCCACCCCCAAATTGCTTTCGTTTTCCTTTCTTGCCGGCGTTTGTTTAGCTTTTTTTGGGGGATGCAGCCGGTCGGGGTGAGCTCACGTTGTATCCATCGGCATGCCTTCCTTTTGGTTGGCTTCCTTTGGTCAATTTGTGTCTGCGCTCCGCTCATTGATTATTCTATTCAGCATTCCTGCGGGGGAGGAATTCCTCATGTGGTTGCTGATGGCCGAACTGCGCATGTTTGGCCAGAATATCCTGCGACGCAAAAGATGAATCACAGTTCACAGGAGTGTCATGGCATAAAACGCAGTTCATCAAGCAAGGTGCAGGGATACACAGGAAAAAATATGCTATTCTGATAACATTTTCCAAAAGGGTTATAGCAAACAGATTGTAATCTCAAAAGTATCCTATCTTAATTAAAGATTTATTAGTTATAATTGTCAGTGTTGATAAGCCATCTAGATTTGTAATTTATCTTATTTATAGTAAATAAAAATATATAGTATATATAGTTTATTTCCCTAGCTTGTCAATAGTTTTGAAACAGCTGATGGTTTCCAATTTGTGTTTTCTAATTGAACTATTAATAAAGTTTAAATCTAGTGTTAAGAATCGATTAAACACGATAAGAGCTTCTTACAAGGAAGTTTCCAACACTCTTTAAGGCTTTCAGAAATATATTGTAAGTAAGACCGGTCACATTAACTCGTGTAACTTTCTTTTACTTTTGAGATTTTATCGAGATAAGTTCGATTCTTCGCAATTATTTGATTCTAATCAAGCAAGTCCAGCATGTTCATTCCAAAGGCCAATCGTGTCGCCATCTACGAGTACCTCTTTAAGGAGGGCGTAATCGTGGCCAAGAAGGACCATCGCGTCCAAAAGCACCCCAATCTGGAGTCGATCCCAAATCTGCAAGTCATCAAGACGATGCAGTCACTGCATTCACGTGGCCTGGTGAAGGAGCAGTTCGCATGGAGGCACTACTACTGGTGCCTGACCAACGAGGGAATCGAGGAGCTGCGCAGCTACTTGCACCTGCCCCCCGAGATTGTGCCCTCCACGCTGACGCGTCCTGCCCGTTCCGAAACAGTGCGTCCACGTACGGGAGCTGGAGGACCTCGAGGATTCGGAGGTGGAGCCAAGACCGACGAGGACCGCTCCAACTATAGGCGCAATCCTGGCGACGGCGGATTGGACAAGAAAGGCGACGTGGGACCCGGAGCAAGTGACGTCGAATTCCGCGGTGGCTTTGGACGCGCATCTCGCTACTAAAGCATTTGCTGACCTCCAGTTTTATTGATGATAAATAAAACGATGTTGAACTACTACTACAAACTTCCCTTCAGAACAGCATAAAGCAAACTCTCTCTATTTTATGTTATTAATCAAAAAGCTATATTTTATAGCTAATATTTCAAGTCGATCTGCAGGATCCGCAATTTCAATTGTTGTTAATGATTCCAGAATTCAAAAATGCATTCAAAAATTTATTTGTTTTGAAAAACTTTCACAAAAATAAATAAATAAGCTTGAATACAAGGCATCTAATACCTTTAAAAATTTTTAACTAAAAATGTATAAAATTAAATTTGATCATCTAATAGAATAGAGTGGTAAGTATACTTGGAAATATAAAGAAAGCTATAAAAAAAACATTCTAGAAGCAATATGAAAGCATACAAATTATGGTTTCCAGTTTATTATGTTAGTAGCAACTTGAATACAAAACTTTTTCTCCCCACAGAGAGGACTTATCAATTAATCAAGAGCCTAATTTATGTCTGCGTTGACTAGGACCTCTGGTGGTTCGTATTTCGTGTCGAACATGGCTGTATTTATGGCCGGGCTGGTTGGCTTGTTGTTGGGTAAGTTAAACATTTGTATTTTTGACGCACTTCGATTATTGATTGGCTTCCACAAAATGTGGCAATTGTTGTCAGTGCGGCAGCAGCACGCACGATATGTCAGCCAAAACGGGCTGGTGCCCCAAACATGGACATGGCTACAACTTCAACCAGAACAACAAATTATGCGGCGTCTGCCCAAAGAGGTATTAGCCATTGGGATGGGTTTATCAGATGGGGATTGGTATTGGGATTGGGTAACCCGCCCAACTGAAGACACCCCAACTGGCGAAAGTGCACAAATGTGTGTCCATAAAATCGTGGAAAATCGGGCAAGTAAAACGAAATCAAAGCAGGTCCCCCGAGTTTATTGAACTGGAATTGGAAGTGCCAACTCTACAAGGGGGCGATGTTCGCGCCGAAGCCATTTGACAACTCTTTTGTGGCTTTAATTAGAGGGTAACACGGACCGAAAGGGATTTGCATGTCGCGTGTCTAGCGACACTTCGTTCGCGGGAAAACAATTAAGCAAACACCCAGTCAGCAGAAGCAGTCCTCAGGAGCTTTATTAATTTTTTGTTGCCAACTTTATTGATCAAACTTTTTATTTTGTAATTAATTAATCAAGCCCAAACTATGCCGCATTTCTAGAGATGCATCCAGCAGATATACAATGCATTAATATGCCAAAGGCCCAGGCACAATAACAACTTAATGAACGTTCATTGTGCGCCATGTGAATGCTAATCGTCGTTGCACCTAGTCGACAAATTAGCCATAAGGCAAGCTTCTCGATTGGTAAATAGGTACAAATTCTCAAATCGATTTACCGACTAATTAATTAATCATAAAGACCATATGGGCAGGCCATGCGTATCCCAAAGTCACAAAATCAAAACCCAAAATCCACATTCGTCTTGCTTGAATAGTTTTGTTTTAAGGCGCGACGCACAAATATGGTTCCAAATATTCGGTAATTGTTTCTCAAAGCGGAAACCTTAACAATTAGCAGAGTTTTTTAAAGCTTTCCGTTAAGACAAAAAGGTATCTACGAAAAACTAGCGCACGTCCCCAATAGAAAAAAGAAAAGAAAAAAAAAACAGAGAGAAGAAAACTTGGAGGGAAAATCAATTGCAGCGCCAAATGCAAATGAGAAACGAAACTGTCGCTCAGCTGGCAGCGTTTTGTGATAATTGAAAAGCCACTGTGAAATAGGTGACAGAAATTGCAACGAATCTTGGCTATTTATAAAATCGGTGAGCGCACTAAAAGCAAAGAGATTGGTTTGCTTTCAATGGAGCACCATTGCGTCACACGAAGAATATTAATATTAGAAAATATATGATTGATAAAGAAAGTGCAAAGCCTTTTCCACCTGCCTATCAACACAAAACACGAGCTAGTGCCATTTATAATCAAGATTAAATAGAGCGGGTGACTTCATGTGGATGAGAGCTCTGATAGTAATCAACAACTATATTTTTACTTTTATTGTACGAGCTAAACAAAACCTATAGCAGCGCCGCATTGTTATTGTTTTTATTTAGCAGAGCCGGTTTGCTCTTGACTTGAACACTTGATTTAATCATCACCCGAGGCTGGGGTGTATCTTTTTCGCTGCACACATATCATACTGCCCTAATGAAGTCAACTGTTTTAGTGAAATGCTGAAATGGAACCAAGTCGTTTGGGGGATACCCTGACTGATAGGAAATATGATATAGAATTTAACTGGGTGCTTTTTGTGAATATTGCAAAGCTGAACGACCCAAAATTGAAGGTACACACGGCTTGATTTAAAACGAGGTCAGCTGCAAAATAACCACAACAGCAGCGCACTCAGAAAATAAACCTCTACAGACTATTTTGTATTAACGAAGAAAAAACAATTTTGACAAACAAGAAATATTTTATAAATGTCACAAATTTGTGAAAAAATGAAAATCTTCTTGATTTATTTAAATAAATTATTTATTTACACTTATTACAAGAAAGTAAGAATATACTTTTATCTTCGCTTCAGAAACTTGTGTTCGAACTCAGCGACTGAAATAAATAAATATGAACTTTTTTAACACTTTTAGTAAATGGTAAACGAACTTTCTTCGAGAGTACTTAAGAACAATAAAAATGTTATTAAATTAAATAATATACAATATCTTATGTAAATTTGCCACTCCTCTTAAAAAGCCTATACAAAAAATGGTGAATTTTTGTAATGTCAGGGATTATCTTTTTTTGAGTGCAGTTGCCGCATCAGCACGAGCTCGAGTTGCTGATAACTTTTATCGCAGTCGGCTATATCTATATCTATATCTGTATCTGTATCCGATAGATACACACTGGTACCTAGACAATGCAGTGGTCTGGACTGAAGGCACCGGGCATTAAGCGCAATTAAAAGCTGCACTCGGCCGCCGTGTGGGTGGTGGCTTGCCACAGTTGCAGGTCATTAAACCGAGTGAAGAGCGCTGGTGGCACAATGAAGCCACATCCACATCCACATCCTGCCGGCAGTCGAGTCCTCTTCAGACAGGCCCAAAAGCCGAAAACTTGCGGGTCTAAGCTGTTGTTCAAACAGATCAAACGGAGAACACCGAAACAGCCAAATCTATTTGCATAATGTGGCGGGCATGACGTGAGTCGCGACTCTGCATGTCCCTTTGGCATAACCATCAATGATGTCCTGGGGAGTGCCGGCACTACAATTTTCCTAATTGAGCCATCGCCAATGCAGGCGTGCCTTGAACTTTCCTAATTGATTTTCTAAGATACACACCCGGCGTATGCGTAATGCGCTGTGAAGTCACTTTTACTTGGTAAGTAATGGTATATACATAGTATGTGGTAACTCCCCCTTACCTTTTTGATCCTGATTAGCCCTCGCAGTTGCAGGCTTCTGTTGTTGTTGTTGTTGTTGCTGTTGCGGTGGTTGTTGTTGCTGCTGCTGTGGTGGTGGTGCTGCTGCTACGGCTGCTTCCTGTTGCAACTGCTGGTGGGGCAGCGGTGGGTGAGGATGGGATTCGCCTAGTGCTGGCACAGCATCCAGCAGGGAGCTTTTCTCCAGGACATCCGCCATATTGAAAGTCGAGCGAGTGTGTGTGAGTGCGTGTATCTGTGTGTACCGTACCGTTTCTGTATTTGTTGCACTCACGGGAAATCTCAAAGGATCTGTCGGTATTTTCTTGTGTGTGTATCTTTGGGCTAGTCCTTTTCACTTTTGCACTTTGCACTCAGCGTTTTGGCTGCCGTTCTATTGGATTATTTACCCCAAAAGCAGAGCGTTGAAAAATGCTTGCGAATAATATATATAACAATATTTATATTTCAACTTTGTTGTGCACTCGCGCTCACTCACTTCACTGGCACTCGGCTAATTTATTTGAATTTTTGCTAGTGCAAATTTTGTAAAACGACGAGACAGCACCCGCTCGGTCGGCTGTTTTGTATCTTTTGGGTTTGTTATCTCGTTTTCAACTGATTTTCATTCCTAACTAACGTTCGCAGGCGGCGCGCGCCGTTGAGCTTTTTCCGGTCACGAGCTTATTTAGTACACGGTATTTGGGGGTGGCATTGGATTTTTATATACATAGTTTTTAAAATATAAAGAAAGAGTGTAGCTCTTATTGCGGAATTTTTTAATATGTAAATTTTGGTTTATTTTAAAAGAGGTATTATTACTTTAATATCCGTAAACTTTTGATTTGCTAAACTAATCCATATATTTTTCTCAATGTATCTGAATGGTTTGTGTACCAACTACATAAGTTCAGTTTGAGGCGAAAATATATAATGGTTGCGACATTAACTGCAAAGTGCTTTCATGTATTTTACGATTGGTTTTATAGAAACTTTTTAGATGTATATGCTATACTTTCAGTATTTGTTCAGAAAAAACCGATTTAAAAATAACATGCATATACCTGTATGTGATTCATAAAAAATAATTTGTGTATTTGAAAAACCACTCCATGGAAAATTTGTTTAATATCAACAAAGAAAACAAAACCTTTATAAAAATTAAGGTCCCCTAAAAAGGCCGTTTATCCCATTCTTCCATCCCCCCTCTTCACGGCTTTTTTTCATTGATTGTGCAACACCTTTTCGGCTGCACAATTATTCTTAGTGTTTATTTAAATACATTTGACTTATTTCACTTTCGCACATTCACATGGTAAATTGAGAAGGTTCAAAGGCAACAAGTTACAGATTTTGTGACTTGGTTACTGCCTTTTTTGGCGCTTTCGGGTGTTGAATTTGCCTAAACATTATTTTATTTGCTATTTGGTTTATTTTCGTCTCATATAAAATAATCATTAACTATTGCTTTGCTTTTGGGTGAACCAACAAAAAAATGAATAACAAAATAATGGGCACAAAACTTTGATTTTTTTCAGTTTTTTTTGTCGTTATTTTATAATTTAAATTTTTTTATTTTTTAAAAAATAATATTATCTTGAAGTTCAATTTTGCAGTTGTAGTAGCAGAAGTAATTTTTAATTAAAATAATATACGAGAGAGAGATAGAGAGAGTTAGCGATGAATATAACATCTATGGAGAATGGTTGTCGCTAAAAGTTTGTTGGTGTTGTTGTAGTTGGTTTGTAGCTGTTGTTTTCAACTATTTTAGCTGATCTGGTCTTTCACACATTCTGGCGAGGAATGCTGTGGAATAGAGGTTGAAAAAGGGCAATATTAGTAAAAGGCCTTCCGAAATAAATGGACAAGTAGACATCCAGACATCGGGGCGGAGGGCCTGGGCTCAATCCCTACTTACTGTTTAGTCGAAGACGACTGGATCGCTCATCAGGCGCTGGACGAACTCTGTTTTTTTTGTTTGGATCGACGACAAACGGCGGGAAAACAAGACGCAATCACCGTGCAGAGACCATTCGATTGACATTCGGGAGTTGGTTTTTTTTTCGAGTGTAATGGTTGAGGATTTCGAGACGCAAACATGGATACGCATACATAGATATTTTTTTGGGGTTTTTGTCAGGTCGTGATGATGGTACAAAGTGCACAGTGCAGAGTGGTTGGGATTTTTGGTTGGTGCGCAGACAAAGAGTGACATGTGGAAAAGACAAACGGCGTTTACAAATCGTATATGCACAATAAACAGAGGGACCTGGGTCGCTCGAGGGACGAATACTTACGAGAGTAGGGGATAAATCCTTCTTCGTCCTCGGGGTCCATGCAGTCGGCGAACAGAGTCTCCACCTGCTCGTCATCCAGGCTCTCACCTTTTGGAGGAAAAGTGCCGATTAAGTGGGAGTTTCTTAAGGTAGTTGGCCAAAAACTAACCAAGCGCCAGCAGGGCGTGCTGCAGCTCAGCCAGCATCATGGTGCCGTTCTCCTCCTTGTCGTAGAGCTTCAAGCACTCGATGAAGTCCTCGTAGCAGCCCTGCTCCTTCTCCTTCTTAACCTGTGAGTAGATGGGCAGGAACTCATCCATCTTGATCTTCTTCTCGTTGCGCTTCTTGGTGCCGCCCATCTTCTCGATCAGCGCCAAGGTGGGGTTCAAGTTCAGGGCGCGGAGGGCATCACCTAGGTCGACGGCATCGATGCCCTCGCCGGCGGAGCCCATGACTTCGAAAACGAATTCGACATCTGTGCGAAAGGAACTCGGTTAGCATTGTACATACATATATCCTTCTAACCGAACGTAAATCGCATCAAATTATTGTTTATTTTATTTCAATTTATTTATTTATTGTTGCATTAGCATCAGTTGGGTAAAAAATACTTTAGATTGGGGGGGTGGGTGCTTGGGTGGCACCCTGCTTTTTGAAAATGGGGTCGATGAGGTAACCCTGAAATTTCTGGTACGCACATTTTTGGTCATCATGAAAATCTTGACATGGCTGGGCATTAGTTACTGGCCGCGTTTGTGTGTATGCGTGAGTGGGGATCGGGATCTGGGAGCATTGCCAACCCGAAGAACACACTACGTATACGTAATCCGACACCCGAACCGAACGCCTTCGCCCTCGTCTACGCCATATGCACAGTATATAAACATATATATATATATACACACACAGCCGCGTAGTTTTCTCCTCTCTTTCTGTGCGTTTGATCGAAAATAAATCTCAAGAAATAACTTGGCCAAAATTAGATCTCTAAACGACCAGCATTTCGGTTCGTAGACGAATGCGCGAGTTCGGATTCCCGACATATACACACGATTTTCATTGTTTTCCGCGGGTTTTCTATAACTTTGCACTAGATCATCTACCGGAATTGTGTTTTGCAACCTTTTCCCGTTCTCGTTCTTGTTTCTGGTTCATCGTTCATCTGTCGGTCGATGAAAATAGCTCAGCGATGCATATAGACATTCCTTAATGAAAATTTTCCGCATAATGTTATATATAGGCACGCGTATATGTATGCGATATATTCCAAGTGATTACGAAATATGTTCACCGACTTTTTTGTGTACTTTTTGTTGTGTATCTCACACGCGCACATTATGTAATCAACTTTTCTATAGGCATTTTTATTGGTTTTTTTTAGTCCTTTGGCTAAGTAACTCAGGTGTATTCTTTGATTTATTATACATTTATTGGTTTAACTTTGATGGATTTCGTTTGAGGTTAAAGATAATCCTTTTTGTGCGGTGTTCAACTTACTTTCAACTTCACGCTTTGGAACATCAGCCTGTCAACGAAATCGAAAAGGATTGAAGAACATTGCATTAATTCGTGTGTGGAAAATCTTGGTTTTTCAGCTGATGCATATAGATATCACTGGATATTCGAGGAAGATGGGCGAGAAGATTCCTTGGCCGATATTCACTCACCATTTTGTCTGTTAGATGCGAAAATCAACTGTATCGCGGATGAGCTCGGTCTCGACTGAACGTTATTCGTCAGCGGCAGCACGGCAAGGTAATTCTGAGGTGAAAGCCAACCAGCCGATCGCCGAAGCACACAGATACAGATACAGAGTCCCATACAGATGCGAATACAGATTCAAATACGAATGGATGACGAAACGCTCGCTCTTCTCCTTCGCAAGGCTATACACACACTAGAACATATAGCCCATGTACGATGCCAAGAATTTACTTTCATCTTGGGAACTTTTTAGATTTTCGAATGCCACACTACTCTCTCTTGGGATCCCATCGTCCACCAGATATTTGGGCTCTCCTTTGGAGCCAGTGCCATTTGTTGTGCTCTCTAAGCGGGCTATTTATAACATTTTGTTTTTTTCGGTTATTCTGTGAATTTGTGTTTTATTTTTTCTTGAAGGCAAAATAATAATCGCTTGTGGCATTCCCAGCCGGATAGTGTTGAATATCATTCGATGTTACAGATGATTTTGCAGATAATATTTTCTGGGCATCATAGTTTTGGGGGACGGACGGGGCTTTATTGTTTAACGCTGCGCAATAGATTAGTGATTCCATGGGTTTTAGGGGGTGGTTTACGGGGGATATCGAGATGCTATGTACTATGTATTTTGGCAGATATATATGTATATATTTATACACTCATCGACCCTGATCGTCTTTTTGGCAAGCCCCGCGGTGCGTACGAGTATTTTTCGAACGTATTCCTCAGGTCTTGCGTCTTATCACTCGAAATGTTTTGTCAGCCGGTCGTTGGTGGGGGTGTTAAATGCCCGATTTCTTGTTTGTCGGGCGAAAAAACACCTGAAAGCCTTTTAAATATTTATACATACGTAGATGTTCCAAAAGTTCTATTCCTCGTTCGCATCTCATCTACATAGAAGGCGCATTACTGGCCCCTCAGGCGCCTTTTTGTGTGCCGTCTCTACAACATTTTAATGCGTGCTATTTATAAAAACTATGACACAGATACACGAAGCGTATTCAGAGCAAAAATGTACAGCAACAAATAGTCATTCGAATTGTTTGCGTAGGTATAGCTACATAAAACAAGCCACATAACGCTTAATCAAGCCTAAAGGGTAAAAAGAGGTGCTTAAAAGGCGGCAAATCTGGCAAGGAAATGGCAATTAAGCAATCAATTGCCTGGCTGCCACACACACAGGCCATTGGCATCACGTCCATGTCCATGTCCTTGTCCTTGACACTCTATGTAAATGTTCGTGCCCATCAGACAGGCCCTTCTTTGACCCAGTTCTTTGAGCCCAGCTGTGTTGCCAACTTCCGGCTGGTGCTCATCGGAAGACCCATTCTCTTGACTGCATTCCTTCCTCTCTGTCAATAGAGCCTTCGGTTCGGCTTTTGGCCGCGCAGCCTCCCTGGCTTTGTTATTGTTTACTCCGAGGGGCCACCTGTTGTCAAGGGGGTAATTGGTGGAAGGATATTTAGGCCGATTTGGCACTTAATTGAACAGCTGTTATCAGCAGCCGATTGCTGCAGTGAATCTGCGCAGATTAAAGTGCGCAAGTCATTGATAAATCGCTCGATTTGTTTAATCATACTTATATAAACATTTCACTTGTTGTTTAGGCCAAATTTGTAAGATTTATCTTTAAATTTCTATGTCTTACACAATATTCCGATAACATTCGCAAAAAGTAAAAGGGACATAAAAATGAGGAAATTTTACCAAAACTATATTTTTTTAATTTTTTTGTTTTTTGTTTTATACTTTTATACAATCCAAACAAAGTGTGTTTACAGAAGAAACAAATTAATTACTAACATAGAAATTGCTTTAATTCCCACTTAAGACCAACAGGACAGTGACTTATGTAAGACCATAAATTATTAAATACAACATCATTTATTTGCCGACGCACCCTCGAGACCGGCAGACAAAGGAATTTAATGGCTACCCCACAGCGTATACGCAATATCCACCCTCTGGCATTTGTTATCATTGATAAGTGTGCTTGAGAAACAGGGTGTCCCGACCTAAGAGCGTACTATTTCATTCGATAATAAGTGAAAGGACACCCACTATGTGGAGAGCAGCCCTTTTGCCCGGCCAGTGCGTATACTTAATACGGAGTGCGGGTGCTTATGTCTGCTCTCTGTGTTTGTGTGCTCCGCCAACAAAATATCCTGTATACGCACTGCTGGCCTGCTGCTGTCGGCATTGGAAACGATGGCGAATTGGGAGACGAGGGCGGCAGCGAGGATAACAACGACAGGGAGCTCAGAGCTCGTCAGTTAACGACGCTTGTCTCAGTTGCATCCGAACGCTCCAGCAGTAAACGTTATCCAAAACTGGCCACGCTCAAATCAAGGTAAGTCCTTGCAAAACCATCAAAACTGGGCTGCAGAAAAAAAATGTGAAACAATAAACATATTAAAATCAAACAAGAAGTGCTTCAGTGCCATCAAAAAAAAGGGTCTGCAATTAGCAAATGTCCGATAGCCCAGCCCAGTTAAGTAAAGTGAAGGAGCTCTGATGGCCAGAAACGATTTCCACTGGGTGCGGCACCAATCAAGCGAAATGTTGGCACAAATGGCTACGTTTGATTTGAGTGTGTGCTAAGTGCCAAACAATTGGCAGTGCGACGGCAATTAATTGGGGAAAAAAGCGAAATTTTCTACAATCCCAACTTTGGTTATATAAGTCTGTGAAAATTTTTGCCCCAAATTAGCATGTATACCAGAAACCCAGTTCTGTATCTATAACCCAGTCGCCTCGTTCTCGCCGCTGCTGCGGAGTCTGCGTTCTGCGCAGCGTCCCAGGACCGAAATCTCTGTTTTGTTTTTGGGCGGGGGAGTGGAGCAACATGGATGTGGCACTGACCTAGTCGACGGTCGACAGTCGGAAATCAACAGGAGCAAAGGAAGGCAGAGCGACGAGCCTGCGCACGCAAACACCTGTTGCACATATTTGTGTATGCTAATGGCTCCCTTTATTTTCATGAATGACTCGACCAACGACAGCTGTTGCACGCCATTTGATTTGTGTCCTTGCCATTCATTCCAGCTGGCCACCATGGTGACCCAAGCCGCGGCAACGGGGACAGCAACTACAGCCACAACCAACACCACCAATAATAACAATCTGCAGACGAACAACAACAGCCATGCGGGGAATAACAACAACGATGACTTTGACTTTGACCAGGATAGCGGGCTGCAGGACCTCGGATTACCGGTGTCCGTGCAAACATTCCTGTGGCGCCAAATAGCACCCTTCATCCGGCCCAAGTTGGGCAAACTGCACGAGTCTACCTGTCTGGTGAGTTTGGCCATGGGGCTTGCCAACAAAGATTAAGTACAAATCGGGTTTGCCAAATATACTACGATGGCCGAAATCAAGGAAACATTTCCCCCAAAAAAAAATGGGTGCTGTATATTCGCTATGCGTGTTTGTTGTAAGGATGGACTGTGTAACGTACCAAAACCCAAACCATTGGCATTCAGATTGGCACAATCAATTCGACAGCTGTTTAAGAAACAAAACAAAAAATTGTGTTCAATGTCTTCTACTTTTTATTTATCTCAGCTGAATTCATGGAAAATTGGAAGCCAAAACCCAAAATTGACTTTGATGTTTGATGTTTTTATACTTTCCTGCATTCGATTTATTTTCTTATAACAAATACTAACACGGCCACCTTCCACAAACTGAACAACAGACCTGTCTTTCATATATATACCAAGCCCAGGAAAAGCTTTTTTACAAGTATAATAATATTTAATTGCGAACCCAGAAAAGTATGCTCTACTTTTTACAGCCCTTAACTTAGGCTTAAAAACTTTTCCTTGGCTTGTGGATAAAACATTCAGTATGCTTTTAACACAAACCAACTAAAACCAACATAACAATAACAAACTGTACAAATTAACATTGTAAAATCTTTCGCAATTTGTCTGAATCTGAATGTAGTTTTGTCAACATGCACCGGGACACCATGTAAGTTATAAATGTTTGTAGCAGCCATAACCCCTTTTTCTAACCGCTAGAGTTTTTGTCTCAATGTAAAAGCAGTAGTACATTTTCTAAATTGAAAATATGTTTTGTACATTGAGGCTATAAACTTTATTAAATTCCCTTTTATATTGTAGATGTTAAATGTTTTATGTGCCTATGTTTAAGATTTGTTTTTGTCTTAAGATCCCATTTTTTTGCTGTAACGTTGGTAGCTTTAACCCATGTGTTCCGAAACTACCTTGTTATAATTGTGCCTTTATTTTCGCCCACTTTTCGATGCTCAGGAGTCGAAGGAAGCCTGCAAGGTAAGTACAACTTTATATTAATGAGATTAGATATATATTAATTATTTTTTATAGTCTTTTGAGAAGGTACTTGTGCAGAACATCCAGTTTGGACTTTCACCTCCTCTTACTAAGGGTTTGGGGGTCATTCCACGATGGCGCCTCCTCCAAGGAGCTCTGCCACATGTTATGCACGCCTGTGCTGCTCTACTTTACAATCGTGTCAAGGACATGCAGGCCATAGGACCTGTGGAAACAAAGCTACTCTATACCATGCAGTGGATCCTTCTCTACGCCGCCGAGGAATGTGCCGATGATGAGGGCGGAGAGGATCTGGGATTGGGTGATGCAGCGGAGCCCAGGTCCAAGTCCATAGATCAGTACTTGTTTTCTGTGCCCACTATTACGGTGAGTTATTCGACATTCTAAATTCGAATACATTACTTATCAAAATCTCTTTCAGCTCTTTGTGTACCTCTTTGCACCAATTATACACCACTTGAAGGAATCGGATTTCCAGAACTTCCGTTTGGAGAATGGCATAAAACTCTGGCAGGGAATGTGGGATAACCGAGCACCCGGTGCTCCATGTTTTACGGCCCCCGTAAAACCCAAAGCCCGCAACCTTCTGTGTGCTCCCACTCCTAAAGGATCCACAGATGTTTTTCCTGCTCGTAAGCACTCACTTAGTGCAGATGCCATGTCCCCAAAAGCAGATTCCCCACAGAGTGGTATCTCCGATTATGGAAGGCAGGATGAAGAGGTTCGTATTTGATTTAACCAAAGAGGTCGGTTTAATAACTTTTTTTTAAATCTAGGGCTCTTGGGTTTCTTCTCCCAAGGAATTCGCCTTTCCTGAAACCATTCCTGAGGAGGCCTCCAGCGTGGAAGACGAACGAGTAGTCATATTTAGACTGCCTTCGGCACCACAACTAATGGATAACTCATTCTTTACGGTGAGCTCTTAAGCTAGGTTTGTAAATGAACAGATTAATACTTTATATCTGATTGATCAGGCCGATGCTAGTCTGCTGCAGCAGCAGCAATCTCAGAGCCGCCGTGGAAGTCGCCAGTCGATGAACTCCCGGGATAAGGATAAAGTGCCCTCCACAAAGTTCGAGTTTGATCAGCAGGAACTAATGCGCGGTGCTTCGATGAAGGAGAAGCGAAGTGCATCCATTGAGAAGGAGACAGACTCTGATAAGTCAGAAAGTATCAAGGCAGATGTTTCGGCGGCTACTTTCTTGGACGTGGCTGTCCTCCGCTGTCTCTTCATCTCTCATTGGCAGGAGGAGGGCATCTTCTGGAGCCTGCAATATCTATATAATCGGTGAGTACTTTAATCAAAATGTCAATCTTTTAAATGACCTTCTTACATTCCATCCCCTTAAAAAGACTGAGTGACATTGGCGAGGAGGCGGCCATCACTTTGAATCAACCTCGCAAGCGCTCCAACTCCTTGCCCATTCCACAAATCGAGATATCACTGTACCAAGGACCCGGCAGCAATAGTCGCGATAGTCCGGGAAGCTCTGTGGTTAAGGATTACATTGAAATACCAGATCAATCGCCAACGGTGCCAACCTGTGTGGCAGGTGAGCTATCATTTTTATTACCCCCAAAACCTTTTCTGAGATATAGTTTTATCAATCCACAGAAGAACCTCAAAGCGCACCAAGTACTACAGAAAGACGTGGCAGCGAAAAGAAGAAACGGGTTAAAATGGCCGATCTGCGGGCCTTCGTTGAGACTAAGATGTTCTCCAAGTCGGAGAAGAATTTGGAAAAAGTAGGCCTCGACACAAACTCAGCCAATGGCAAGACACCACTGCAACATGCAGTAAGCGGAGCAAAAACTTATGTTTACTGTTCTTAAGTGTTTCTGCCTGGCTCCCGCTTATAATCCCCATATAAATATTCCATTTTAAATGGTGTTTGTTTGGCTTGAGAGTTTAATGTTTTATATATATAGCATCACATAAATGTAAAGACATTAACTAAATGTTTTGCACTCTTTAGGAGTACCATCGCAGCCTGGACACGGGGGAGAAGAAACTATCCCGATCTGCCTCGATGATAAGCCGCGAGCCGGCCAGTAACTTGATCAAGGGCAAATCCATGCCCAGTCTCAGGTAAAAAAAAGTCCCCAGAATACCCACCAAAGAAATACGACTTAATCAGGCCTCTGACACCAGAACCAAAACACATACACTTCCAAACGATTCTTGAAATTGAACACTCTTCAGTGACTCATTCTTTGCTCTCGAGCTAATGCTATATATTCTATACCCTATGACTTGATCTATTTTCTCCTATGATCAACCAGCTGTCTGCTTGATAGCGGGTGAGTTTTAGTCTACCAAGCAACTAAATATTATTTCTATTTCGATCTCTAAGGACACTCTACGCTTTTTGTGCCCTAAGCCTAAGACAGTTGTCTTTCCTCCTTCCACCACCATGCCTGCTCTCCTTTTGGCACCTGTCCAAGCCTGTTTTTTTCTCACCACCCCCCAGCCTTCCCCCATATATACCCCTGATCCTTCAGCTTGCCGCACTCCGTTTTTTGACTAATGCCACACACGCTTTCTCGCACGTATCCTACAAAATACAAGATTTTACAGATACGTTGAGCCACCCAAGGCGCCAAGGCCATCGCAGGTCGCCTGTCCGCGCTCCACGGCGTTTTATCCTCGCAATCCCATCATCACGGTCACGGAACACACCCCCACACCTTCCCCGGATTATATGAAGCGACAGGTGAGCTATTATGCATACTATTATTAAGGGTGGGTAAAGAAAACACAATTATTTTGGTGCTTTTCGTAGGAAGCCGACGTCTTTTAAAAGACTATGTTTTAGGATAAGGGTTAAAATGGTGAAACCATTCTTCTTATTTTAAGTGTCTACATATATATTTACTTTGATATTAATAGTATAACAACAGTATATTGTATTTACACTCATTGCTAAAACCCAACTATTTTTCAGCAGGGTTCCATTGACTCCCAGCTGGATGCCTTGAGTAATGGTGGTAGCGTTGCCGGCATGGGTGGAAATGGAGGAGGTAATGGCAGCACAGGTATGGGCAGCACAACCACCCGTTACCGAGGTCAAATGCTGCGCTCCCACACGGACTCCCACATCGATTACACAGGAGTGGATGAGTCCGAGGCACCGGGATCCTCCTTTTATATAACACGCGATGGCGGCATTGACTACGAGATAATTTTACTGGCCATTAGTAATGTATTCAAGAGGGATCCGGCGCAAGTCTGCTCCCTGCGAGTTTTGGAAGCGGGTCTGAATATCTGTGAACTACTCATTGAAATGGGTGTTCTTAAGTTGGGCGAACACGCTCACGAGATATCAATGAGTATTACAAGACGAGCCCTACAGGTCCTGGGCTGTCCGCATGGATGTAATGATGGTGAGTTGAAAACTTAAAAAACTTAATTATCTTTTCTTTTTAAAGACTACTAAATTCAAAAATCATTCCTTCCCAATTATTAGAAATGATTTAGTTTATGTATATGTATCCACCATTTTTCAGGTGTTCGAGGTCCACCCGCCGACTTCCTGCGCAACCAGTGCCAGAAGATCATGTCCCGCATGCTGCGACAGGCGGGCCAAAGGACCAAGCGCTTCATGCAGGAGATGGTGAGGACGTCGCCGTTGCCGGAACTCATCGACTACTTCCATGCCTTCCTGGCCTTCTGCGTGGACCCCAGTTCCCTGCTGTCGCCCCTAAGTAAGTGTTGACCCATTCGATAGCCACCGCCAAACCGCAAATGCTGGGCTTGGATGCCAATACAATGTAGGCGCACCAAATCCCCACTTAATAATCGCTCCAACCAGACTCTTGAGTTCCATTGGCCATTTTGAGTTGGGCTTCCCTTTCGCCTTTTGATTTGCTCATCCGGCGCCAAACTCCCGCATCCCCCATGCTGTTTGTGGTACTCTTTTCCCATTTTGCATGCCGAGACTGTTGCTAATGCTTTTGAGTTGTCGTTGTCCCCTTCCGATTCTTTACTGTCACCACCAATACGTTGTATATATATATATGTATGTATGTATGAAATGATGCAATAGCTCATAAACGTCAGAGTGGATTTAAAAATGCTAACACCGATATTGGCGGCGTACCAGGTCAGGGCGGCTACTCGACCAATTTTAGCGGCGGCATGAGCGGCGGAGCCGAGGCCCAGGTGGTTGGAGCCGTCTTCAAGCCGCTGGTCAGCCGGTTTGTGGAGGCCAGCAAGGATCTGAAGGGTCCGGAGAACATAGCCCTCTACGGCGACATCCGGCAGCTGGTCACTTACGTAAAGGGAGCCCATGGCGGTCCCTTCCGCCTGGTGGCTCTCAGCGGCATTCTCGCTGTCACGCCGAGGCCACACAAGAAGGGACCTTCGGCCCAGACCACTCGAGTGATCAGGTGAGTAGCAAAGAGCTTACAAACAAAGTTTTTCTTAATAAATACTAGATATAACTCTAGAACTGTATATATAGCTAAAGGATAGGTCACAAGTCCTTGACAAAAATCATGTTTTACATGAAAGTTATATTGCAAAAGGAACGTGTGTGTTTTGAAATAATGTTCTATGTTAAAGTTATAATTAAATGTTCTTAAGAGACTTTAATTATTTTGAAAGTACAGAACAAAGTTTTTTTTTAACAAAATCTAGTTTGAAGGGAAATAATCAGCATTTTCTCCATTGCTTTTTAAATACGGTTCTCGTTTTTTTTAGAATACTAGATACACGTTGCTGACGAGTCTTTCCCCTTGTTTCAGACACATTCCACAGGCAAATGTGACACAGAGCCTACAGAACGACGACAACCGCTCCCAGCGCCGCCTGCTGCTGAAGAAGCGCAGCACCTCGTCCGCCTGCGCCGTGGTGAGCCGCATCCTTTAGTCTTATCCTGAGTCTGATCCCCGCCCTATTCCTACTTACAGAGTCTGCTGGAGACGGAGGCGTGCGAGGAGCACTACAAGACCAGCCAGTCGCCGCTGAGCAACTTCCGGCGACGGACCACCGGGGTGCGTCCCACGCTGACCCCGCGCCACAGCGAAAGAGCCCTGCTTTCCGACTCCACGTCCAGCTCGGAACGCAATTCGCTGGGACGGCTCAGCGGCTTGGTGCGCTGGTTCCGCGGCACGCCCAAGGAGGCCTCGTCCATTGACCTGGAGATCGGGTCGCTCAACCCGGAGATCTCCTCCACGTTCATGCGGCACGCCTCGCTGAAGATCCAGCGCGGCCGCTCGAGCGATGGCCCGTCGATTGGGCGGTCCATTCAGCGCGCCAAGCGACGCGTCGAGCGGCGGCTGAACCGTTTCGGCGGCATTGTGAAGGGCAAGAAGAAGGTGGGCGGCATCGAGGAGACGGCGGACTTTAGCCGCCGCAGCTCCTCCGACATGTGCGACGGGCACGGTCCGCGGGAGTCGGAGGTGGTGATCCTCAAGGAGCGCAAGTTGGTGCCCACCGAACCGGTTCGCGTGGGCATGCTGCGGCTCTCCTTCCTTTTGGAGACCTGTGCCCCCGGCTCCTTTCCCGATCCCCAGCTGGTGGCAGCCGTCCTCGACCTGGTCAGTATATGCCTTTCTATTTCGTAGGATGGAAACATAGAGTCAACTAGCAGGCAATAAAACCCTTTTCCCTTTTGATGAATGGTTAAACAGATTCACCAATCTTACCATTTAAAAACAATGTTTCATGACATGTTTAAAAACAAAGTCAATGTCTTATCAAATAGTAAAGTTGTGATAAATTTGTTTGCCCAAAATTTTTAGATAATATTCAAATTGGGTTTTTTAGAACTATTACTGAGTAAAAAATTTGATGAAAATCGATGAATTAAACTTTATCTAACAAATTTCACAAAACATAATGGAATTATGCTACCGATTTTAAAGTATATTGTTTCATTAATTTCCTCGCTTAATAAACCTTACTCTTTTTCCGACAGCCCCAAGCTCCTCTTGTGGCTCGAGCCACCTTCCTGTTGGAGTGCGCCCACTTTGTCCATTTGTGCAACAAGGGGCAATGGCCAGCCTGGATGAAGCAGAACGTGGGCAGCTACCGGGCATCCGGGGCCAACATCAATCTCAACCAGATGAAACAGCAGGTGAGCCAAACGAGCGCCAGAAGGACGCACATCCTGCAACGAGCCGCCGGAAAGATGTTCCACCAGTGGGCGGAGATGGTGGGTGCCAGACTCGAGGAGATCCTGTTCACCGAGCGGTTGCAGTACGAGGCGGTCAACGCCAGTCTCACAGATCCCGAAAAGCAACGCGAGCTACTGCAGCAGGATGAGGAGGAGGACTTCCTGGACGAAACCTCGGTGAATCCGCATGGCAACGATTGTCCGCACTCCTTGAAGCTGATCGCCTGTGTGCTGCTTTTCGAGATCACCGCCTTCCTGCGGGATACCTACCTAATGCTGCCCAAGACATCCAAACTGATCCATCGCGACAAGCCGGCGCCCTGGGAGAAGGTGTACCGCGAGGCCAACAGGCGCTGGTCCATGGCCCTCAGCTCCATGGGTCACTCGCAGACCTCCGCCCAGAGCCTGCAGTCGATAGCAGCTGGAAACGATGGTGCCGGCCAGTCGGAGAGGAAGATATCCTTCGTGCTACATGAACCGGATAACGAGTCGGAAAACAGTAGCAACACAACGCTTACCAAGGAGGGCGAAGAAGGTGACTTTGAAAACTCTTAATCTAATATACAAGTATATCCAAAATGAAAACTATAAATTTATATATATCTCTTAAAAATATAATTTTGGTCTTTTGATATTATAAACAATTCAAACCATTCAATTTAACTGAATTCTTGAATATGCTAAAGAAGATAAGATAAAGAATTGAATATAACAATCTTAAAATTAACTTTTTATTATAAAAGTCTTGTGATATTTGAAATACCAAAGAAGTAAACTCAACAGCTTTGTATGATAGACTAGATTAAGGGTTACTTATAACAATTTTAAATAAGAATTGGAAAAATAAGGAACGTATTTATCTTTATTTAATGTACTTTTTTCCTTATACCTAGCTCGTCGACCCACTGCATCGGCTGTCCGTCCATTTTTACTAAGACGTGGCACAGCCACTAACAACGGGAGGCTCCTTTAAGCGTCGCTCTCTGAAGCTTCGTCGTAATACGAAGGACAGCAAAGACATTGAAACGGATTGTAAGTAATTTGAACTTTATATCTATCTAACAATTTATAATTGTGGCTTATCTGAATTACAGTCAACATGCAATCGCGTCGCAAGGTCTCCTCGCTCTCCGATCGCAGTGACACCTCGGAGCAGGGCATGATCAGTGGTGGTGAGGAGTCCCCAGGGATACTCAGCGATGATCAGCAGCCAGAGTCACCTACTGACTCCAACGAAAACGATGATACGGCCAAGAATATGCCTTGGCTAAAGGCTATTATTGATCTTATGACCAGTTACAACTACTATTGTACTCACAAAGGATATTGTCATCCGTTCTGCTATAAACGACACATGCGCTCCTGCACTCGTTTGGTTAAGGCCACAAGAAAGGTGATTTCATAACCAGATTATTACAGACTTCAACATAAAACCCACTTTTATTTATTGGCTAGGTCTATGGCGAGGAATTCGGCTTTACTTTCGATGCAGATCATCCCAATGTCGAACCCACAATAATCACGTCCAGTAAGCCCCACACTTCACGAGCCCGCTCTACTCGCAAAGTATCGGAGCAGAGTTCCACACAGACATCTCCTTCCAAGAGAAAAGATAGTTTGTCCCGCAAAGATCGGTAGGTCGTACCTATATTATGTATTTTTACAAAGCTAATATTATAACCACAGCATTAGTGATGATCCCGACCTGGAAATGGCGGAAAAATTGGCCAAGGCCTTTCGCCAGGAGAAGGAAAAGAAGATGCAGGAGGAACCGCCCATCCTGAAGTTCATCCGCATCCACATACGCAACTTGTTCCACTTTCCGCTGGCCACTTTGCTGAAGGGTGCCGTCGTGCTCACCGAGGAGATGGTCATCGAGGCTATGCCCGCCGCCTGGGAACTCCTGCTGGAGACGAACCACGATACGGCCACCTCAAGTGCCGCCGTATTTTTGATGGGTTCGGTGAAGTCCCAAAACTTCGCTTTTGACATCATGCAGAGGGCTTTGAAGCACAAGGATCCGGATATAAGGATCGGCGCCATTCAGCGATATCTAGTGCTGTGGAAGTGCCGCTTCCACGTCTGGCCGCGAATGGAGGAGAATGCCCATGACGTGACTTTCAAGGTGCCACCGGGTGGCATTGAATTCACACTTCCATCGCCCAAGATTGGCATTGAATGTCTGCCGGTGGTGGATCCACCCTGGATGCCAGTGCAGCAGACAAAGGACATGGACGTCACCCTGAACCAAGATAGACATGTGAGTGAGAAGGCTGCCGAGACACTGGGTTATGTACTGGTCGGGAGGAGACCTTGGTTGAGCTCTAACTGTATTACTTATTTTCCAGCGATCCTTGGTCACCGCTACCAAGAGCCGTAAGATGCAGCAGACGGAGGCCATCCGGAATGCCCTGCGTCAGCAGAGAGACAAACAGCGGGCGGAGCGTCACAGCTTCCTTATCACCATGATACCCATAAGCCAACAGGCCTCCCATGAGCCCGGAATGGAGAAGCTGGAGGACCACGAGATCGAAGAGGATCTCGATGGCACCCGCATGTCCTCTCACCTGCACCATGCCCACTCCCTTTTTCCCTCTGTTCTGTGCTCCTCCGTGATGCAGATCGTAGGATGTTTGGACGATGCCGCAATCGGATCTGATGGCAACGCGGTGTACGAGATTGCCTACCAGGTCATCTGGGTTTGTTTGGTGGAGGAGTCTGCCCTGTTTCTGCGGTACGTGTTTGAACGACTAACTCGCGATCGTCAGGATCAGATGTTCAAGCTCTTACGACACCTCATCCGATTTGTGCCACGTCTGCCGCAACAAGCGGCTTTTGCCCTTTACAATTCGATTATTGGATACATCATGTTCTATGTGAGATCATCCAACGAACTAAAGCAAGAGGTATGGTGTTACCCATTTGGTAAATACAAATGTCGTAATTAATAAACCCTTACATTTTTCCCAGCTGGTGGGCTCAGCCTTATCAGTGCTTTGGATGGTGGTGCACTCGGTGCATGGAATTATGTTCAAGGATCTTAAGCAGATTCTGCGAAAGGAACAATGCGATGCATCCATCCTGCTTACCGCAAATGTGCCCGCAGCCAAGAAGATTGTAGTACATGGTCCAGCCGATGACGACTACAACATACCGTCACAATTTCCAGTCCAGGAGGATACTCTCTTCTGCCAGCTACTCAAGGAGGCTTTAGACTACTATCCCATTGATGAGAAGAACACCAGTCACTACTGCCTGGTGGATTACAAGAGCAGTAATTATGATATTGTTAGCTATCTTTTGATTTTTAATTAAACTCATTGTGTTTTCCAGGCAAAATCCTGAATCCCAATTGGTATATCCGCGATCTGTACTTCTTTAAGAGGTCTCAATACCCGGAGGTTAGGCTCATGCTAATGCGTCCGGAGGAGTCCTTCCTGGCCCTCCAGAAACAAGAGCTTACCAAGAAGTTTGTCGAGATTGGCAAAGTGCATTTGACTTGGGCTATTCTCAAGAACGTGGACATGGTTGTGCAGCGAGTGGTGTTCCTGCACGAGGAGCTGATGAAGCTGCCCTCCTTCCCGCGCAAGGCACTCGAGGTGGATCTGGATCTGCACCATGGTGGCGAGTACGGAAAGGTGCTGCTCGGGTTGGACGTCCTGCACAAGTTCATGTGGGTGCGACTGATCGCCCGCATGTTCGAGGCCATGGCTGGTAATTTTGCCTACTCGGCGGACATCCAACTCTTTCTGAACGTCCTTTCCGGCGCCTCCATTCTGCACGCCGAAGATTCGTGCATCATGCGCTATGTGATGGCCACCTTCATCAACGCCGCCTTCAACTTTAAAAACATCTTTTCCACGAACGGTTATTTTATGATAATGCCCACTTTGTTGCAAGTTTATTCCCTGCATCAGACCAACAAGCTGATCACCACAACAATTGAGTATGCGGTCAAGCAGTTCTATCTGCTAAACAGGAAACCATTTATCCTGCAAATGTTTGGATCCGTCTCCGCCATTCTCGACACTGATGAAGATGGCACTTATGGTGAGGCCCACAAAGTGCAGTCGAGCTGTCTGTTCAACTTGCTCCTTAGTCTGGAGGACCCCTCCCCGGATCCTCTAAACATTGCGGAACTGGTCAAGGAGCCTAAACCACTAAAGGCCATCGACTTTTGTTACCATGACGAAAACGACGACGTCACTGTACTGGACTGCATTACTCTCTGTGTAATGGTGGTCTCCTACTCCGCGGAGAGCACACGAGGATACCAAATGCTAGTGAGTCCTAAGTATCTTAGTCCCGCCAGATTAAGTTATGCAGAAAAATAGATTTTTTTAAATATAAATTATTTTCATTGGGACTTAGTTAAAAATCATACTAACCCGTCTTTTCTTTCAGATAATTTTAGAGGCCATTCTGCCCTGCTATTTGCAGCAGATACAATCGCCCAGCTATATTCCGCTACAGGGAAAGTCGGAGCGCGATATAATCCTTCAGCTGGCAGTGGCCATTCGCACCATGGTGCACAACTGCGAAGGTCTGGCCAAGAGCTATAATGGACCCTATCGGAATAGTCCGGAGCACAAGGGCTCCTCGCAACGCAACTGCAGTCGGGGACCACCATGTTCGCCGGGTCTGGACTTTGAAGAGGAGACGCATCCCAAGTATTTGACTGATGCCCGTACCAAGAATATGATGGACTCGGCAGAGGACTCGGAAATGATACGCACCGAGTACAGGCGACCCCGCGACGTTTTACTCTCCGTGGTGGCTGATTTCCTCACCAAATCCACGGCTCGATTGGCGGAGCTGGCCAAAAAGATGCCTAGCGATACGAAACCCACCGAGGTCCTGGACGCTAAGTGCCACATCCGGCTGGCGGACATTGCACACTCTCTGCTAAAGGTGTCGCCCTATGACCCGGAATCCATGGCCTGCCGGGGTCTGCAACGCTACATGCAGGCGGTTCTACCACGGGCGGAATGGTCCAACGATACTCTGCGCAATGCGCTGGTCACCATTCTACGGCGCATCGACAAGGTGTTCCTCAAGATCTCAAAGAAACCATCGATTAGGAGGAATACGGACTGGGAGGCGGCCGCCGGACTGCTGAAGGGTATCCACGAGACGATCATACGGCACTCGTACGTGCTGCACTGGCAGCAAATGAAAACGCTCATAAGCACAGTGCAGAATCTGATCGTCAACGAACCCGGATCCGGCATCCCCGAGGGCGTCTCCAGCGCAGGAGCAGCGCTCATGTCTCAGAATCCGCCGGCCTTTTTCTGCTCGGCCGTGGTGCGTTTGGTGGCCCTGCAGGTGGTCAGCCCCGTGGACTGTTTCTCCCTGGTCCAGATTTGCGGCGGGAGCGCCGAGTTTGCCACGCAGGAAAAGGCCGAGGGCTTTCTAATGCATCTGATAATGCCACTGTGTCTGAAGGTTTGCTCGGGCCGAGGCGTTTCCGACGTGGGCGAATTGAAGATGACGGACGTGTCCTTCCTGCTGACTGCCGTGTTGAACGCGATGAGTCCGCCGGCGGGTCGAACCGGCCAGGCCGTTTCCCAGATCAACCGGGTAACCGGCGACCTTCGCGCCGGCTCACTCACCTTCACCGGCAGTCGGGATGCCAAGCGCCCAGCCCGCATCTCCGGCTCCCTCTACCAGGCTGCCTTCCTCGCCCTGCGCATCGTGTGCATCTGCTTCGAGAGCCGGCTCTCCAACGAATGGCCGCGCATTGTCCGGGTCATGAGGGATCTCGGAAGGCGCAACGAGGCGGCACCGGACCTCTGGAGCTTCATGGAGTTCGTCGTCACCCACCGAACGCCCCTCTACATTGTCCTTCTACCCTTCATTCTGCACAAGGTATGAAATGAGGGTTTCTTTACTGACTTGTGCTTTGAAATATTATAAACTAAACATTCACTTCAACTTCGAGCAAACGAGTTGGTAACCCCAGCTTAAGAGTTTCTTGTTGGTATAATATCATTTTTGGTGACCCCAAACAATTTACCCTTCTTTGCAGAAAAGTCATGTATGCGCGATGAACACTGTGTTACGTTTTGATTATAATCAATTATACTCCATGTGCTATGGGCGGATTAAAGTGGTGCTGCAATTTATATAATTGTTGCATTTGCCAATACAGTATTCTTATTAATTTGCGTCTAAGGTCCTCCAAGTAAATGCAAAGATTGGTAGCGGAATGCAAATATATGCATTAGTTGGTGGATAAACCTGGTTGTATTTTGAAAATATCCATGGGCCTACCTATGTTTTCTTTAAAGTAAATCCCAACCATGCACTATTATGCTTCAAGCCTCAACCCAAACAAGTTTTGTTATTCCCTTTCATTACTTATTCATATAACCTTGGCTCAAACCCACTAACACTTTTACAAGATAGAAAAGCACTAACGATTTGAGTCTTCTAGATCTCGCAGCCACCAATTGGGGATCACGAGAGGCACATGCAGTTCATCATACGGGAGCGACTGCGTGGAACTCCGCCACAGGGCGGGATCAAGTCCAAGGGAGCTCTGCTGTTGGAACTGGCCCGGGAGCTGCGGGACCTGCGCGACGAGCTGGAGGAGAAGCGATACGGTAAGGGGACCGGGACGGACTCAATCCGAAACTCCGCTCCACACACACCCACTCATTTTTCAGTCTCCACAGATCGCGAGAGTTCCGAGCAGAAGAAGAGCGACACTCCGGCGGCAACTAGTGCGGCAGAAGCCCACAAGTCGCAGCAAAGACCTTCACTCATATCTATCTTCACAGGAACCACCACCGGCCAGGCCACGCACTCCCACGTCTCCGCCGTGCCGATCGACTCGCGCAGCGGATCCGGGGGAATCTGCACGCCCAGCGACACGCTGTCGCAGCAGACGCTGCACCCGCCGCGGGAGTCGCTGTCCAGCAGCTCCACGGGCCGGGATCCGCACACGACGACCAGCGAGAGCCAGAGCGGCGAGGCGGACGCAGGATCGGCGCCCACTCTGGTGGGGCCCACGCCGAGCGGATCGGGACATGGATCGGGCGGTGCCGGTACCGCCTCCGCCGTGCCCTCGCATCTCTCGCATTCGCAGTCGTTGCAGCAGGCTCCCTTCAAGGCCCAGCCGCCCAAGTTGCGCTTCGTCTCGTCCGTGGAGTTCCGGCACTCCTCCGGTGAGACCTCGACCACGCCGCTCTCGCCGGAGAGTCCTGCGGAGGACAGTTCCGGGGATCATACCCGCTCCAGGCTGCAGCGGTCCAAGGCGGCCAGTCGGAAGACCTTCAGGCTGAAGCGTAGTCGTCTCACGCCCATGGAACCACCCAGCATTGTAAGTGGATGGGTGATATCCCCACCTTTTCAACTGCATATCTGGATATTTTCCATAGGTAACCTCCCAGGAGGAGCAACCCCAGCAGGCGCAGGCCAAGACCCTTGGGGAGATATCCTGGGACTCTGTTTCACAGACATCCTCGACTTCCGGTTATCGGGACAACAATAGCCTGCAGACGGGCCTGCTGTCACCAGATGGATCTTTGGGTGGATTGACCCTGGGTCGGTCACCCTCGCAGCACTCGCTTTTAATGGTCTTCGAAGGACAGGACGAGGACACGCTCATTTAACAATCACAGAACGGCGACCGGGCCTACGAACTTTAGAACCCAATGGTTCCACTAATTAACAGGAATTGGGAGTAGTCATGTGTGCAAAACATAGTTGTTGGGTGTTAAGTTTTATAGACGAATCGTTGTTTTCCAGTGTGTGCCCTTTTTGTATTCGATAGATAAAGTTAGACACTAATAAATGTACTTGGTAGCCGTTCTAATTGATACACTTGTTGTCTAAGAGACTTGTTGTTTAAGAGACTTTCTTGTGGTAAAAAAGTAAAAATGATTACAGTTTAAGATATAAATTTCTTCTTATTTAAATGCAGATTAATTATCTTTCTGCTTTTGCTTATGAAAGACCAATACAAAATTAAGGTCGTACTCTACCCTGCTTATTTTATGCGCTTTTGTTAATTTATGACATACCGAAAATCTTCAAAGTTTATTACGCAAACGTACTGTTTTACTTTGACCACGGAATTATTTATTAACATTTTTACGGAAAATTTAAAACTATTTGTTATTGTTCCAATACATTTATTGCCTTAAAAAAATTGAGAGAAAGGTTTTTGCACTATGTGTTAAATAAGATATTGTTAATTACACATTATTTATATTTTACCATTACAGGTGGCGGAAAATTTAAAAAATAGCAAAAACATGGTCACTTTAATTTAACAGATGATAACCGAACGTAACGTAAGCACGGTATTGAATGTAGAGATGTGCACTTGTCGACATTTTAGACGATATGCTTGTTTTTAAAATAATAAATAGGTGTGATGATTAAAAAAATATTAAAAATTCGTATACTTTTTGTTCTTATTTTATTTAATATTTTTTTTCTTCATTTTGTTAGCTTTATAGTTATGTACAGTTGTTAAACCTTTAAAATACGATATTTTTAGTTTGTACTCGTGAGTGATTAGCCGGTGTCCATCTCTAATGGGCACCGGCCCCCACAGGGAAAAATAGAGAGCAAGATGCCGCTCTCTCTCGGTCGCCGACTTGTTGTGGATCAAATCGGTTGAATCTGCACTTTGGACTTTCTCTTGGATCTTTGATTTCGAGCACTATCATCGTTACCAGTGATACTAAATCTCTCACAGCGAACGGTCTATAAACTTTGATCAGGATGATTAACACAGGAAAATTGGCCGGACGGACCCTGTTCATCACAGGAGCCTCGCGGGGAATTGGCAAGGAGATTGCCTTGAAGGCGGCTCGCGATGGAGCCAACATTGTGGTGGCGGCCAAGACGGCCGAGCCGCATCCCAAACTACCGGGAACCATCTACTCGGCGGCAGAGGAGATCGAGAAGGCCGGAGGAAAGGCATATCCCTGCGTCGTGGACGTGCGCGATGAGCAACAGGTGCGCAGCGCCGTGGAGGCGGCAGTGTCCAAGTTTGGGGGCATCGATATCGTGATCAACAACGCCAGCGCCATCTCGCTGACCAACACCCCGAATACGGACATGAAGCGGTACGATCTGATGCACAACATCAACACTCGCGGCACCTTCCTCGTGTCCAAGGAGTGCCTGCCGTACCTGAAGAAGAGCAATCACGCCCACATCCTTAACATCTCTCCGCCGCTGAGCATGAAGTCCAAGTGGTTTGGCCCACATGTGGCCTATACCATGGCCAAGTACGGAATGTCGATGTGTGTGCTTGGTATGGCCGAGGAGTTCCGGGACCAGGGAATCGCTGTTAATGCTCTGTGGCCCCGCACTGCCATACATACGGCGGCCATTGAGATGCTCACAGGCCCCGATTCCGCCCAGTGGTCACGCAAGCCCGAGATCATGGCCGATGCTGCCTACACCATCCTGAGCCGCGAGCCCAGGCAGTTTAGCGGTCAGTTCTTCGTGGACGACGAGGTGCTGGAATCGGTGGGAGTCACGGATCTCACGAATTACGCCTGCATCCGCGAAAACGCCGACAAACTGATGGTGGACTTCTTCGTGGAGGAGAAGGGAGCCCCGGTGGAGGATGCCGCTCCGGCAGGAGGTGCTTCTGCTGCTCCGGCTGCTGGTGGAAGCGGAAAGATACCCCAGCTTTTCCAGAAAATCGAATCTCTACTCTCCCCAGAGATCGTCTCAAAGACGCAGGCCGTCTTTCAGTTTAACATTAGCGGTGCCGAACAGGGAACCTGGTTCCTAGACCTGAAGAACGGCTCCGGTTCATGCGGATCCGGAACACCGCCCGCCGCTCCTGACGCCACACTGACCATGAACTCAAACAACTTCTTCGACATGTTCTCCGGAAAACTGAAGGCGGCTCCCGCCTACATGACCGGCAAGCTGAAGATCAGCGGTGACTTCCAAAAGGCCCTCAAGCTGGAGAAGCTAATGAAGGCGCTTAAGTCCAAGCTGTAGGTGCAATCAATTTGCACATATTTCTATTGTATACAAACGTTTGATTTATTTTCCTAATAAAGTATGAGATTCTTTTAAATTTCCATATTTCATGTACATTACATTATAAAATTGGCCACAAGTTTGTAACGCATTAAAGAAGCCATTTCCTAGCTTATAAGGTATATATATTCTTGATCAGCATGACTAGACGAGTTGATATAGTTCGCTGTTTCTTTTAATTTGAGTTTAAGTTACTGGTTTTTGACCAAAATTAGGCTTTTTTTTAGTCTTTAGAACCTATGCCTGCAGATTAGCCCCCATATATCTATCATACTAACCATACGGTTATATGCCGATTTTTCGTGCAGGGTAAAAATAGATTCTTAAAACTTTTCAAATCGTAATTTGCGCTCTCCTTCTCGTGAGAAGGACTAAAATGATTGTATTCTCTGCAAGTGTATAAGAATCCGGCCATATTTTATTGCAGGAACTGACTAGAAAAAATGATGACAAATGTGTAGAACAAATCACCAGCCTAAATTTGATAATTTGTTGCGCTTAGGAATAAAGAATTGAGAATTGATAATAAACTTCCAAAATTTTAGACAATAGCCATAGAGGACAGAAAAGTCGCTGTATCTTCATTATTTTTAATTTTGAAACAACGCGGGTTGCTACTTTTCAAGCGCATTGAGACTGACCACATTCTCGTTCACCAAATAGATATTTTTGACATAGCTCTGCGCAATCACACCTTTGTTTATCAAAAAAAAAAAAACTAATTTTACTGGGGTTGTAAACGAAATATATGTCCACCTTGTATTAAACAAAAGAATATTAAAAGACTTCGTCATGGACTGCAAATTGTTTAAGGTGCGTAGATACGTATACAAGTACAGGATGTGGCTTAATCAGCGTCTTTCATATTGCTAGAAAAAATCCGTGATACTGATTAAGTGTTTCTGCGGATGCACCGACATGACTCCCGCCGAGGTTCAAAGGATCTACACCTTGTCCAACAGTGTCCACGAAACCCTCCTGGATAAGGATGCCACCACACTGCTCAGCAATTACATGAAGAGTAGGCGCTCCGGCGACAAGAACGAGGCCGAGCAGTACTTGGAAATCTACGAGAAGTGCGCCCTGTTCCTGGCGGACACGCAGCACACCTTCACCCGGGACGAGGTGGATGAGCTGGTCGATCTAGGCCTGCCCTACGATATGGAGCGGGATCTGATCAGCCGCATGCTCAGTGGCGATCGGACGGACATTAACAGCGGTCTCAATCGCATTCAGGGCAAATGTCGCAACGAGATTGAGGCCAGCAGCGATTTCCGAGAGTTTAGGGACGCCATCGCTGATAAGATGCGCCGGGTGCCGAAATGATAAAGTTTTTGCGAATCAATGCCATTTGTGTTCACATTGGTACCTTTGGTAGCTCGCTCTTTTAATCTTTCCCAATGCCTTTTCGGCTTCCACCACGCATCACCCTGTATCCTAGATTAGTCATGGTAAAACAACTAAGAAACAGAAACCGTCCTCCTAATCACACTGCGGCTTTCGAGTCGAGCTAGAGGCTTAACTCAAAAAACATTCACATTCTAACAATTAAACCCAAAACTTTACTTATTTTAATTTCATAGTTGTTTTAAAATGTTAGCTTTGTTATTGTGTTACAAACTAGAGGTAGAAATATTTTCAATTGAGAAATAAATTACTTGATCCTGAATATCCCTCAGAATTAATTTATGGTTTCCTGACCGTTACAATACCTACAAATATATATCTAAACCAGAAACGCCTTATATAAAAAAGACTTAAACAAAAAATTAAAACAACGTATAAAAACAAGAACGATCATGAAAATAGTACTTATAAAAAAAATAGAAAATTACATAAAAAAGTAGGTTTTTTAAGATTTTAATTGTGATTTTTGTAATAACTTGATTATCAATAAAACAACTTAATACATGCAAAAAAATAGTTTTATTGCGATTTTACAATTTTTATATTCTTATTTTACATATTTTTTTTTTTGTGAGTATACAGATCCATTTTGTTTGGGACCTTTTTAAAGAGAACAATCTTAACAGTTTAATTCTTACTACAGGTGGAAGTCATCATATATTTTCGATTGTTTAAAAATCGATTCTACATTAATAAATAAAAGATTATTCATAAACAAAAAATATTTTCTTGGTAAAGATTTATATATTTGAAATACGTATATAAAATACAAATTCGGATGAATTCAAAAACTCCTGCGGAACCCGCTTGCCACAGAACTTTTTTGCCAATTCAGGAAGGCGACAGATCACGTTTGAAAGCCGCGGAGATCGGACCTCTATATGCCATAGGTAAATGATTGTATTCTCTCAAAGTGTAAAGAAATCCGGCAATACATTATAACCGGAAATAGTCAGTGAAAAACTATGACAATTGTTTAGAAAGTATCGCCAACAGCCCAAATTTGATAATGTGCTATTTGCTATTCCTTAGAAAATCAGAATTGATAAAACAAATTTCGAAATTTAAGACAGTCTGACTAAAATGATTGTAGTCTCTCAAAGTGTATAGAAATCCGGCAATACATTATAACCGGAAATAGTCAGTGAAAATATATGACAATTTTTTAGAAAGTATCGCCACCAGCCTAAATTTGATAATGTGCTATTTGCTATTCCTTAGAAAATCAGAATTGATAAAACAAATTTCGAAATTTGGGACAGTCTGACTAAAATGATTGTAGTCTCTCAAAGCGTATAGAAATCCGGCAATACATTATAGCCGGAAATAGTCAGTGAAAAACTATGACAATTGTATAGAAAGTATCGCCAACAGCCCAAATTTGATAATGTGCTATTTGATATTCCTTAGAAAATCAGAATTGATAAAACAAATTTCGAAATTTAGGACAGTCTGACTAAAATGATTGTATAGAAATCCGGCAATACATTATAACCGGAAATAGTCAGTGAAAAACTATGACAATTGTATAGAAAGTATCGCCACCAGCCTAAATTTGATAATGTGCTATTTGATATTCCCAAAAAAATGATAAAGTGCTGCGCTATTCCTGAGAAACCGAGAATTGAGCCTATAAAAGCCCAAGCCCCTGATACATAAACGAAATAAGTGTCCGCCTACTGTTAAACAAAAGTATTAAAATACATTCGTGATGTCCTGCTCATTGTTTAAGGTACGTAGTACAAGAATACAGGAAATGGCTTAATCATCGTCCTTCATATTGATAGGTCAAACCCGTGATACTGATTAAGTGTTTCTGCGGATGCACCGACATGACTCCCGCCGAGGTTCAAAGGATCTACACCTTGTCCAACAGTGTCCACGAAACCCTCCTGGATGAGGAGGCCACCAAACTGTTCCGCAAATTCATGGAGAGTAGGCGCTCCGGCGACAAGAACGAGGCCGAGCAGTACTTGGAAATCTACGAGAAGTGCGCCCTGTTCCTGGCGGACACGCAGCACACCATCACCCATGACGGGGTGAATGAGCTGGTCGATCTGGGCCTGCCGTACGATCTGGCGCAGGATATGTCTAAGCGCTTGCTCAGTGCCGATCGGATGGACATCAACAACGGTCTCAATCGCATACAGGGCAAATGTCGCAACGAGATTGAGGCCAGCAGCGATTTCCGAGAGTTTAGGGACGCCATCGCTGAAAAGATGCGTCGGGTGCCGAAATGATATAGTCTACGCATTTGTGTTCTCTTAGGTACCTTTGTTGGAGGAGCTCTCCTTTAAACTTTCCCAGAGCCTTGGGGTCCTCCACCACGCATCACCCTGGATCCAAGAGAAGTCATAGGCAAATATCGAAGAAATGGAAGCCGTCCTACTTATCGCACTGCGGCTTTCGAAACGAGCTTAACTCACTAAATATTCACATTCTTATAATTTAACCCACATATACGGAACAGAAAACTTTACTTACTTTAATTTTCTTGTAGTTTTTATATTGCACGCTTTGTAATGTTGTTACGAACTAAATTTTCGATTGAGAAATAAATGACCTGATCCTAAATATCCTTGAGAATTCATTTGCAGTTTAATGACAGTTTCAATACAACAAATAATTATCTTAACCAAAAAAGCCTTTTACAAAAAATAGAACATATTTGAAATCAACAATTAAATTGTTACAACAGCCATAGCGTTTGAAAATAGGAACGATGATGAAGATAGTAATTTACCTATAAATAAAAAAACAATTTGTTTGGCACTTTTTGAAAAAAACAATCTTAACGGCTTAAGTCTTATGACAGTTGGAAATTATCATATATTTTCGATTATTTAAAAAGCGATTCTACATAAACAATACATAAAAGTAAAAAAATAAAACAACAAATTACATGCAAAAAATAACTTTTCGGCCAATTCATGAAGGCGACGCGTTCCGGTGACCAGATCCTATTACCCAGGACAAATTGAGCGAACTCATCAACGAGGGCCTACCCAAAGATGAAATCAGATGCTTCCAGAGTGGAAACCAGATGAAAATCATCCAATGTTTTGTTGGTTTTCAAAGAAGCCATCGTAAAAAAATTAAACAGTCAAAGGAATAATTATAGTCGGTTAAATCAAAGTTACAAATGGTTCAATTCATATTAATTTTAATTTTTATACCCGTTACTCGTAGAGTAAAAGGGTATATTGTATTCGTGCAAAATTATGTAACAGCTAGAAGGAAGCGTTTCCGACCCTATAAAGTATATATATTCTTGATCAGGGTCACTAGCCGAGTCGATATAGCCATGTCCGTCTGTCCGTCTGTCTGTCCGTCTGTCTGTCCGTATGAACGCTGAGATCTCGGAAACTATAAAAGCTAGAAGATTGGCATTTTGCATGTAGATTTTACGAGTTCCTACGCAGCGCAAGTTTGTTTCAAAAAGGTGCCACGCCCCCTTTAACGCCCACAATCGCTTATATACGATTTTAAAAATTTAAATATTTCGTAAAAGTAAAAATGCAGTTTTATTGTGTTTATCAATCTCCATCTCCCTCGCACTCCCTTTACCTGAGTAACGGGTATCTGATAGTCGGGGCACCCGACTATAGCGTTCTCTCTTGTTTTAATTGAAGTTTTTGCTTGAATAACACAAAGTTTCATCTTAACTTTCATCGCAATTGCACTCACTAGGATAAACTAAAAATTTGTGTAAGTGTTAACATGTTGATCCAAAAAACAAAATTCAAGCTTTTCTAAATAACTTTAATCCTCAAACCCCCCTCAAATATAAATGCCAAGTTAATCAAAATACATAGCCACTAGGCAGTTAATCCTTGTCAATGTGTATATATTAAACCAAACTAAATTTTGTTTTATAATGAATGCTTTATATACTTGTTAAGCTGTACAGCTATAGAGATATTTCCAGTTCAGAAATAAACGTCCTAAAACTAAAACACCTTTCGTACTGCTTAGGTTTTCTTCCACGAATAATACATTTCCATCGGCTTATTTACCTGGAAGGAAAAGGGATAAGAACCAATTTAAAAATGACTGAAGTGAGTCCTACCTTCCAGAATTTATCGTTGACCTGATGCAGCGTCTGGTTGCCATTCAGGATGACCAATTGCTGTGGCTGGGGAGCGACGTAGATGCAGAAGTTGAGCAGGCGACAGGCCTCCGGCAGATCAGCCCCCAGATCGAGGGTAAGCCGCATGGCCAGATACTTGCTGAGATGGTCGACGGTGGCATTGGCCGTCGTCTTGATGTAGCGCACACAATTCTCCTTGAGCGCCCGTATTAGCTGGTTATCCGCGGACATCTCGGTGGGATGGGGCTTGAATACCAACTCAATTTCATCGTTGATGCCCAGCTCACCATTGCCCTCGCCCTCGGTGTCGATGTTGGAGTCGCCCTCGGTGCGGCAGTCCATCTGGGAGTCGGATTCGGATTCCTCGGACCGCTCCGAGGTTAACACCGACATGGCGCGCTTCGGCTTAGAGCTGCTCGAATTGGACGGCACCGGGGAGGGTGTGCTTCGCATCGAGGGTGGATTGGAAGCGTCGTCCACCTGCATCCGGGTGGCGGAAGTACTGGCGCCCGAATTGGCCGACGAGGAGGGCGTCGCATTTGAGGCGCTCGTAATGGCCGAGGCCGCAGAGGTGCCCGAGTGACCCGGATCTCGGTTCTCGCGATCGATGCTGTTGGTATTGCTGTTGCTGTCGTTGGATGCTGTGTCGTGGACATGCAATTGGTTGGAGGCATTGCGGGCCACAGCAGCGGGAGCTCCAGGAGCAGGAGGTGCAGCCACACTGCCGCCAGTGGGCGCACCATTACCATTGCCTCCGCCGCCTCCACCACCACCCTTGGTGCGGAATCTCTGTGGTCGGTTTTGGGACTGCAGCTTGATGCCCTCGTTGATGGAGTTGACCAGCGCCTGCTGCGACTGCGTCTGGTTGAACTTGGCCATTACCTTCTCCTGGATGGCCTCATACTCCTCGCGACTGGGGTAGATCTTCGAGATGAGCAGGTCAAAATTGGGATCGGCGCGCAACGAGCGCTTAGACACAAGTTTCTTTCTGCATGTGGGGCACTCCTTGTTGCCCGATCGCAGGGCGGTGACGATGCAGTCGGAGCAGAAGCGGTGCAGGCACTCCTTCGTCGTCATGGTCTTCTTCAGCATGTCCAGGCAGATGGGGCACATCAGCTCGCTGTGAAGGCTCCGCGGAGACACCGCGATCTCCGTGCTGTCCGTGATCACCTCCTGCGGCTTGCGCTGCAGCTCGTACAGCGACAGCTCCCACGTTTTGTTCGGCGCCGGGTCCAGCGACGTCATTTTCACACCAATTCTGAGGCTTTTCAATACACAAACACCCTTTTTTCCAAAATTTTTCGCTCAGATTTTCCAAATTGGCTTGCAGTGTGACCGTTATTACATTGTTTGATGAAACCACCACCTTTTTATGATACTGAAAAAGTTATGCATTTGGTATTTTTTCGGTATTTTAGATTTTAGTACAGGGATTGGCGCGTGTTTTAAAAATAATTCTATACAAATATTAATATGAATACAAATTTTCTTAAAATAATTTAAATATTGCTTTTCTAAGTTTCTTATAAATTATTTCTAAGGGATGAGCTCTAAGTGTCCTATTGTCCTGAGCGAACATTTTTGAAAAAAGGATCCATTTTAAAACTTTTTACAAATTGGGTTTTAATAATATTATTGAATTTTATTTTCTGAAATTTCCCCGTTTTGTATGAGTTATCAAAACGTAAAAATTATAAAATATTTTTCTAGCTTAGACACGTAGGACTGCATAGTTTTTTGCCCATTGCTTAGTTATTTCTCTGGTAGCAATAAGTAGATCAAATAAATACATTAATTACTATATGCACAAAGCTAAAAATTTGCTTAAAAGCACGCACTTCAATTTCTAGTTTTTAAAAATTCCAATAACGTGGTATGCTCCAAAATCATTAAACCACCAAACTGAATTGCTTTCTGGGGGTTAAATTCCAATACTGATCAAGTGGACGATAGTGCTTTTATATGGATCCGGCAGATCCTTTTCGGTTGACACTCTGTCAACACCTCAATTCCACGATTTCTTGCGGCTGTCAATCAAGGTGTCTGAAAGCATTTACCGGATCCAGCCAAATATGGCTTAAATGCAGAACCGCCGTTAGCTAAATTGCGCCTGAATGGGATTTTCTGCAGTTGGTGACGCTGTGTGGGGCCGAGAATGCTGAATGCAGCCCGTCTGATAATTGAATTAGAGGCCCCGCCGACTGGCTCCTTCAGTCTGCATGCGATGACAATGACCCTTGAGAGCTGAGCATTCCATTACTTTTGGATCGGATCGGATCGGACCGGATCGCGTGCTCCCAAGTTTCCCAAGCCAAAAGGTTTTCCCTGGCTCACCACCTGTCACATTGTCGGCGGGAGTGACGTGGCACATATGTAAACCTTGGGCAAATGCCGCCGCCATTTGAACGAGCGGTGAAATTGCTGGACATGCCTGGCATGGCTAACAAAAAATTAAAAAAAAAAAATAGAAAAATAAATGAAAAAAAACATTTGTCATATCCCAAGGTGCAGGCGTTGCCGCTTTCGAATTCCTCATTAGATCGCCCAGCTAATTATCGTGGTCGGTAGGCGTGGCCCGATTTCTGCTCACACCAAATTGCTGCCTCATGGCGGCCGTAATTGCAGCATCTATATATATGTGCCTATGCCCCTTGCAATTTACAACTTATCGAGGCTATCCACCGCGGCACCTGACCAGCAGAACCGCCAGAACCACCAGAGCCACCGCACCACTTGAACTTGTGCACCCACACGACGCTGTCGGATCGCCGCTGTCCTCGATTCTCAGGTTCACGACCCACATGCCCGGCTCTCCATTCCATCTCTGGAACTGCTTTCTTGAATGATCCCAGCGCTTTTCCATCGGCCAACGTTTATTGACATTAATCATTGGCAAACGCTTGCGGAAATTTGCAAGTACCTGGTGGTATACCTGGTATACCAGGTACTTCTGGGAAATGATTGCCTCTCAGCACACTTTTTTATGGCAGCTTTATGGAAGGTGGCTGGCGGTTAAGAGGCCAGGGATGCCGAATGGCCAACGGAATAGGAACACCAAAGTTTCTCTATTCCATTTCGCTTTGAATATTTTTTGGGAGGCTCTTTTCTACACATCTCAATTATTTGGCGGTAGACCGGAAGGAAGTAGACGCCATTTTGCAGCAGCTTTTGTCCCCCGCTGTCTGCGCCATTTTGTTGTGGTCTTTGTACAGTTTATGCATGATGATGTCTGTAGCAATTTGTAGCAATTGCTCGCAGTTAAAGTGAAAGTTGTGCTGTGCTTCAGAACGAGCTAACCAGCCAGAAATTGCGAGTGCCTAATTGGGCTTAACGAGCTCTTTCAGGTGGGCGTTCACTTTGATGTTGCTTTCACAGAGAAAATAAATCTGATATATAGGTTATACATTTATTGCACAATAATTTTTTTAAAATATGGCACTAATAAAATAATAGCCAATAAATAATAACTGCTTTATAATTTGGTAGGAATACAATTTACTGAGTATCTAGTCAGTAATCCATTGTTTTCTTCGTTAATTATTGAAATTGTTTTTATTAATATTTCATGGACGAATATTAGTGTTCAATGATTGCCTTGGAAGGATACAATGAATATTATTTCTCATATCTTAGGAATAGCGGTGTGGATTTTTGTGTGTGTACCAGTTAAAGTTAGCTGGCCCAAAATTGCTGTATGAGTAAACCGCAACATGCCACTTAGCCCCCAACTCGAAATCAATGATGGGTATGGTTTTGAGAATGGGAGTTACGAATTCCAGGCCACCAGATTCGGACAGTTAGAATGTCACCCACACACACACACACTCACACTCGCCACCTGGAATCGCAATTGCAATCTGTTAACTTGTCCAACAAAGACGGCCACTTCCAAAGCCAAAGCCAAAGGCAAAAGCAAAAGCAAAAGGAATGCCAATGCCACTCATAGCCAACAATTGACAATAACAAGCAGGCGGCGTCCGCCCAATTTTCGACCCAAACCGTTGCATCGCCCCTCTCCACTCTTTTTGGTGGCAAAGTGGGGCGAAGTGAAGTGCCCCGGCAACATCATCGATAACCACCACTGAAACGGCAGCCACACAATTGGAGTTCTTCAATTGCCCACTGTCCAAATATTGCCAGATCCCGGGAACGCAGCGCATTGTTTGCTCGTTATTATGGACGTGGCTCCTGATGGGAACCTGACCTGGGATTGGTATTGGGATTGGGTTTGGGTTTGGTATGGCCAGTGGCTTGGGTTGGGCCGAGCGGGTTCTTTTGTCTTTTCGCCGCACACAGCACACATACCATAAATAAATCTCAATTAAACTGCAACCCCTTTTCCACGGGGGCGTTTCCCATGGCCATGTACCATGGTCCATGGACCATCCTGGTAATCAATCAGTGGACGAGGCTACTCCCTGGCTTATCCCAAGCTTTCTGGGATGTCACAGATGTCTTTGCATTCACACCCCAACTCCTACTTTTCGGCTGCCACTCTTTATTCTTTTCGATGCCACGCCATGCGGCACTTGCATGTTTATTATTTGGCCAGCCTTTTAGAAGCCGGTCCCGATCTGCAGACTGGACACAGTCCACACAAGAAGGGGCAGGAGGGGCAGGAGGGGCAGGAGGGGCAGAGGGGTACGGACTTGGCCAAGTCGCGACGACGTCACAGTCGTTAAGCGTGACTTTTGTTATTGTTGTTTGTTGCTTTTTGCATACCGTCGGGAAAATGGGTAAGAATTGGAAAGGGGCAGCGGCGTGTGTTTGGGGGGATTGGGAACGTAAACAAAAAGCCGAACTCCAAACTCGAAGTCGAAGCCACTCCACGAATAACCAAAGGCAGAGAAGAAAGAACCCAGAATGGTTCTGCTTACATTGAATGCTGAATACTCTATGACTATTTGCAAAAAAAATCAATTCTTATTTTGTAATTTAAGTATATAAAGTTTATTAAGAGGGCCAGGAAAAAAGTCAAGTTAAATAAAGGAACATTTCTTATAACAACCACGAGTTGCGAAAATAAAACGTATGAACTATATAATACAAATATTATAATTTTATCAACATTTTTTAGAGCTTTTTATAACAGTACATATTTCATTTTGTTAATATTCAGACATGTAAGTTCACTATTCAAATCAGTAGCACATAAATGATCTATACATTTAAGACCTTAACGCCAATAAAAAATCAGAAATACTAGTTTGAATCCTAATAGTTCCTATACCCAAAAGAAAATCTTTCACTTCCTAAGTCAACTAAGAGTGTTCCAAGAATAAAAGTATGTTTTAAAACTAATACCAATTTGAAAATATCATTTCCAAATGGGATTTCGGATGGGGTTTCTTTCCGGGAACCAGAATGATTGTACACTAGGAAACTGGGGTCAAACCAGTGCGGTGGTTACTCATGACGTGGTTAGGCACCCAGCTGAAATACCCGAATCCACTCGGTGGTTTTGTTCTGTGGCATAAACGGCAACGACGACCGGCCCGCTTCATTCAGTCTTTGGCGAGATTTTATCGTGTGCGGACGTGTCTGCGGCTGACTTGCAAACTTAAATGCAAATCCAAATACCGAATTCCAAAAGCAAAACCGCTCGTTACTCACCACGCGACTTTAGATGCAGTTTTACAACGTTTGGCGCCACAACGAAAAGACTTTAAGACTCTGATTCGATTGCATTTAATTCAAATCACATACAAAAAGTGCCAACGAACAAAAAAAAAAAAAACAAGTTTATTAATATGAGTTCAACCTGGATGCGAACGGCGGCCCTTGTGCTGGGGTAAGTTCGAAGGACACCGGGTTTCCTGAGGGTCCTCTAGCTGCGTTTTAGGGTCCAGCGTCCCCGCTCCCTTTCCGTCTGCGTCCCCGTTTCTGTCCAGACCACCGCGTCCTCCGTCTCCGCCACTTCCGTCTGGGTTTCTTGGTTGCTGATGGGGACAGGGAATAGGGAATGGGTGAGCTAGGGAGTCTGGGGATGGAGGATTGAGTCACCTACTCGCTGGACACCCGGAGCCTGTTGCGGTGCATGTGCAGGCCGCACCGCTTGCACTTCATCGTGCAGCTCCAAGAGGGACCGGTGGATAACCTCTTACTCTTGCTGACTCTGCCGATGGAAGGAGAGACTTTTAGAATGCTGCTAAATCAGCTTTGAAGAGACATTTTATTGTTATTTGTCTGGCAAAGTTACACTGAGAAATATGAACAAAAAAAATTGAGTTTGAGGTGGGGTTACCTTACCTATTAAGTTTTATGGGCTTTATGGGACCCGAGTCGGAACTATTAGGCATTTTATGAAGCATACTTAGAAAACTTAAGGTGAAGACTAGAACACTTTTTAATCATCTACAAATATTTAAATACGTTCTTGCCTTATTTTGCTTAACTGGAAATACATCAACGACAGACAAAACTTTCTACCGATATTAGTTTCTTAATTAGTGTTTAAATCTTGTAAAATTAAAAAGTTCAGTTAGAATGATTAAATGTGACTTATGAAAATAGGTATTTTACTAAATAATTAAGAGCGCAGCTGGACCATTTGGAATTATTTTTCGTCATGCTCACTTTAAATGTAAGGTTGAGCAGTGTTTTCTAAAAAATGTGATTAAGCGAAAAACAAATGTGAGCTAATTCAAACAAGCTGGGAAATGTTGTGTTTCTCTCATTTTCATTCACTGAATCATCCTTTTTTATATGAATGCGTGAAATAAGCTCTTAATGGTGCTCTCAAATTCATGAAAAATGTTCTCTAAGAACCAAAATGTTTTCCTACATTTCATACCTTTTAGTCCTGAATTTAGGTTCCCACTTTAATAAGAGTTTCTTAAGCTTCGCTTCGGATAAGAGTTTCTCCCTGGGCAAGTTATCTCCGATCTGGTTTTGCGGGATGGGTGTCAATGGCTCCAGTGACGCCTCTCTGGGCAGGTCCTCCTCCAATCGCCTCTTCTTCACTCCGAGCAGGGTAAGATCGCACAGTTGGTTGATGGCCTGCAGGACTTCGTTGTGTATGAGGTCGCTCTGGTCCTTGATCGAGTCGTAGATCAGGAAGAGGGCCTGGAGATGGGGCTTCATGACCTCCTGCTCGTCGTCGATGGTCTGGCTACTCGTGTCCTGGCAATCCATTGCGGTCTGCACAGATACATTGGTACAGTGGAGCTCCGTTTGGATGCCCAAACAGGCGCTGACTAGCTTGGTCTGGGTGGTGCTGGTCTTGGCGTTGACCTCCACCTGGGTGATGCGGCTCTGCAGAACCTGTCTCTCTGTCTGAGTGCTCAAGGCCTGATGGCCGGGATTGAAGGTCTGCTGATCCCTGGAAATGGAGTGCACCAGATCGGAAGTGTCCACTTGGCTGCTGCTCCACTCCTGGTGAGGCGTTTGGCTGGCAGTGCTGTCCAGCACCGTCTCCGTTCCCACGGCTATGCTTACAGTCTGCTGGCTGGGATTGAAGGTCTGCTGATCCTGGGAAACGGTATGGATCAAATCGGAGGTATCCACCTGGCTGCTGATCCACTGCCGATGGGGCGTTTGACTGGCGGTGGTTTCCAGCACCATCTCCGTGCCCACGGCTTTGGACCTACGATGCAGGGTGGTCTGAGTGAAGCCATCCTCTCGGGCTACTGGTAGCTTGAAGGCAAAGCCACTCCCACAATTTAACATCCGCTGGAGATGACGGCGACGCTTCTGCAGCCGGCTGCTCAAGGAGGTAGTGCGTCGGATCCTCTTCACCTGGAGGATGAGCAGCTGCCCCTTCTGCAGCATGCAGTGAACCATGTAGCTTTGGGGTTAACTAGTTGATTATACAAAGTCATCGAAGACCCCCAATTCCGGACTCACCTTACCTTCCCGCACTTGAATCGCTTGTGCAGATGAATGACACTACTTGGAGTTGTGGACATGGACACTAACAGCAGTTCCTTCAAATCAATACGCATTTTAATACTAATCTAATGCTACCTTCTGTTCCACAATATAAATACAACGTACTTACAATTTTGACAAGAACGTATCTGTACAGTGTGAAATACTGAATTGTAAGCCTCAGCTAAAAACCACTACGACTTGTCGAAGGTGGTGCGATGTGTTGGGTTTGCCGAATTTTCACACGAAACCCTTTTCGAAACGTTGTCTTAAAAGAACCCAACACGCAACCTCATGTTGCTGCTTTTGTGTGCAGTATGTTGTATGTATGGCTGCGGGCTCCTTTGTGCTGGCAATTCATTAATAATTCAAAAATGCCGCATATGTTCAGGACCAGGACAACGACAGCGGCAGCGGCAGCTACAAAATAAAAGAACAAAAAATGCATTCACTTATTCTGCAATTTATCAATACAGAGTTAACATGAAAATGGCCACAAAAACCACAGCGCAGACACAGAGGACACAAAGGAGTAGGAGCAACCCGCCCGGGGTGTTTGTTTGCCTTGCATCGGGATGTGGATGTGGATGAGGATGAGGATGTGCATATGGATGGGGCATGGGGCAGAGGGAACTCCAGACCATGGCAGCATGTGGTGGCCACTGCTAAGTACGTGTTGATTTGGGCGCTTTCGATTGGGCTCCCATGGATATGCAATACACAAAATCGATTGGCCCCCATTCCATTCGTCCATCAGCTCCTGACTGGCCTCTAATCCCGCCGGCAGGCACAGTTTCCTTGCTGTCTTGCACTCGAAATTTATGCAGCTTCTTCGGCTTCTAAGGTTTTTAGTTTTTTTTTTTTTGCTTTTGTTTTAAGTTTTCAGTCAGTTTTTGCATGCATTATCTTCGGGAGCTCGGGGGCTAAGACCTGGCTCAGAATGCCGGGCACGTCGGCGGGCCTTCGGTTACATTTATTGCATAAAACCCAGCCAATTTCCATGATAATTTGTAACGAGCGCAAGACCGCCAAGGGGCTGCAGTTCCATATCGAACTATAGGTATGTAGGACCCACAGCGCTTAGTCGGTCAATAGCATTTCGCTTGACAAAGTCAGATCCATCTGAAAAGAGCTCTAAGAACGGCTGAAAGTCCAGCAATATGATCACATAATGTGGCACTTTAAGCCAAGGTATCGGTGATTGCAACACCCCCGGAGATATGCATTCTACTCAGTTCTAATGCTCCCATGCCTCTTGAATTTCCCAGCTCGAAAGCGTTTGTCTCTCACCCATGATATCCCCCCGTATCTTCCCCCTTTTCTCTTCCCTGTAATTGTACGTGCCTATTTGCATTTTTATCTGCTTTGTTTTCCGCTTTCTTCCTTATTATTACTTGACATTCGAGCAGCAGCGAGTAGTGGTTTTCAGTTTCACAGGGGGGCAAACACCATCTATTTAAAGTTGAGGAGTTGATTTACACGCTGGTCAGGCCCAACCCAAAACAAAAATAAAAATAAAAAAAAAACAGTAAGGAACTGAAAGATACATTGGCTGGAAATTAAGACCTCGGGCCATCTCACCTGTCAAAGTGCCGCCAAAACGACCCTGAACCCTGGCCGTGGGGTCCAATCAAACCGCAGGCAGCCTAATCCCTTATAGAATTTCGCACATAAAACGAGCAATGTCAGGGCATAAAACGAATGCCATAAAAGCAGTTTCGATCCCTCAGGTTCTACTGCCTCCTGTGCCTCGCCACGATGGCCCATGGTGCCAGCAATTCGGGAGCGGGAACAGCGCCACTTTTGGCCAAGGATGTGGTCCACATGCACCACAAGACCAAGAGGCTGGACAGACGATCGGGATCGGGAACGGGAACGGGAACGGATCCTCTGACGGCCATCAAACAGCCAAAACAACTGGCCAGAAGTGCCCATGGCCTCAACAAGAAGCTGCTCAGGTGAGTAACACACTGCGGGAATCTAGAATAGTAAATCATGAGTTTTCACTTAATTCCATTACGATCCCTTTGGCAGCATTAGTACTAATACATTATGACCATTAAATATTTATCTTATTGTCACTATGATTATGTAATATATTCATTGCATATAAAATCAGGGATATTTAGGCGTATCTCATAAATATCTTCAAATATCTTGTGGTTTTTCGTAAGATGTTCATTTAGGCCAAATTTGGTTTGCCTTTCTTTAATAGCATTTAATTATCTTTTTATAATTACTATTTAAGATTATTAAAAAAATTTTCATAAGATTAAAATTAAAAGAATTCGTTTCAAAATCCTACCCTAGATAGTTTTGTAATTGCATACCCTAAAAACTGCATTTATTATTTTCAGTGCTTAAATATTCTGACTTTAATTAAAGCTAAATACGCAGTTGTAATTGAGCTGTCTTTTATAATGATTGTAGAGATTAAACAGAAAAGGAAAGGCAATTCTTGGACATGTAGCATCAGTTACGCATCTCTGAGCCTAAGAACTTAAATAATATTTCTTTCACTGCTGAGTAAGACAGGTTGGGGGTTAGGTGCCCAACTCTTATTTTGGGCTTAATTAAAGTTCCGTGTCCAGTGCCGGTCATAAATAATGTAGTGAAATATTCATGGAAAACGCTTATCAACGCTGCTCCCCTCCTATTGCCAAACTCTCTTGGTCGTTGCAGCCAGATGGGCTTCATGAAGGTGAAGGCGCCCAACAGCCACAACCGGAAGCGACTGGCGGTTGAGTCACGACGCCATTCCTCGCGCGATGATTCACACATGTTCATCATCAAATTGCCGCCAAATATGCACTACTATGCAGGACCCGGTGCGAAGAATGCCTTGGTGGATCAGCAGGAGAAGTCGACTGGTGGTGGCAAGCAACATGGTAACGCACCCAACAAGATGACAGTGGCAGCAACATCGACGGACACACGAGCAACATCAAGCACGCCAGCAGCAGCAGCAGCAGCAGCAACATCACAAGTTGCTGAGGCGTCGGCGTTGAAAGCTAACGGGAAAAAGGTAAACGGGATTCCATTAGGTTACACCATAGACATAGGCACACACAATGCTCTGGTCTGTCCCCTTCTGGCCATGGCTAGAACTGGCTCTCAGCCGAGTCCACCGATCTGCCGATCTGGCCAGGTTTGGACCTAGACCGCGATAAACATCGGCTCGCATGCGCATAAAACAAATTGCAAAACAGCTTGAGGAACCCCGAAGAAGAGAAGTTGAAGTGGAAGCGAAATGGATTACCCATTTTGTAGACTTGCTAACAGACTTTGGCCGCGGAGAACATGCGACTTGGCAGCCGTTGCAGTTGCAGTTGCGGTTGCTATTTTTATGCGTGCTACCCCCAATGCCCGAAATGGGTATGTTGGGCCCCAGCCCCACTGTCCTATAAATAGCTCTTCGATAGGGTCAGTCATGGCCAGCCAGTGGGTATCGGGAAGTCCAGAGAAGAAGTCCCGCACCCGATCCCGATCCCCAACACCATACAGCATTCCGAGCTGTAATACATGGCCTTTGCGGAGCTGGGGCACTGAATTAATGCGGCAAGTGTCAATGTCAGTGGATGTTGGACAGCCAGTGGCACGAAAATTATTACGCTCTCACGGAGTCGCGGCTGAACCAGAAATTAATATGCAGGCCATTAACCAAGTCCGAGCTTCAATTAAAAATGCAATTTGTTTTGAGCCACTCCGCCGGCAAGTGGGCCCGGTCTGATATTCCTGATTTAGACGCCAGAGCACGGCTGATTTATGGGACGCCAGTCGCAGTCCACGGGTAATGTTGTCTAATCAGTGCGCTTTCAATTGCAGGTCTCGTTTCCCTTCAGCTCGAATGGCCGGCCCGGTCGCATCTACCACTGGAACCTGCCCGTCCTGAAGGAGGCCCTCTCCAAGAAGCCCCACTTTGCCCACGTCTCGGCGGCGGATCGCAATAGACTGCTGGACATCCAGAGTGTGCCCACATGGCGCCAGCCCTGGGAGAACGAGACCGTCGAGAAGGGTTTCAGTGCGGGCGGCGGAAAGGCCAAGTACCGCAAGTCCCTCAAGCCCAAGTCGCCCACGTATTACGCACCCTCGCAGGCGGTCAGTAAGCAGAGCTTCCACAAGTACTTTGCCGGCAATGGGAAACCCAAGGGCTTCTACGTCATCAAGGAGCACCAGAACAAGCCGCAATTCTACCAGAACATCATCTCGTAATGGGACAAATTTGGATCCTCTAAATACCTTCGAAAGACTGCGGTGCCGGGCGTTCTATTTTCCATCTTTTCGGGGCTTTTCCCCTTCCGTCCAGTTTCCACTTGGAATCTCCTTTCCGATCATCATCCGACTATATCTGATCTCTCCAGCAACTGTTCAACAATTGCGGAGGGTAAAGTCTATTTTTATAAAACGGCAATAAATACAATAACAGATTTGGGCTGGTCCAAGCAGGAAGTGGAATAACCATATCAACACTTAAAAGTTCCATTAAATCTTATTTCGTATTAAATTGTTCTTAATTATTTGAGATTTTATGTCATCAAAATTATACCTTTTAAGATAAGAAAAAAACTCAAACTTAATGATCAAAGTGATGTTGATATTACAAAACGGCCACGAACAAAATTAAGAAGATATTTTGATTAAACCAAAATTGCAAAATTATGAGGTCCCCAAACATGAAAACTATGGGCTTTAAGTCCAAACATAGAAGGTATTCTACGTCGTCAGACTTTGGATTATATCAAAATGACCGGAAGGCATTTTAGTTTGATCTGTGAACCCCAAAAACCCTTTGTAAGACCAGCCCAAAGCTGCATTTAGCTAAGCATCTACGGCAAGCAATAAATTATGGCATATATCAAGCTAGGTTTAAGTGCATGAACGATTTTGTTTTGATAAATAAATATTGACTGATTTTTAAGTGCAGTCCCTTCAAGTGGTTGGCAGTCAGACAAAGAGCCAAAAAATTATGGGGCTGGAACTGTCTGCGCCGAGTTTATTGACTTGGCCAAAGGTGAAGTCGAGTCGGGGGCTGGGGAAAAGGTGAGTGTCTGGCAAATTCGGCGGCTGTCACGACAGAGACACAAGCCGAGTTCTTTGGCTGCCCGGCCAGCGGAACATTCTGGGCAAAAATGAAAAAACAAAAACAGAAACAAGAATCAAGCTAATTATATAAGAAGCTATAAGCCGGGCGTGTTCTGACTAAGCCCTATGGGAAGATTGAAGATTGGGTCTGCAAACGGAAGCGGGGCGAGCGTGCGCATGCGCAGTTTCTCAATTGGCAGATAAAGCCGCAGACAGAGATACAGATACATATTCATAAGACAGCGCCAAGTTGCCATAAGTAACTGCCCCATAATGACAAAAAATCTGGCAGACAGGCGGCGCACCTCCAAACTGCCGCATAAATAATGTTGTATGTTCTTACCTTCTCGTTTCCTCTTTTTTTTTTTGGCGACTCTGGCGCATAATTGTTTTCGCAGCTTACGTTTTCCCGATTCTGACTCTGACTTTGCTGACTCACGAGCACTGAACTTTTCACCCGCATCCGTGGCATATTGAGTGCGCGGCTTAAGTAGTTATAATGACTTGTTGTTTGGCTGGCGAAGAGACATAAATCACTTTTATGACAAATGTCTTTGGCTGACAGGGAAAACGGAGGATGGTCATTGATTTTTTATGACCGTCTCCAGGGGAAATGGTTGGCAGACTATGCAGATAGCCAGATAACCGTTCTGGCAATCAAATGTCGGATAACATTCGTTTGACCGAATGTGCAACAAATGACGGGCTATCGCTGTCGCAGTCGTTGCCACTTGTTAACGCCATTTCCGCCTGTCATATCAAAATAATTATCTCAAAGTGTTGTAAGAGCCGAGAGTCCTAGAAACCGAACCATACCAACCCAACCAAACCCAAACCGAACCAATCTGAAACAAGACTCGTTTGCGTGCGCGGCAATTTGGCGGGCTATCTGCAACTACTGGACAACTTGATCTGTAGAACAAGTTCCTCACGCAATCTTGATTGCAATTATGTAATTCGAAATTCTTACTAATTAAACTAACATTTCGCCTAATCGTATTTGCATTGCAATCCAGACATAAGCACCTGAAGTCATGCTCAGCCGCAAATGTGCCGAGTACCAAATAAATTGGTTAAGGTTAAGAAAGCAAGTTTTTTTTTTTTTTGTTGATTTTATTTACGTAAGTTAATTTTCCTGGTGACTACCATCATAATTTTCCTTAACTCAACAGAGCTTGAACTGTTAAAAGTAATAATGTCGGAAAATTAGAGTGTTTCCCAACAACTCAATAAATTTATATTAAATTAGTGTTGTGAAACTAAGCAGGTTAGTTTTCCACTCGCCTAATTGTTAATTTGTTCACGTTTTCTACTTTTGACTTATTATTTGTTAGGTTGGACAATAAAATTATAATATTTAAGGTGAGGAAACTATGGAAACCTTGGTTTGCTCAAGTGACAAGACATTTTAAAAACTAGTTGAAGGACGGCAAATAAAATTAAAAAATTAAATAGAAATAGCAACGTTGAAAAAATGTTTAACAACAAGTAAGAATGAATAATTTTATTGTTAAGGATTATATCCTTTTATAGCCAGAATAATAAAAAAGCAATATTTTTTTTAAACTCAACAAAAATTATCTATCGCTATTAAAAGATTTATTTTAACAGATAATAATAATATGTTATGAAATATTCTTAATATATATGTATAAGCTCCAAGAACAATTATACGCCAGAGATTATACAACATTATGCAGTAGTTTGAAGGTGCGCCTTTTGTTTGGCCGATTTTTCTTTCAAAACTTTCGAAACAAATTAAAATTATGTCCACAACGAATTGGTTCTCTACACTCTTTGGATTGGTGTAGTCCGTAAAAAGTCAGCATTTTTCAGTTTGTCAATTAAAATGAAGCCAGCAATCCTCATCTTGGCCATCCTGAGCCCAACCCTCACTAATCCAATGCCACCTGGGGCAGCGGCCACCCGAAAGCCTGGACCCATGTTTGGAGTTCCTCCCAAGGTTCCCGAAGGCAAATAGGTGACGATCAACGACCAATTATTAATAGTTAACTTTCTATTAAAAATATTATGGCGATTGGAGATTGTATTGCCAAATAAAATAATACAAACGACTGGATTAATAATGGATGTACCATTTATAGTACATTATATAACTCGAATAGAATCTACACTTTTATTAAACGATTTTAGCTTAAAAATATGCTTAAAGTTTTTGATTATGGAACAATCTTTCTTTAAGGTGTCAAACAAAAACACCTCTTAACGAGATAACAAAGTAGTAGCGATTGTACGTCCAATGCAAAATTTCTGAAATCCAGCTTAATACACTTTTAAAAATGTTTTTATTGGCCTACTTTAGTGAAGAACTTAAGCTTTTTGATTACACAGTAATTTTTTATTATAGCGTGTCGAATGCAATGCAGTCTGTCTTGTCAGACAATCCCCAAGTTAAATCAAAAACTTTCGAGCAGTATATCACAGCAGACGCCTCTCACATTCTAAAACTGCGATTCGTCACTACTTGTGCTGCCGTCCAAAGTGATAACAAATTTAGCTGTTTAATTTGAATCCATAGCAAGCCAAACGAATCCATCACCAATTAGTTCGATCTACTTAAAAAGTAAAAACTATATAAAGCAGAATTTAGTGACTTAGTTAGTTAAAATGAAGTTAACAACAGCTTTCCTCTTCTTAGCCATCTTGGGCGCAGCTTCCGCACGTTTAAATATACCATCTGTGGGGAAAGGCCCCGTAGAACCTTATGGAAAATAAAACGGCGTTACTTACAGGCGATGAAGAATTCGATATTTAACAAATTTATTATAATGCATTTGCAATTTTTGTTCATTCTGTAAATATTTAACGAATTTGATTCTGCTAACTAATATTGTTATGGCGAAAATGTAAAGTCAACCAAATAATAAACATTTATAGAAATTCAATCCGCAATCATTTCGAAGTATGAAATCGGATTTCTGTAAGAATATGGTTATGGACTTAGAAGTGCAGGTTTTAGGTCACCTTTCTGCAAAGCTATTTTTCAAAAAATGTTCATAAAAATTAAGAAAAAATGACTCCAAAATACAAACCAAGTTGAAAGCACAGATTTTTAGAGAGTTAAATTACAATCATTTAGAAGTATGCCGTTTTGAAATCGAATGTCTGTAAGAAAAGTTGTGGGCCTAGAAGTGAAGGTTTTAGGTCATTTTTCTTCAAAGCCATTTTTCGAAAATTTGGAAAGGGTCAAATACTATAACGGGTCGGACATGTGCCCTTCAAAGCGTTCCAAACTTTTGACTAAAATTATAATACCCTCTGCCAGGGTATAAAAATTGAATTAAAACATTACTTTATTTTAACCGAGTTTGGCTGAAAGAGATTTTGGAAAAGCCACCGAATTTAAATTTATTTTCGGTCACACCAGATACACAAGCGCGGCCAACTTCGTTCTGTTCACGTCAGCTGTTGCAGGGAAAATAAACTGTTATTCCCTAAACTTGTATTAGCCCATAAAACTTAAAAAGTCCTACAAACAAAACACATTGTGAATTAATTAGCTGGAAAGTGAATACATAATAACCACAAACGGTTTAATTTACTCACTAGATTTCGCTGTGCCGGGAATAAGTGCACTTTTAAATCAAACTTTACGCCCGCGCAGGCGCCAACTTTTTTGTAAACATTGCCGCCCAACCCAAAATGCAACAACAGCAGCCACCAAAAAACTCCTCTGAACGCAAAATCGGCACAAGGACGTGCCAGCCAGCCAGGAAAAATCAATAACAACACAGCCGCGAAGCGACAAAGGCCGGAAGTGCATTTTTTGCATTACTGAGCGTTAAGTAACGCCAGAGGGTAGAAAAAATCCGTAATTTTTAGGAGGAAAGTGATGTAGTTTTTTGTGCCAAGACTCTGTACGAATAAACCCGGAAAATGGTGGGCAAGGGGTCAAGCGGCTTGGGCGAACACACGAGCACGGGCAGCAAGGAACGCCCTGTTTTTATTCCGCCTCGGAAACGTCAACAAACCAAGTCGGAGGCCAAGAAGCAGAACTATGTGGACCATATTGTCAGTGTGCAGGTGAGAAATTGGATAATAGACTCCCAGATGAATCTAGTCTATGATTCGATCACAATATTGTCTTGGTAGTCACATGTATATACAGCTCTAACAGAGATTCGCAGATTCGAATCATGTCTTAATCGATTTGGATCATATAAAAAAGTCTACTAACCAGTTAAAGTCCATTTTTGATTCAAATGCAATAAAGATTCCTTTTAATTCTTACTATATTCTTTCATATAAAATGTTTTGTGGCATTAAATACAACAAATTAAAAACATTATATATTTATACTTTACGGCAAAGAAAATCTATATTTGGAGGATTTTTGATTTATAATGTTACCAAGCTTTAAATCATTGCAAGATTAAATCATTCGGATCATTAAACATACTAAGACAAAATTATCCGAACATTATTGATTTGTGTACTAGTTAGTATTAAATGAGGTCTTGTATTTTATGAGCATTTACCATGTTTTTACCGTAGCAAAATCGACCGAAGCTGTCGCCCTCAAATCCGGGACTCGAGGAGGAGCTGCGCAAGTCCAAGCTGATCATCAAGAACAAGCAGCCGCTGCCGCAGCTGCCCGGGGAACTGGGTGTGCCCGGTGCCCACGATACCCTGGCCAGTACCCACTCGGCCAGCTCCACACAGCACAGCCAGAAGTCGGCCCGATCCAACAGTAATCTCAACGAGCTGCAGAACTTCGAGTCCATATCGCAGGGCACGAAATCCACCTCGCAGCGGCACGAGAGCAGCACGGTGACGCCCAGCAGCTGTTGCTATTCGGAGAGCAGCCTGGACGCCAAGTTGAGCAAGTCGCAGGACTGCCTGAGCAACCGGTCGTCCTCCAAGAAGCGGGTGAATATCCGGACGACCGATCTGCCCGGACAGGGACGCAACCAGCGCACCTCGCCAGAGATAGCCAACTACGAGGACCTGGAGTCCGGCGAGACGAGTGTCCTGAACAACTACGACCAAAGTCTGGAGCGGGGCTACCAGGCGCGCAAGGAGGCTGGCAACTACCTGACCATGACGGGCACCATCAAGCGGGGCCGCAAGAAGGGCCAGTCCGTGGACCTGCAGATCAACATCAGTCGCGAGGAGCTGGAGCAGCTGAATGCCCATGCGATGGCCAGTGATTCCAAAAAGGGCGGCAATCTGTGCTGCACCTGCAGCTGTGGCACTGGCCTCCACATCCTGCTCATTTCGCTGTTTTGTCTGCCGTTTGTGACCGTCATCTCGGCGGTGTACTCTTTCTATATTGGCACACTCACCTGGTACAATATGTTCAACTATTACTGCGAGGAAAGGACGTACCTGCACAAGATCCTAGTGACGCCGCTCCTGTTCGTGGCCTATCCCCTGGCCATCCTGCTGTGCACCTTCGGACTGGGCATCTATTCTGGGGTGCGGCAGCTGAGTCTGCAGTACAGTAGCTGGGTGAACGACATCACGGATATTGAGAAGGGCTTCTACGGATGGCTGTGCGGCTTCCTGCGGATGCCCGACTGCAGTCCCTACGAGGTGGTCATCCTCACCGATATCTGTGTGGCGCCGCAGGATCCCCAGCGGCTGCATATCAACAAACCGCGCCAGGAGCTGTCCATGTAGGATGCCTGGCCCCGCATTTTCGACCATAAGTGTGATATAAAAAAAAACGTAATTACAAACGTACGATCAACACATTAAGTTTCCTTTGGCCAAATTTGTTCCTTTCACATTGACATAATCGAATGTCTGCAATTGCAGCTTTAGAGAACCGAAATACACTATATAAACAAGCGGTTTAATATAGCCGCATCCAGAACATAATCCAAGCCCTAGAGAACCTAGCATTAAGTTACTAGAAATCTAACACTCGCACAGCGTCTAAATACACAAGGAGTTCGGGAGCCCGAAACTAATATAACTTTGCAAATGTCAATAAAAATAATTGCTCAATAAGTAAATGTCACGGATAATTGTTATAGTAATTCAGATTAATGTAAATTAATTTTTGGTCTGAACCCATGTGTGGGAAAACCCCTAAAGAATCCATTTAATCTTTCAAATTAAAAACAATTTTATAAATTGTAGTTTGTCATATCTGATTTAATAGGCATTCTAAAAACGTTATTCCATCCATTATTATTTATGACAATTTGCAGGGTTATCAAAAAACAGTTAACTGTTGTAGTTGGGCACTAGCCTGCAACTTGAAACTTTGCTTTCCTTTCTAACTCAAAGCCAAATTTAAAGCCATATAAGAAACATATTACCGAACTGGAATAGCATTTACAGAATTATGCATTTATCTTTAAAGTGAACCAAAAACCAAATAAAGCAGCCAACTTAAATGCGCAGTTGACGTGATGGAAACTTTTTCTTAGTTTTAAGCAAACATTTTTTATTTCTACGTCAATAAAAACCGCAGCAAAGCCCACATATATATGTATACTTATATAAGCAAACGTTTTTAAAATAGAAATTCTATATGTTAAGAACCCGAATATCAAACACTTATTGAAATGAATATATTAGCCAGAGAAATAAAGTCAATAAAACTATATAGCAAACACAAACAAACCAAAGGTCGTATTGCGTTCTTAAATGCGAACTGCTACATTTTATTTGATTTGCATAAATATTTGCATATATTTATTTTTCAATTTACTTCAAGCAGCGGGAATCAAGAGATAACGTAACTGATTTAAACATTTGTATGTGTACACTCGTAAAAATCTTTTATTTAACTCAAAACAAAAGTTAAGTACTGACATATATTTAAAGTTTTATACTGTATTATCTTCTTAGCATAAACAAACAAAATTAAAAACTAGACCACTTTAAACTTTTTAATTTTAAGAAAAATTAAATTATTTATTTCGTGACTTTCGGGTAGCAATTCGATTTGGTTGGGTAGGTTTCGACCACTTTTTTTAACCTTCCAAAAAACTTTTAACTCAATTAATAAATTATACAAAATTATATTACAATTTTCAACTAATTTATTATTAATTATGTATATAAAGTTACGAAAATATTCTGAGTGTATATAAGGAGAAAAAGAGAAAGAGAGAGAAACCCAGAGAGAATGGGGCTTTTTTCACTTTTGTTTTTGCCGGTTCGAAACGCCTACATGAAATATGTAAACAAGCAGCTAGTGGTAAATACAAAACAGCTGTTCTCACGTTTTTTGAAGTAAGTGAGAGAACAGCAACAAATTACAGGCGATAGCAAATAAAGCGAACAAAAGGGGCTCGTCTTACTTGATAATTATTATAATTTACTAGCCCAGCAACGAAATAATTTACGGTATTTTAACAAGTAACTTTAGTGCCAAATCTTGTCAAGTAAAAACAGTGCTTAACTTTTACACTATATAACCGATTATAACTGTATTCCGGTCGAGCAAACAAACACACGCACAAACGAGGAAAGAAGCATATTTAAATATATAGCTTTTTATATAGTACACCACTATGAAAACCGACTTGCGAGCGCAGCATATTAAACGGATCGGGTACTGAATTCAGTTCTAAATCAGCTTTCAAAGCGAGAGGACGTGCTACGGAATAAACACAGAGGTAATCATGGCAACGGATAATTTGACAGCCGTTCTTCACGGAATCGAAGACCTGCGACTGGTGAGTTAAAGCCGGAACTTAATTAGGCAAATGTTTGCCAACTACTAATTCACTTCTTCCAGGAGCAACGCCCAGTTCCGGAAATCGCCGACGATGGTAAGTGATTCTTAAGTACACGAAAAGAAACAAATTCATATATAATAAATAAAAACATATTGAAAAAATGAAACCCAAGCTGATAATTTGTAACTAGTAAAAGCTTAATTAGGACAACATTTTAAAATAAATATTTGTAGTATCAGGGAATAAAATTAGTTCTAATATACAAAAGTAAGTATTTTTATTAAGAGCCTTAATAAATCAAGCATCAATTGCAATTACATATATACAAAAAAATAAGATAAAATAAATGAATACAATTTTATTGATTTACAAAGGCTTAATATTAATATTCTGAAAATATTAACAATCATTAATCAAATAGCACAGTAATGTGGCAATATATAAGTAGTACTGACACATAAATCACATTATATTTAATTAAGCGTTTTGATAGCAGAGATGAGCACATTATAAATATTGATAGCTAAAGTGGCTTTGATTAATTAAGGTTTTTATGATTGCTGCTTAATTATCTTAGATCCAATCAATTAAAAACTAAGGGATCTTTTATTTTAGATTAAGATAATTATAAAAAGGCATACTGTGCTTTTTTAAAGTGCTTTTATAAAATTTACCTGATATTACATTACCTTAAACATAAAATATCAATAACCTTTTTAGAGGTACTGTTGGCGATGGACAGCGTGGGAATCTGTGGTTCGGACGTCCACTATCTGGCTCACGGACGCATCGGCGACTTTGTGCTGACCAAGCCCATGATCATTGGCCACGAAGCCGCTGGAGTGGTGGCCAAGCTGGGCAAGAAGGTGACCAACCTGAAGGTGGGCGACCGGGTGGCGATCGAACCGGGTGTTCCCTGTCGCTACTGCGATCACTGCAAACAGGGCCAGTACAACCTTTGCGCAGACATGGTCTTCTGCGCCACTCCTCCCTACGATGGAAACCTGACCAGGTACTACAAACATGCCGCCGACTTCTGCTTCAAGCTGCCCGATCACGTCAGCATGGAGGAGGGAGCCCTTCTGGAACCTCTGTCCGTAGGAGTCCACGCCTGCCGTCGCGCAGGTGTCGGCCTGGGCTCCAAGGTGCTCATCCTGGGCGCCGGTCCCATTGGTTTAGTCACCCTGCTGGTAATATAGGCAATTATTATTTTATGTTTTAATTAAACACTTTTTATTAATCACCTAGGCTGCCCAAGCCATGGGTGCTTCGGAGGTTCTCATCACCGACCTGGTGCAGCAGCGTCTGGATGTGGCCAAGGAGCTGGGAGCCACGCACACGCTTCTCCTGCAGCGGGACCAGTCCGCCGAGGAGACCGTCAAGGTGGTTCACCAGACCATGAGCGGTGTTCCGGACAAGTCCATCGATTGCTGTGGAGCCGAGAGTAGTGCCCGCCTGGCCATATTTGTAAGTGGCCTATTAGCAGTGGATTCCCCAAACTGGAGGTTAAAATATCCTTTCTTTTAGGCAACTCGCTCCGGCGGAGTGGTGGTGGTGGTGGGCATGGGAGCGCCGGAGGTCAAGCTGCCGCTGATCAACGCTTTGGCACGTGAGATCGACATCCGTGGAGTTTTCCGCTATTGCAATGAGTAAGTTATCAGCCGAGTTTAGGGGTCATTAACACTACTGATTACTCCCAATCTTTAGCTATTCCGCCGCTTTGGCTTTGGTGGCTTCGGGCAAGGTTAACGTGAAACGTCTTGTGACGCACCACTTCGACATATCGGAGACAGCTCAGGCGTTCGAGACCTCCCGCCACGGCACCGGAGGCGCTATCAAGGTCATGATCCACGTCCAGCCGAGGAACGCCAACAACCCAGTCAAATTCTAAATATACACCCTTATCTTTAAACCGAACTAAGCGTCCTCATTTTTGGCATTTTTAGTAAACGTTTTGAGTGTCTTTGGGCGATTCCAAACATGGTTCCATTTCCCCTGATGTTAAACAGATTTAAAAAAATAATGATATGTGAAAATTTTAGTCAGAAAGAAACCAGGAATACAAAAATTATCCAATTGTTGGTTCGCTTGATGAATATTTCAATGTATGCCTATTGATTCAATGGCTTTAGGTTAATATTTAAGACAAATAGGGTATTTTATGGGAAATAAAATTTTAACTGAACTTAAAAAAAATTAAGTAATCCGTCGGTTTACTAATCCAATTTAAAGAACTAAGTGGCTTTAAAAGCCTGCATCTTATATTAGAAATGGGTAATTGGAATACCTTTTTGGCATTAGGCATTGATACATAAATAAAAATAAAATAATGGATAAAAATGATGTCATTTTTTCTACCACTTACGATAATTAAATGCTAGGAGTAATACAAATATTGAATGTACTCGAGAGCATCTTCTGGTCCCCTGGGCTCCCCATCGGCATCGAAGTCCCTCAGTTCCGGCTGCCTGTTCCGGGCAATGTAGCGCAAATAGCCACGAGTGCTCTCCAGTCGCGTTTGCAGCTTGATATCCCAGCCATCGGGACGTGGCGAGGAGAAAATGGTGGAGCCGTGGCAGTTGACCATCTGCAGCCAGCGGGTGAAGCCCACGCCCAGGTAATTGTTCGCCTTGTCCACAACCACAATGGGCAGATCCTCGTTGGACAGCAGGTGGACCAGTTTGCGCAGCATCCGCTGCTGTATGGGCCAGTAGTAGCAGGCAGGGTCATAGAGCATCACCAGCATGTCGCCGCTGCTCTGTTCACGGAGTTCAAAGTAGTTCCTTGGCGCTGAATCCTGGGCAGGAGTGGGTCCCAGGACCACGGCCCGGAAGAGCTGCTCCTTCAGCAGCTGCTCGCAAAATTCCCTCAAGTACTTGGTGCTGACCAGCTTGTGCATTTCGTAGACCCGTCCCTCGCAATCCTTGCCATAGATCCTCGGGGGCAGACCCTTCCTGTAGCTGCCAAAGTCTTCGGGATTTAGGTTGCCATTAAATTTTGCAATGTTGGAAATGTCTTGCAGGCCGAAAAGAATCCGACCGGCGTACTCCTGTGCCAGCTCATCGATCATATTTATCCACTTTTTTAGGTTGTCGCCGTGGCGGTTGTCCACGAAATGGAACGCCACCACCTGTGGCCCATTAAATGTGAAATTATCCGGCGGCGACCCATTCGCCGTTGCCGGTGGTCGCCACAGCAGCCACGGAATGAAGTTGTTGTCAATGGCAGTGGTCTTCACTAATGCCATTTCTTTAAGATATGATATCGCTCAGCTATCAACTATCTTGTTGTGTCGAAAGATACAATTCCTTTTATACACTGAACGATACCCGGTTAATTTCACAACACAAAAAGCTCAAAGTAGTGAGCTTTTCTTAACATTGTTTACGATTCCAAATTTAACATAAGTACACTTAACAGTCTAATACGTACATTATTAGATAAAATCGTTGTTTTTGTAAGAGAGTGGAAAAGATAAACATTTTTCAAATTAATATACGATATTTATATTCATTTAATAATGAGGAACAATTAAGAATGGAAATTTGAAGTCAAAATCGAATTAGGACACGAAACAGTTTTATTCTCTTTCAACCAAAATTTTGACCAGAGGCCAAACAAAATCGTTGGAATTTGGTTTCTGTAGCACCCCGGATTTACAAGTTTTCGTTTAAATGTTGGGATTTTATACAACTTGAAATCCGGTTAAAACTCCATTTTTTAAAGGTTAAGTCCTGTATTATATTTTATTTCTAACGATTACCGCCTTCAATATTGATTAAATACAACAACCCTCAAAAAATATTCAACAAAATATGGAATTTCCATTATTTTTGTAATTAAATCTTATACATATGGTTATTTATTTAAAATCACTTACTCAACTTTGTGATGTGGTCAGTTTTTATTAAAGTCCCTGAATATTTAAGTGCAATAAAAATATTTAAACAAGAAATGGGGCTGCCAGCCCAGTCATTTTCGTTTGCAAATTTAACAAAAGATAATCATTAATAATGATTTGAGTTGGTTGAAAAGCGAAAAGCTTCTGCTCGGATAACGGACTACAAACTAACATTTATATATAACTTAACTTGTGTGCTAATTGTTTTTGTGTGTATTAAAGCGCTTCCCAAGGCGATTGAACTAAGATAAACAAAACCCCGTACGCATAACCGAAAACTAATCAACAGTTAGCCTATGCCTTAATATTATTTATGCATCGCGGTAAATATATATATAAAAATAGAAAATACAGTGAAGATTCTGTATGGGCGCACGAGCGTGGCCTCGGGTGCCACAATGGATTTGAGCTGCCATTAACCCCGACTCCAAGCATGACCTAGAATCGCACCTGCTTGAGCTTATCGTAAATGCTAAAGTACAGGGCTGTCGTCATGCTTGACTTGAGGAGTGTGGGGGCCACGCCCTTGTACAAGCCCCTCACGCCCTCCTGGCGCACAGTCAGCCGCACGCAGTCCCAGACTCCGTGACACTGCAGCGTCTGTCCGAAGGTCTGGCGGTTCGACTCGAAGCCCTGGATCTGCAGGCGTTTCTTGATCAGATCGAAGGGGTACACGATTGTCTTGGAGAGCATGCCCGAGGAGGCACCCAGTCCCAGCAGCGTCCACGTGGGCAGTTGGCTGCGATCGCTCACCTCCAGGAAGGCACAAGCCCAGTCGCTAAACAGGCGATAGGCCATGAAGTTGGTTCCCATCAGCGGCGTGATTTGCAGCAGGGCGGAGGACAGACCGCGGTACATACCGCGAGGACCCTCCTGTCGCACAATCGCCGACACAGCCCTCGTTGCATTCTTGTATCCCTTACTGGTGTCCTGTGCGATCAGTCGAGTGCGAATCACGTCCAGCGGTGTGGATATGATCACCGCTGCTCCACCGGCCGCAGCTCCACACAAGAAATTCGACTGATGCTGGTGATCCGCCAGGTAGTGTGTCTGCTTGGCCATCAGACTCAGCTGCTCATAGGTCCAGAACTGGCAGATCCCGTACATGATGCTTAGAACCTGGGCGGGATTGTGGCCCTTCCAGAAGGCCAACAAGCCCTCCTCCCGGTAGATAGTCTTCACTGCTTGACCGATGGATGTGTACTTGGAGGTAAAAGCTCCCGCTCCCTCATTTAAACGGCTTTTGCCTAGAGGTTCCACCTGCAGCTGGAAGCGGATCTTGAGCACGTCCAGCGGTTGGCAGGTGGATCGAGTGATGGCCGCCGACAGTCCGCCGGCCAGCATTTGGTGGAGCTGCTCCCGCGTACTGTGCCTGCGTCGAGGGACGGGAGCTGGGGCTGCGGTTGCCTCGCTGGTCGAGCCTGTGGTTACCGCCATGTCTGCGTCGGTGCTGCTTTGGTTTCGCTTTTCGTGTGCGTATGTTTGCTCGTGCGGATTTCACTTTTATTGCTACGACTGCCAACTCTTCAATGGCATTTCTGTAAAATAAAGAAACCCAAACGGGTGGAGACAACGTTATTACGGTAGAAATTCAATAGCTACAAACAATGTAAAAATATATATTATTACAAATTTAAATTTTGATAAATGAATGAAAATCAAAGCTAAAAGAATTAATGAGTTATTTATGAGACGGTTTGTAATTTTTTTAAATTCAACGCGGTTTTTCAAAAGTTTGAACAAAGGTGTGAAAAATTGTGAAATTCCAAAGGAATAGCTGCGAGTACTAAACTCTAATCTATGTTCTTATTGAAATTGAAAGGTTATGGGAAGGTTAGCAAATTTTACATAAATTTTTTTTCTCTCCTTAAAAGTAATACAAATCTAATGCAACGTTTATAAAATTTAAATCACTTATCACTTAAAGCTACCAGAATATAGCATTTAAACCATTTGAGACCATACAATTTTTAAATTTAGAAAATCCCACGTAGGGAAGCCCGCCTGTAGCTTTCATTGGAAGCGATTTGGAGGTGCGGCCGGGCGCAAACTCCGAATTGTTTACGCATTCATCAACTTGATGGCCAAATTGATGTGTCAAATTCCGTAGACAGGAATTAGGAAATAGTAGGAGTGCATTTGAAGATGGGGACTTACAAGTGTCATGCTCAACGGAGCGTGGGGATGTCGTTGCGATTACTTCACTATTTTCTCTGTTATGCCCAAGTGCGCGCCAATTCGCAGAGCTCTCGAAATATATTCCAGGTTCAGACGACCATTCATTGATTGACAAAAGTCTGAGAGGTATTCGGGTTTATCAGCGATTTCACTTTTTCCACGCTTTTGTTGTTCGATGTCTCTCGTTGTCTGCTGACCGTTGTCCAGTTCCAAAATTTCGATGCTGTCGGCCAGATAAAGAGACAAAGGCGGGGGGAATACGCTTGAGATTGGTATGTATGATGATTGCCTGGTAGGTGGAAGGAGGCGGTGCTCACCTGGAGCAGATGCGTCCGTTCGCGAGAAGAGTGACGCAGTTACTGTGGCTGCGACGCTTCTTCATTACAGGCAGCGGCCCGTGGATTGCGTCAAAACTTTCTTTTCGCCAGGGGTTTGTAAAAGCCGCCGAGATGCCGTTGCAGTTGTGCGGCGATCCGCTGCCTAAGTTGGCCACTTCCACTTCCACAAACTGGTTTTCCCAAGCGCGGCTCTGCTTCACTCCAACAACAACAACAAGCTAAGTTACGTCGTCAAGTGCATGCAGTCAGCTGTTCGGGCCGCTGGTGATGAGCTTTCCAAACAGCGACGCCAACTATCGGCTATCGGAAGCAGCTAAAACTGATAGCTAAAAAAAAAGCTAAATAGCGATATACGTGGTGATGCCACTTGGGCGCGCTTTTAAATTTATTTAAAAATGGCTTAGAAAGTAGAATACAAAATGGGTAAACAGTGGTCCCTATTTCCACCCAATGCCGCCGGTTGGAGCATCGGCTGGAGCACTGGGCGTGGGCTTATAGTCAGGTGGTATGCTGAATCCAAGCACCTCGAAATTACCGCCAGGAGCAGCAGCAGCTGGAGGATTGGTTGGATATGGTGGGGATTTCTGTGAGGCCGGCGACACAGGATTCGGTGTGTATTTAACAGGAGTAGAATGAGGTGCATCCTCCGCCTTGGGATACAGACTGGGGGCATTAGCTGCTCCATTAGCTCCATTAGTTCCAGGCTTTCCATCAAATGGGTAGACAGGATATCGCGGCTTAAAGCTATTGGACTCGAATTGCTCGTCACTGACGTCTTCCTGGAAGTTGGGAGAACCTAAACAGGAGAGATGACTTCTTAATAACCCTTCCATGTTCCTTGTATTTTATTTACACCCACCTGGATGAGAGTTCCCACTGGGTTGGGACTTATCCGACGGCTCTGGGCCCTTGTCATCAGCACTTCCCATTAGCGGCACTGTGCCAATGGTTAGAGGAAAATCCATGACCAGATCGCCGCCTCCATGCAGCTTAAATGTCTTGGCAATGAAGCGGAGCGTATAGCTAACCCGAATGGGATCCTTTTCACTCTGTGTGGACGGAGTGGTCGGAGGCACCAGAAGGAACTCGTCGAACTTGGCCTTGTTGTGCTTCAGCACCTCACCGCAATGTTTGTCCGCCACCCGGGTTTCGGTGACCTTGAGCTGCTCCTTTGGTCCAGAGGAGTTGGCCCGATAGGAAACATTCTTGAGCAGTCGCACCTTCACATCCATACATTGCACATCCGACTGGTTGTCCAGCACCAGGTGGAAGTGGATCTTCTGACCGGGCACGTAGGCCGAGTACGAGGTGCCCACGTCCATGACCATGGGCTTGTGGGCCCCAAAGATCGAACCCCACCAGAAGCTCTTCGATTCCAGGCGCTTTAAGGGTTGCTATGTATAAATTGGCTTAATTAGGTTAAGCTGCTTTGACAGGACACTGTTACCCACCTTATACTCCTGACGCTTGTTGAGATCGTGTGGCAAGATCACCGAGAAGCACTGCTTAAAGGTATTGTTGTAGCGCACGGCGCGATCGATGGTCAAGGTGACCTCGTGCTTCATCTGACCGTGGGCGCCGTTGAAGGATGTGGGCGCATTGGGCGGTATGGTGGTCCGGAAGGGAAAGACGTACTTGCCCATGGGCAGCTCCAGCTGGGATCCGCCGGCCTGTCCGTACACCGGCTGGTCAGTGCTATAGTAGACCTCGGTGGTGGTGTGGGTCACCAGCGACTTGGTCGTCTTCCCGTCCTCGCCCACCCGCTCCTCGCTCTCCTGCCATCGCGTCTCTCCGTACCCGTTTATGGTTATAAAGATCGCTGCAATTGGGTTAATTTATCTGTACTACGGGTATGTAATTCAATTATGCATTTAGTTTAATTGTACATGACCTAAGGCCTTTTGTGTACTCGGATGTAGTATTGTATTGGAAAATGGATCGGTAAGCCACACAAAGACTTTTCGTTAATTCACTAACAATAATTCCCAGAATAATTTAATCATGAGCTCAACAAAAAAAATGAAAACTACCTAATAATGTTGACCGCTAACTTTAGTTATACTGAATGATGAATGCCCTTTAAAACTTTAATAACATCTATATTTCTCTACCGGAAATGGTTTTAAATATCTAGATTGCAAACTTTATATACTTTTAACACATAAATTAGTTAATTAGAAATTGTTTTATATGGGTAGGTTGATTAATGGTGTAAGACTTAAGTAAACTTTATAGCTAGAACAATTACTTTTAACTCAAAACGTATCCCTTTAGGGTATAATTCATAGGTATCAGCACGAATCTGCTGACCAGTAGACTGAATCAAATGTCGAATAATATAAACAGTGGACGAAATTCAAAACAAAACTAGTTTTTCTGTAGCTATCAGATATCCGAAGCCAGCCAAGCGGCCACATGTGTGTTGTACATATATAAAATCCACTATATACGCAATACATATCGGCCAAACAGATCTACCGGCAACAATAGCAAAAGCATCAGACAACAACACACCAACAATATTAATGACGACGTCTACGCAACGAAAGTGGAATGGGCATGGAATGGGAATCTGAGTTTGAATGGGGGATGTATAGCCATGACGTCATGGTCTCGAGTCTATTAGAATACTGCGTCTTCCGCGTGTCTTCCACTTACATCGAATGGTTTTGGGACGCTCCGTGACCAGTTCCGCAGTGCCGGAAATTAGCTGACCGGCTTGATAGACCCCCAAGGGGTTGCTGTCGAAGGCGAAGGTCACCTTGCTGCTCATCTTCTCCAGAGTTTGCTCCTTGGCGACGGTGTCAGGCGGTATCGGGATATCAAGTTTCTTTGTTTGTTTGTTTTGTTGATAGAGTGGTTGGGAGTGTCTGGGTTCGGGGGTCAGCGGCAATTCAGCTCGCGAGCACCGAACGCGAGCAGCTCTGGCTTAATACTGAATTCTCAAAAAGCCACCGGCGAACTTGGAAGTGATTTTCCGTGTGCGAGAGTATCTGAAAAGGGAGAGGGATGGCAAGACGGGGAAGCACACGGAAAATAACATGGAGTTTTAGCCCCAAGTGTTTTTGTGCGTGTTGCTCGTTACAACAAAAGAATATTGCAAGCAAAAATTATATCTTTATGGGTAAACAAGAAGAAAAATAAATAAAATTTCATACTTTTTAATATTGCTTTTTAATTTGTACATTATAACTACTTAATCAAATTTAAATCAATTATTGTAAAGTAGAACGAATGAATTTCTTGTGTAGATATGTACACACTTAGGTAAATATGCATATGTGCATACATAAATTATCTTTCTCTATTTACAATTACCAGCTTTTCACATAGGTCTTTGTTCCGTGAAATCAAGGTCTGGAAATAAGATAAACTAATCAAACAGTGAATGGATGAGAATGATAGCCTGATCTTTGAAGAGTTAATACATTACTATGAACCTTTATTCCCGCCAACCAATTCAAAATGTTGCAAAATAACTTTTGCGTTTGTCATCTGAAAGGTGGCAACGCCTCGCCACAGCTGTTTCTGCTATCGGACCGTCGCTCTCCCAGTTATCGAAAGAGAGCTGCAACTACAACAAAAACGTAACTCTCGGGATCTCGTAAATTTTTAAGAAATTTAATTATTCAACCCGCCAGCGGTCGGCAGCAATCGAATTAAATTGGCCAGGGTGTGTGTAAAACACTTGTGGGCATTGCAGTTAATAGATTAGTGAGACTGCCTAAGAACTGGGCAAAGTCAGCGCGAAAAAGCTCACCGCGGTGTGTGTAGTAAATCGTATTGTAAATCGAGTGAGTGCGTGTGGTGGTGCTACTATTCTGCATATATTTTAGGGTGGTGCGGGAAAAGTTGGTGGTGCAGTGCATCTTCGTTTCTATGTGGCGGCATTTTGATGACGAAATTATTTTTGGATAAGTGTTTGATGAGAGCGGGCAAATCGGAGGAACCATCACCATCATCATCAGCGGAATGGAGAGCGAGCGGTTACGGATTACGCTGGATAGCGCGGATCGGGTTTACTTCGCTGGCGACATAATTCGCGGAGAGATCTGGATGAATGTAAACAAGCGCACCAAAATACGCGGTAAGTCTGGCATACCCAGGGGTTTCGTAGTTTTCAGGAAATGCCATCTAAAAGCCCGGCTTGCATCATCCGTGACTCAGGTCGCCGCAAACACAGAAAGAAAATATTGTTATGATGTGATACATAAACATGTGTATTAAAATGAAAAACTAACAATGTTTTGGCATTCATTGATTCGAACCTGGTTTCTGTTACCAGAGGTAAATATAGTATTCATTTCTATCTAACATCAATCTAATGTCGTGCAGTTGTCAGCGGTTCTAAACCCATTGTTTGCCCGATGGCCAGCTGGACTTTCGTTGCGGCCCCATTCGCATAAACAAAGAACTCCATCAGTTAACAAAGCACAGCGGCCATTTTTATGGGGCTACTTCCCCTCTCCCCTTATCGACCCTCCGTGATACTGAGATTCTTGCTCGCAAATTCCTCCAATTGCCTTCTGCACTCGCCTTTCATTCATCGATAAGCATTCAATTGCCGCCCCAATGCAATCGCAATTGAATTTTCTTTCGTTCTTCTTGAGCGCTGGCATTTGTTTCAGGAAATGCCGAACGCATCGCATGGGTGCGAGTGAGAGGGTAAGAGGGTGGGGGCTTTTGCGAGGAGACGCGAACAATGTTGGTGTGCCGAAAATGCCGTAATACGGGGCCAAGCGCAAAGTCAGGTCTAAGCGAGAGAGAGGTGAGAGAGCGCTGTCAGCACAGTGAATGCCACAAAAGAGGTGATTTATTTAACATTTAATATCTAAACGACCTTTCAGAGTATAGGTTTTCCGTTAACCAAATTACAAATTGATTCAATTTATTCATTTGTATTAAACTTATTTTTGTAATTATCAAATTAAAAATAATTTTTAAAACCATATAAAAAATATTACCAAATTCAAATTTTAAACCTAGTTGGATGATTCATTTTCGCATTGAAAGTCTTAGTTTTTTCTTCATTTGCGAACCAGTCTATACCAATATGTGTTTAAGAAATAGCATACGTTAAATTTCTGATAAAAATTAAAAAACCTTCATCTCCAACGAAAGTTTTCCTGCCCCAATTATAAGACCCACCACTGTAGTACCCCACCTCTCTGTTGTGATTTGCTACTGTGCAGGTGTGCGTGAGAATCGCCCAGCAGCTGGTCCGCTGCATGTGTGCGTGGGAGAGAGCGTACGAGAGGGAGTTAATTGATGTGAGCGCCACACTATCCGGCATCTTTCGGGTTCTGGTGCGCTACGCGATGAATCAAGGGGCATTTAGGTGACATCAGGAGAAGCCATAAATGTAGGTTTCACGCATCAGGTTTGTGGACAGGGGCTAAAAATAGCTGGACGGCGGTCCGGTAACTGTCCCAAAGTCAAAGTCGGCTTTTACGTTATCAGCGCAAATATAACAAACGCGATTTATTATCAGAGCACAGACTACAAGTACAAAAATATGTTTATACAAAAAAGGGGGAACTACAAGACATTTTAATGAGGGGAATGTTTTGTGTGGAAATAAGGAATACATGACGACAGCTGCCACATCGTAAGGCTTCGCAATTACATTAATTATAAGCCTGCTCCTCCGACCCGACCCACAAACATACATATTACATACGTACTCTCATATATATAGAAACATCTAAATATGTTATGCACTTAATTGAACACAGCAGTTTATCGTTAGTTTGTGCACAATGGGTATGATTCCGGGCGGTCCCATTACACGTTGATACGGTCTCTGAGGAATAGCTCAACCCGTGGCCAGATCTCCTTAGTCTTTTGGCCCTTGAAGCTAGCAACCAGGCCCTTCTTTTCGTACCAGGCTATCACTGGACTCATCAGCTCATCATAGAGCTGCAGCCGTTTAGCCACCACATCAGGTTTGTCGTCCTCGCGCTGCGTTAGCGGTTCGCCAGTGACATCGTCTTGGCCAGGCACCTTGGGATCGTGGAACCCTATGTTGTACACACGGCCGGAGGGCGCGTGAATCCAGCGGTTCTTGACACGATCGATGATCACATTGTGTGGAATGTTTAACGATATCACGGCGTCGATCTGTTCGCGGGCGGCCAGCGCCTCGGCCTGGGCAATATTGCGCGGGAATCCGTCCAGAATGTACGACTTGTTCCCCACCTCGGTTATCCGCGCCAGCATCGTCTTGGTTACGATCTCATCCGGCACCAGTTGACCGTCGGCGATGAACTGCTTCGCTTTTCTGCCCAGTTCCGTGTTCTTCACGATGTTCTGGCGCAAGATGTCGCCCGTGGAGATGTGCAGGCAGCCATAGGTCTTGACAATCAGCTCCGAAATCGTTCCCTTCCCCGAGCCGGGTGCTCCGATTATCACAGTGCGAAAAATTTTCGTATACATACTTCAGCTCTACTCCTCTATATTCTGCGAGCTGCAAGATACAAATACCGAGTTATACAATTATGCCTAATTTGAAATATTGGGTTTACACAAATCAAAATGATTTGAAAAACTTATGTATCTATTCTTTCTATCCAGTGTTAATAAGTGATAGACCAGGTCATACAAAAACTAATTTATTGTTGTTTACTATCTTTATTGGCGAGATAAGATTATTAAGCATGCTACAATTGTTTGATACACAGCCGATGAAGGTTAAATTTTTCGCTATAGTTTATGTGCAGATGTATTATAAGTTATCACGAAATCGAACCCAGATTCCATAAACACTGTAATTTAAGTTTTAACCGTGTGACACTTGTCAGCTGCTGTGCCCGTAAATCAACACGCCGCATGGCAACAAGTGTAGCGCACACAATCCCGAGAGCGACAACAACAAACAGAAGAGGGAAGCGTGGCTTTCCTTATGTTCTTTGTCTTCGTATAAACCAGATATTTTTGTTGTCGCGCGCTTATCGTCCAAAGTCCGCACGGAAAATTATAGAATAAGTTTCAACGTCGCGCGTGTTTTGTTCTTTCAGCACTTCTGCATTTCTGCACTTCACTTGGCCCTGCACTTTTACTTTTGGTTTTTGTTATGTAAAGAAAAATAGCAGCTTGTAAAACCACCTATTTTTGCACTTACACGGCACTTTAGCTTTTGGGAAAATTTTGGGTGTCCGACGTATGTCCGTATCAATTCTCGCCCGCGTACTAATTGTGCGATAACTTGTCGCCGCTAGTATTCTAATTTGGTGTCCGCAGCTATTTATTCTATTCTTTTTTTCTTGTTCCGCTGCTGCCGGCTGGCGAATATCAAATGAAACAAGCCATTATCTTGGCGTGAGTGTTTGGCTCTTGTTGTTTAGCTTCCAGGCTTCCCTCTCTCTCTCTCTCTCTTGCTCCCACGAGTCCCCAACTGACAGCCGGTTGTTGGCCCTCTCTTTTTTACTCCCTCTCTGTACAGAAAGTGCAGTGTCAAAGGGGGGACTACGAAGGGATAAACCCGCTGTCTCCTTCGCTCGCACAGCAGTTGCGCTCTCCACTTTTGGGGTTCTCTCTCTCACTGCGCGTCCATTGTGAATAAGTGCAGTTTGGACTTTAATTTAGAATCCATATGCAAAATGTGTGATATCTGAAATACAAAACTATTTCAGGTTTATACAACATTATTTGATTGATTTTTCAATGGCTTGCGATTTATGTATATATTTAATACACAATTACTCACATGTGTTTTAATTTTTATGGTTTCCAATTTGTATTGCCTGATAGAGAAAACTTATTTTTGCAGGCATTTGAATGTTTTTTTTTTTTAAATCTTAACTTTCAAATTAAGAAAATTTAATTCCATTTGAAAACAATTTTGAGGAACTGAATGTTTGATTAACTTTTGGACGAATAAAACAAATCTTTACTTTATTATTATTATAGAATTTCAGTAAGTAAAGATGATTACAGTAGTTTTTTTGTGTTTACAAGTACAAGTCATTGGCTGAAAGTTCCTAGGATTAAAAATAATATATTGTATATAAGTTAAATTTTCTCTTACGTTTTTATTTTTATTTTTGGCTAAGGGATGCTGCTTTGTTTAAATTTATATCAATATTTTGAAATCCTGCAGAGATTATCTTAAATTAATATTTAAGAAATGTACTTGCTAGCTAAAAACAAATGTTAAATTTTAAGCATTTATCAGAGTTAATAGTCAACATTTAAAATAATAGAAAATTTAAATTTTTTAGTGACTTACCGTTCTTAAGATTTTTAATTATTAAAACACGTTCACTAAATAAAAAAACCGTAGATCGATTGGGAGGAAATTTTTTTCAAAAATAGTATACACTTCAGTTGATTTTTGCATGCAAGAAGTCATGCCTAAATTCGCTTCGAAAGCTTCTTTATTTAGTGTTTGGAGAACATTTCTGGTTTTACAAATTTATCAAAATCAAATGTACGCTATCAGCTAAAAGGAAACTTAACACTCGTAGTAAGTGTTTGTGTCGAAGACATTAATCCTTGATCTCCTTGGTGGCCTCTATAAGGTCTTCCTTGCGCTCCTTCGAAACCTCCTTGATCATTTTGTCCACCTGTCCCACTGTGGGCTCGGCATCGCCCACGGCTTTTCCACTCTCACTCACTCCTGCCGAGGGATTCTTCTCCTTGCCATTTGGTGGCTCCACGGCGCGGGAAACACTCCGTGAATCATGGTTGTACCAGGAGTACTTGCTGCGATTAATAGAGCCACGACCACGGCCCCTACCCATCGGCGGCTGGCGTGATTGGATGCGTCGCGGACTCATGCTGCGGGAACGTGATCGGGAGCGACTGCGAGAGCGTCGATAGCGGGACGCCGGCGAAGGAGTGCGTCGGGGCACAAACGGCGAGGGCGTGCGGCGGGCCACGAAGGGCGAGGGCGAACGCCTCGGCATGAAGGGCGATGGCGTCCTGCGGCGATGGTAGGATCGCGAACGGCGATCTCGGCGGTTGTCATAGCGCCTAACCACAAAGCGATTTCCATAGCGTCGTGGAGAGGCACTGCGCGAACGTGAGAGGCTGCGGCGGCGGCGCGATCTGCTCCTCGACCTGGATCTGGAGTCGGACCGCGACCCACGACGCCGGCTTTTATGCCGCGAACGCGAACTCCTGCCACGACGACGATGGCGCGAGCGACTACGCGAGCGGCTTCGACTCCTACTCCGGCTGCGCGAGCTGCTGCTTCGACCGCTTCTCAATGGTTCCGATGGCGTCGCCAGACGCAGCATTCCCAACTTGTCCATCTGCAGCGGTCGCTTCTTGATCTGAAAAGAAAGCTTGGGTGCCGGCTCCGGAGGCTTCTTTTGCTCCTGATACTTGGGTGCCGGAGGTGGATGGTTAACTCCAAATCCAGAAACGGCGGCCGCATGACGCGATGTGCTGGGTCCCATGGTGTCAAAGTTAGATCTTTTTGATGGAGCTGGTGTTTTTTTCATCGGCGGCGGGGCAGGTGGCGGGGAATCTCCTCCTCTACTTCCTTCTTGTAAATAGTTTTTGATCTTAGCCTTCAGTTCCGTCTCGCTGCTAGCGCTGCTCATTAGCCTAAAAGCAACACAAAGCAGAGGTAATAAAACCATGTTTTAAGATATTCAACTGTATTTACACCCCAACTGAAATATTGAAAATTTAGCTTATTTCATGTGAGGTGCAATACATCTCGGCTGTTAAGCCAAATTTCCGGTACATACTTGTCTTGCCTATCATTGTGGGTTAAGCAGGGAGATCTCAAGAGAATGTATTTTTTGTTTGTGCAAGGTGCATCTTTTGCTGCAACACTCACCTGAAGGCCTCCTTAAAGTCGATCTTCTTAAGCAATTCCATGGAATCCTCCGCATCGGACTTGGTCTTGGACCTCCTCCTCTCCTTCTTGTCCTTTTTTTTCTTTCCTTTCTTCTTGGCCTTCTTGTGCTTACTAGCCTCGCGCAGAAGCTTCCGAACACTAGACACGGTCTCATCGTCATCCAACCTGAACTCGTTGGCTTTCTGGGCATCGATGACGGCCAACTTTTCCTCTCCCGACGGTGGAATCGGGTTTTGGGCATAGAATGGCTGACTGATGTTGCCCTTAGCCTTGCCAGCTACAATTTGGAATAGGTTATCGATTGAATTAAAATAGGGGGGAAGTTTTAAACCCTGGATCAGTGCTTCCCCAGCTTAAGGTGCCCGCACTGACCCCTACATGTACTCACCCTGATCCTCGCTATCACTTTCACTGGCACTCGATGAGCTGGACTCGTCCGATGAGTGGTCACCGGTCAGGTTGATAAGCTCGGTGCTTAGTCTATGCTTACCGTCACCACTTCGCTGCAGTGCGTCCAAGGACTGGCGCGCCTCTTCGTGCTGCGGCAGCAGATTCAGGCAGTCACTGTAGGCCTTGACCGCCTCGGAAATACGGTTCTCCTCCTCATAGCTGCGACCTAGGGCCACCAACGTTTCGCCCATGTACTTGCGCGCGTTCACGTGGTATTTGTTAAGGTGCAGGGCCTTCTCAAAGTCCTGCAGCCCCTTGAGGAAGTTGCCGCGGTTCGCGTAGAGGGCACCGCGAGCCACCAGACCCTCAACATTGCGCGGATCAATGTTTAGAGCCTTGTTTAGGCACTGAAAGGCCTCGACCTGCTGGCCGTTCTTAAAGTGCTCGATGCCATCAGCCACGGAGCTGATTAGCGGCCAATCAATGAAGGTGTTGGTGGGTGCGATAGGGTGTGTGAATGATGGAATGATATACACTCTCAAGTCTGAAGTCTGAATTTAAACTTACCGGAAGGCCCATTGGGAGGCCTGCTTCTGGCGCAATTCCGCTGCGTTCTCCGCCTCCGGGAATCCGCCCTTCAGATGGCTCATCAGAGACAGGTTCTCATTCGGCTGCAATCCATTCACCTGGAACAGCGAATCGTAGTTTGGGTTTTCGAACTCCAATGCAGCATTTAGTTCATCTTCGTAGTGAGTCACAGAAGGATGTTCAAGGTTGTGGATTTTACTGCAGGAAAACCATTGGTTTAGCAGGGTTCGGAACACGTATTCATAAGTTAACTCTCTCCACATTACCGATAATACTTGGGCAACTCGTTTATGTCGCATAAACCAAACTTCAATTCCGGCGACTTGTTGAACATGCCTATCATGTTCAGGGTGAGACGCTCGGTATCCGCAGATATAATGTTAATCTCGCAGCGCAGGATATCATTTGGGCCAAAGGTTCGCGGAATGCCCATTTTATCCAAGGGCAAGGGACCCCAATAGTCCTGTAGGATCATGGCCTATAATGATACAATAGTTAGCTTGGAGTTAAGGTTTTAGATGATCTTTTCGTAATACCTTGATGGGCATGTCGGCCAGGTAGGCGTGCTTGGGCTCGGCGGTGCAGAGTGGTTTCACCATCAATCGGTTGCCGTTGGCCAGCCTTGTCACCTGGGTGTAGATGATGTCGCCCTGCTTCAGGGCAGACAGGCGGTGGGCCCAACCCTTGCGTTTGTCCTTTACATTGAGAAAGAACTCAAAGGGCGGCATCTGGGGCATGCAGGTGTTGCCTGAAAGGGGATACAATGGGGTTATTTCCACTCCACGATGACACATTCTTGGAAGCTCACCTTGTGCCAGCACCGAATCCTCCATAACGTTGGCCACCAGACTGCGGTCGTACAGATCGGTGGCCTTCTGCGCCAAAAACTGGTGCATCTTGAGTCGCTTGGCCCGCTCCTGGAAGGTGAAGAACTTCTGGCGCTCCTGGTAGACGCCATAGTTCACCTGGGTGAGGCCCATCAGTCGCAGATCGTCTATGCCCCGCTCATCGTCCCAGATCTTTTGCAGCGGCTGTCCGTGGTAGCCCAGCGCATGGCCAATGTACTCAAAATTCATCTTTGCAGCTCCGTCTTTCCACTTTAAGTCATTTAAAGTGTGATGCCTCTTTAAAAGGGCGAGGGGTGCGGGAGGAGAAAAAAACCCACACTCGATTTAATCGGGTGAGAAAATGTCGGCACCGGTCTGGGGTTAATTTAAACTTGAAAACTTCAGTTTGGGGGACTTCAAACTAGAAACACAGCGGCCCCATCCGATTTTCTTAATTTCTGCACGGCTATTTTATTTTTTGCAAGAGTTTGACAGCTTGAAATAAATTATTTTTCGTGTTGGGCTATCAAGTTTAGTGAGGTGCAGTATGACCGCGCCGATAACAATGAAAAATACCATACAGACCTGAAATTAATACCAACAATGGCGAGTGCCCTCGCCAAGCGAAGAGAATATGTTTGATACCAGCGGGGTGTGCCTTCGCCTAGTGCGGTTGGTGTACTTGCTAATAGAAAATGTTGAGCAATAAATGGCGCCTGTAAAAATGCTTGTAAAGTGCATGTAGAAGTCGTTGGTTGAGAAAGACAGCGATAGATGTCGCACACAGCCATTTGTATACAGTTTTTGGATTCGTTTTTTATGTTTTACGACTTTTTACTTAAACAATTTAAACCAACAACCTGTTAACAACACATCGGAAAATTTGAAATGAATGACAGAAAATTGAAAAATTTTGAAACGTTAAATCAAAAATTTGAACGTTTTAAACAAATAGTCTTTAGAGATATGCCACTTTAAAATCGAATTAAAGTTGGTAGAAGTCTGGAAGTCCAATTGTGGGTCACACTTTGACAACACATCGGAAACTCGAAAATAAATGACATGAAAATGGGTCAAAAATTGGATCAACGTTAAAACAAAAAATTTTAATGAAGATTTTTTAAGAATCAAGCCACAAGTCTTAGGAGGTATGCCACTTTGGAATCGGCTTACATTTGGTAAAGTTAAAATTTTGGTTCACTCTATTACAAGACATCGGAAAATTAGAAATCACTAACATAAAAATGGGTCAAAAAATGGATCAACGTCAAAATGAAAAATTAGCAAAGCAATAGATTATAACATCCTCTGAAGTGGTATTAAAGAAATCCTGAAGGTTAATTTAATTGCCACTCTTCACAATCCTTTTTTTACTCCTTTCTAATTCCATTTGAATCCCCGCCTCTTTACAGCGATAAAGGTGCAGGTCACCGGCAAGGGCAAGTGCAAGTGGATGGAGATTCTGCGCAAGAACTCGAACAACAACGAGTACTCCCGCAGCCTCTTCTACACGAGCAAGGAGGTGTACGAGCACAGTGAGACACCTCTGCCGGACTTCGAGCCGCGTGGCCTGGAACTCTCGCCGGGGGAGCACACGTTCATCTTCGAGGTGGCGCTGGGTCGCGAGCTGCCGTCGAGCTTTAAGGGCAGCTATGGCGGCATCAAGTACAAGATGCGCGTGCTCATTCAGCGACCCTGGACCTTTGACGAGCGGCACACCATTCCGTTCACCGTGGTGAAGAACATGCCGCTGCAGCCATCGCAGCGCAGTGTACCCAGTTCGCTGGAGAAGCAGGTGACCAAGACGATCAGTTTGTTTGGCACACGACCGATCACCCTGCTCGCCCTTTTGCCGGAAGACTTTGCGGTGCGGGGAGAACCGCTGAGGATCTGCGCCACTGTGATCAACAACAGCACCACCGCCGTGGAGAAGCTGCGCTTCAGTGTCCTCCAGTATGTCACCTACTACAGCCACGTGCCACTGCGGGTGCAGAAGGTGGAGTGCATTGCGGTGGCCACCAAGGAGACGGGCTCGGTGCAGAAGAAGACCGAGCGGAGCTTTGCCCACGAGCTGCTTCTACCCGAAGGAGCTCAGCCCACGGATGAGCAGATGAGTGGCGTGATTACCATCGTTTACGAGCTGCGTGTGGAGGCGGTGTTGCGGGGATTCTTCAAGAACTTGATACTAAATCTTCCGTTTAAGGTGTACTCGCAAGACACTTCCAACAGGCTGGCCTCACTGCGTCCACCGCCGCCGCCGCGGCCAAACGATGGTCCACCCGGTCCGGATGTGGGCACCGGCAATCCCTTCGAGCCCGCCCTGCCCGTCTATCCCTCGCTGGACTCCTCCATTGGCTCGCCCTCGCACTCCTCGCAATTCAGCGAGTGCAGCTCCATCAACTCGATAACCTCGGACTCCTCGGCGGCCACCCTGAGTCCCGCGGTGGGCGGTGGGGCCGGCGGCATGGAGCTCTCCTACACCTCGGGCTCGCAGTCCTCGCAGTACGGCAGTCCCTCGGCTAGGGCCAGCCTGCGCAGCTCCAACGTGCCCTACATGCCCTACTCGTCCAGTCCGCTGATGGTGCAGTCGTATCCGCCACCCCACCTGCCCACCTATCCGCTGCCGGAGTCGCCGCAGTACTCCATCCTTGCGTTGACCCCACCACCAACTGGTGTGGCTGCTCCGCCAGCAACGAACGGAGCAGGCGGAGGAGGAGGAGGAGGAGCGGGCGGAGGAGCACCAGGCTATAGCCAACTGCCATCCACCTCGGCCTCAGCCTCTTTTCTGCAGCCACGCCTGGCGCCTGGAGCTCATGAGCTGCGTAAGTTATGACTAATTCCTTTAATACAAAAATAGTACCCAATTTAAAGTTAAAAAAAAATGTTAAAGTTTTATTTATTACATATCCTTTTGTCATTATTAAGTCGACTTGGGCTTTGTTTCGTCCCCAATTGATTAATATTTTTGCCATAGTTAATTTCCGATTTATGTAAATAATATGTAATACTTACAAGCTGCTTAATAAATAATATAAGACTGTATATACGATCTCTCATAAACTTTGTTTTCATTTTTCAGCACCTTCCTATGAAGAACTCTTCGGCCTGGCCAACGCACCTCCGGGAACTCCAAAGTAGGGAGCACTAGACAGTCCTGAGCAGCCACCCAGTTACGTCCAAGCTTTGCCTAGACATAGAGCTTCAGGTTTACTTTAACGTGTTATAGAGTATCAAAATATCGAATATGTCTTAGACTGCCTACGCTTCGAACACAGATCATATGCAATTTGTGCACAACTCAGACGCACACTCATGTATTAATCTTCCATCCACAAGTTATATTTTATTGTACATTTGAATTACCTTCTTCGTTTGCACTAGTTTTAAAGTTAGGTTTGGATAAGGCAAATGGTTTCTTTAACTTGTTTAAATTTCTCAAACCGATATTGTTTGTGCAATATCCTCTTAATAATTAATAGCTGTACAATTGGTTGTAGAGCCTTTATTTTCTATTTAAATATATAAACGCACAAGTATATACTTTAAGAAAAGGTACATTTTTTTTCTGAAGTCCATATCATAAATGTGCTTATTTAAGTAATTTGTATTGAAGCTTAAATATCTAAAAGAAAATGTAGACAAGAGAGTTGCTAAATATTGGTAAAATATTTGAGATGAAATTTGAAATTATTAAATTGATCACAAAAAAAAGTTTTGGATTTTTGTAATATTTATATATATACTTCCAATGATACCTTTATTTAATTGACAATAAACTCATTAGCGTATTTGCCTTATCCAAAACAAAAACAGAACTTGAGCTATTATAAACAAAATTGTATCCTTAGCCGAAAAATCTGAAGGTCTATGAGATAGTTAGCTTGCTATAGCAGAGTAGATAGAATAACAGCCTAAACTATTTGCCCAACCAATCAGGCATACTAAAAATATGTATACAAATTATATTTGAACAAATTCAAAATTAGTTGAAACAAAAAACTTACATAACAAATTATTTAGGTAAAAACGAATTTTTTCTCAATAATTTATTTTCTATAATGTAAAAAAACACTGAAAAGTTTGTCTTCGGTTTATCTTTATTATCGAATATTATTTATATGCCGTCCTTACCCAGACAGCCAAACTTTGCGCATTTCTAAGAATTAAATCTCAAAGACTCATGAGTATTTATCTTACTACTCCACATAACTCGAAACATATTTCTAACCCGCCTATTTATCTTCATCTATTTTTTTTTTACGTTCACGCCTCCAAAGATTTTGATAAAAATGGTTTATAGATCTAGTGTCTCAATGAAATTCTATACCAAAACAGGTCTAAAAATACTATTTATTTCTCTCACATTAATATATTTTTAGAATTTAAGTACTTAAGCACGAATCGAATATTTTGAAGGATAGTTTGGTTCTTTCAAACCAGAAGAATCATTGAATCAATAAGCTTTAGTGCCTCTGTATGATGAACAAATCGAATGGTTATCGTTGTTGAATACAAATGTATCGATAAAACAATTTTTATACACACATTACTGATAAATCATCGTTCGGAAGCAATGTCAACTTTTAGTTTTAAGCGCACAAATGCATATTATGTACGATCAAACGATTTCGTTAAGGTGCTTTACAAATCACTATTTTTGGATACCAACTTTTTTGTTTTTATCGAATTTAGTGCATGTCGACTAAATTTGAATATGATTTACACAAACGAAAAACTGAATAAAATGTTAATATAATTACAAAACAAAATTTTGACTATATCCGAATTGAATTAAAGGGTTATGAAATGGGTTATAGAGGATTTATATTATCCCAACAAAAGGAACAAAATTAAGTGAGTGGTTACTTAAAAAAGTCTTATTTACTGTGGCATTTTTTGATCATAAAGTGGGAGATATAACATACAAATATTCCAAGATCAATTGTGTTTTGTAAAACTTTAAAGATTTATAAATGATTTTATTTTGTCATTTAGTTTGGTTTTGGTTTCGTTTAGTCATGTTTTGCCTATTTGTATTTTATCAACATTTTTATTATAATATTTATTTAAACACTGTTCTGGAATATTTTGTAGTTTTTGAGAACAAACTTAATGCTCGTAGGTAAAATAGGGTCCAAACTACTTTGCAGTTGTTAAAGCAGGTCATGTTAGCACCTTTACCATGCCTTTCAGAAGCTAGCAGCCCCTCAAAAAAAGCATACTTCGTGTACGTGTTAAATTACAATTTGAAGTGCTTGAAGGAAAGTGCGTTGCTGTCGCCCACGCAGCTACCTGTGTCTAGTGACTGGTGCCCAGTTGGGCAGGTGCAAAAGTGGACAGGACGGAGGTCAGGAGGCGAGGTTGTGAGGTGGTGAGGTGGTGAACGTGTGCGGCTTTTGTAACAAGTAACGGAAGTGTTAAGTCAGCTGTAATTGTTTTCTTTCATATTTTTCCAGTTGCCGCTGCCGAGGGCGACAATTTAGTTTGCCCAGCGGTTCTCGGGGGGAATCAGAGTAACCATAAATTATACTCCGCATTGCGATGGGGGAGGGCTGCCCGCCGCATGAAAGGCTCACATAAACAAAATTGTTAAATAATAGCGACATTTAGCGGAAGTGTAGTGCCTGCCGCATTCTGCAGACTTCAGCACGCGCGACAAACGATCGCGGTCCTTATTATTTGCCCGATTCACTCCCCCGTTTACATTTCGTCAAATTATAGAGGTGCTAGAAGCGAACTCAACTCACCCCAGTTTCAGTGTACTTAAATGTCTTAATCGCTGTTGGGCTTAACTTCTATTTGACTTTGCAGCGGGGGTGGAAGGTTAATGATTTGTTGACCATTTTGGGGGCGAGGGTAGTGCAATTTGAGGCTTTGCTGTTCGGCATTGAACGTGCTACTAACTGATATTAAGTATGCGCCATGTGTGACACTGGCGCAGCCCCAAAACGGATACAGATTGATAAACACGTACGTAGATGGCAGTTACTTTATATTGTGTGATATAATGTCTACATTTTTGTGTGCTTAGATATAAGGAGGTTGGAATCAAGGACTTAATTAAATGTTGTTACCATATATTGCAATATTAGAAGTAAATTATTATTATTAAATAAAGATTTTTGAATTTGATTTACTATAAAACCCATGTTTTCAATTATTGAATAGATTTATTTTATGCTTTTATCATGATGATTTTGACAATGTTAAGATGAAAGTACATTTGGCATGATAAATATAACGAAATAAGATTCAGTATGTTTTAATTATACTTTTTATTTTAATTTGCAGCAGTTCATGGACTATTTTACCACCAAAGCAATGTTAAAATGTTTCTCATTTGCAACCGAAATAGACCTACCGAACACTTTCGAACCACATGGTGAAGCATACATTGATCGAGTTTTTATTAAAACTTGAGCACACATGTCGGAAAAATCCCTTATCCATTCCTGCAGCCCAAACACCAAAGCCATCTGCGTCACCGAATGACTGGGAATTAGTTTATTCTACTGTCCAAGGAGACAGAGGACAGGAGAAGAGGACAGAAATCGAAGGAAGCCAAAAGAGCATGTTAAAAAAGGCTGGGCACATGGCCTAATGCCAAATAACCAAATCAAAACTAATCAAGCAGAAGTTACTGCAACTGCCGCACAGCAGGTGGCATCCGACTTGCTGGGTTTTTGCAGGGGATGTGAATGGGTGTTCTGGCCACAGTGAAAATGGTTTTAAATTGCTGCCTGATTGTCTTTCAAGTTGGCCCACACTTGTGGCGCTTTTGCTCCTTTCCTCGCCTCTCTGACTGAAATTTAATCAAGCGTTGAAATTTTTGCACGTCCGTAGTTCTATTTCTATTTCCATCATATTCAATGGCCGTCCCAATTTCTGGCTTTTGGTCACATGTGCGACTCCCTGTCCGTTGTGGTCACATCCTCATCCACGCTGATTTCGCCCCACTTGTGTGAATGGTCCCGAAACGAGCTCTGCGTTCGTTTTGGGGCAACAGTTGCCAAAGACTGTGACCTCCTTGGCCTTCACTCCGATTTATATTTTTTTTTGGTGGTAGCTGGCCTGGTCGCTTCATTAAGCTTTTTTTGTTGCCTGGCAGCCAGCTGTGACGGATTCAAGGAGTTGAAGTTTGTTTTTGTGTTGGAACTCCGGTAAAGGGAGCTTGGTCATGCGATAATTAGCGGGAAAGTTTGATTCTCGTAAACATAAAATACTTATATATTTGGGAGTACTATTGGAAGTGGTATTAAACGTTATTATAATTTGTTTTTAAGTACTAAGAGGCTTTAACGAATTTATGGGATTATTTATCGTTTTCTAATTTTAAGATGTGACTAATAAAGAACAGATTTTAAATTTTATTTTTTTTAAATAATAAAATACAAATATCTGCTGTTGTAAAAGCCAATAAGTAAAATATTTTGTGACTTAATTTAAAATAACAAAATAATTTGACTTCATAATTACAAAGACAATCGTATAAATTATAAGTGGCAAATAAAGTAAACATCATACAAATTATTTAATTTGTGCTTATATTTTATTTTTGTTTTGTAATAATCTAAAATATTTATATTTTTAGTGATATTCTAAACAGTTAAAAAATTAGTTCGTATTATTTAAAGGATTTGGTCTTAAAAGAAGTTTTTATTTTGTAAGAAATTCTGAAATCGAAATAACATTTTTATTGTTCACTGGAGTGCAACACTAGTTCATAAATATAAGTAGCAACATCTTGACTTCGTTTTAATATCAATTTGACACAGTTGTTGGCCTCCACGTGCTTTTCATTTTTCTGTGCAATTTGATTGCAGGACCCCCCTCTCCCCGTGGCACTCATATAGTACGCCACCACACAATATGTTGCAATTTCTGTTAATTTCGTATTGAGACACGTTCGCACGAACTGCGGGCGGACACAGCTGGCGATCGAATTCCCTCTGCGGTGCCGGAGATGAACTGCAGCTGTCCGGCGGAGGCAGTGGAATTTCGCAGTGGGATGGAGTTCACTTCCCCAACTAAACTCCAGTTCTTCCGGCTGATTTGATGGCGGTGGAGCGGGATGGGTCTTTGTTTTTCCACTGCTCGATTGCCAAAAGAAGCCACAGCAAAAGCTTGCGGTGTGTGCGCATATAATTTGATATGCCGGCGAGCTAAAATTGGCCAAGAAAGAAATGCTTCAGCGCCGAGCAGCCAACCCAACAAAATTCCAATGGCCAGAGGCCACAACAAAGAACTTGGATGCTGAGCATTTTATGAGCGTTTAAGTGCAAGCAAATCAACTGGATCTCTTTGCCAATTAATACTGCCTTTTATGGACCAAGCCCATTAGAGTGTGAAATGTTTGATCCGTGGTTTAACCTCTCAGTTCAACTAAGCAAGTGCAACTTTTGAATATGATTTTGTTACTAAAAAGTATAAAATTACATTTGTGCAGAACCGTTCTTTCTAGTTTTCTAAATGATTTAAATAATTGCCCCAATGACTTTTAAATTGACAATTAAAACACCAAGCCCATCAGAGTGTGAAATGCTCGAAAAGCATCCGTGGTTTAACCTCTCAGTTCAACTAAACAAGTGCAACTATTAAATACGAGTTCAGTTACTAAATAGTATTAAATTACATTTGTGCAGCACCGTTCTTTCTAGTCTTCCAAATGATTTCAATCAATTTCCCCACAGACTTTTAATTGACAATTAAAACACTTTTCGCCGCGGACTAGCATAACATTTTCTTTGATGATGTAACACGGCAAATAAACAAAAGCTGAACTTTTTGTGCATTTTGCCAGCTGTGTGTGCACTCAGTCAATAAATATGCAATTAATGTGCAAAAATCAACATAATCAAATTACGACCGTTTGATTGGTTAAATTGAATTTATAATGATGGCCGAACCGTTTTCGCTGTTGGATAATCAGTTTAGCATTGTAATGCCAGAAAGTATCTGTGGCTCAATTCAAATGGTTCGCTAAACCAGAAACACGTATAAAAACACAGCGAGCGAAAATGTATGCAAATAAGTAAAACATTTATATGCATTAACACTTTAATCTGTGACAGGGCTGATTTTATACGCTCAATTGAATTAAAGATATTTGCTGAAAACAATTTTCAGCAAAAAAAGCAATTGCAATATTTATGTAATGAATGTCTCCTTTTTCCCGCAATCCAATTCGAATTTATTGCACTTAACTTGTGCAAAATGTTAACATTTAATCAAATCAAAACAAGCTAACAAACCCAATCTCATACCATGATCATGCGAAAGCAGCAAAAAAAGCAATAAATATTTGATTGGTTTTTATGACAGAAAAAAATACGAAAAAAGGAAATAAAAGTAAATAAAAACATATGCATATAATTAGTAGCAAACTAAAATTTGATTTGACCAGCAAAATTTAACGAGGAAATGGAAACGAAATGGAATTAAAATCAACTTCGCACTGAAAACGAAATATTGAACTGAATAAATTAAAACATAAATGTCACGGTATTTAAATTATTTTTATTTTTTTTTTATAATTCTTAACACATTTTAAATTTTTAAATAGTTAATTTAATTTTGTCTTGATACATGATTCAAACCATGCACTTAAGCACTTGTTTCAGTGCAGTGTATTGAAATAGTATTCAAATAGTTTTTAATGTCAGTTCATTTAATTTGTCCGCTCAACGCAAAAAATAAGTATTTACCCACACAAACTATGTATGTAGTAGAAATTATTTATAAAATTTCGTTAAATTCGTTAAGC